TTCGTGTCGATGCGCTGAATGTTCAGTACATCCAAGTTAGTTCAATCTAATTTGTTGAAATTGATGGAAGAAGGTGCCACGCATTGTGTGCTCTTTCTCACGCACTTGTCAAAGCTGAATGACAAATCCTCTCTGTCCAGCTGAAACGTCAGATTTTCCATGCTAAATTATTAGTGCTGTTGCTCCTGGTGGTGCCAAAAGGACATCTGTGCAGCTGCTCCAGGCTAAAAAGTTAATATATGAGCAAAACGTCCTCTGCAGCACACATCAATTCTAGGCATGTTTCCGTATATCGAATTAAATGAGCCCCTCAAATCAGTAAACGCAGGAAAATAAATTAATTCAAAAGTGCCAAGCTGGAATAAGAGGGTTCCATGCAGCTGTTTTTTTGCAGACCTACTGGGACACGTTTGTGAGGTCATGTCAAGTCTACTTCAAGTTCAGCTACAGTAAAAAATCTGTTCTAGAAATGTTATTTCAAATTAGATATAGTTGATGAGGTTTCATCATGGTCTTAACATAAAGTTAAGAGGCTTTGCAAACCATTGAACATCTGTGAAACGTATACTTACGTTTGTAATAATAATGCCATTAAACGTCCCAGACTGTATAACTTTCCAGTTTCCTTTACAGTAGCAATGTAAACAGATTATGTGCTCAGAGTTTTCCATACTTAAAATGATATGTGAGCCAATTTAATGGTCCACATCATTTCAAATATATTATCAATAATATCCAGTATATAATAACAAGTGGGCTGTTTTGTATTAGAATGAGATTTTGCTTAAAAATCTCTTTAGTTTTCTTTATATAATTGAAAATGTGTTCTTTGGTTTGATGTGCATGAATACTGAATTAAATTAAACTAAAGTAAACTTAATTAACTGTTGTGGTGGTTCATATGCCAACTGAGTAGAAAATTAAAGAGACAGTCAACAACAACAAAAAAAAACACTTAAAAAGCTCCAAGAGAAAATCAGTTTTCTTTTCTTTTTGCAGCCTGACATATGTTGGAAGCATTTGATCAACCACAAAACAAAGAAAAAGATCTGACATTGATGCACAGAATTATTTGTGAACAGTCCTCAGAGCAATACCTCTATCCAGCTCTCAGGCGTAGCAGCTGATACGGAGGGTGTCTGCTTTCCGATGGGGGGTTCTTTTGTCTAAACAGGGATGTGCTGATCTGACAGTAAACACTGAGGAAACGGTAGAGGAGGGAGGTGGAACAGACTCATGGAAACACATGCAAAGTAACAGGAAAATCGCTTACATTTTACACCTGATCAACAACTCGCTTTGAGTACGGGAAGTTTAGCTGTTTTAGGGACCAGGTATTGGTGTATGAACTATGTTGTGTGACAGGTTAGATCTATAGTTTCAGTCACACGTCAGGCCCTGCACGGGAGTCGTATCGGGACGGCTGCTTGAGCTGATTCAAACTTGGCTTTTTGCCTCTTCCGTGTGCTGATTGATGTTGTGACACACTAAGGGGTGAGTTGTAGGTTAAGAAGAGAGAGGTATTTTCTTGAAGCCAAGCCTGTGAGGCTGAGTTCAGTTCGAGGTGATGACAGCTGCTGACAGTTCTTGGCTCCTCGCCCTCTTTCTCCACGGCAGGTTAAACCCTCCCCCTGTTCCTCCTCCTGTATGGCTGCCTTCGGCCGATTGTCTCCCACCCTGTCTCCCTCCGTCATCTTCCTCCGAGTCCCGTCCCTCCTCACCCGCTCTCACCACCTTCAGACGTCGTCAGTCACTACCTCTCTGCTGGCGCCAGATGCAGCCTCTCCGTTTCAATAGGAGCTATTTTCCCCTCACTCTCTCAGGGCCACTTTTACATTGTCAGTGTTACTATATAAACAGAAAAACAGTGATCGGGTTACAGAGCCACTCATTCAGCTCCTCCAACACCTCAGCGCTCATGCCCCAAAACTGAGCACATAGTGCCATTAACTGTTCATAAAACCGCAGCCTCGTTTTTCCGTAAAGCCTAGTGTGAAAGTCACTCACCTGTTGCAGTTGTATAGCAGATTATATGTATAGAAGGTTCCCGATCATCTAAAAGTGTTCCAGTAAATGCCTCCCACATGAGCTGTAACTATCAAGCAATCTCCAGATTTATTTTAGTAGTAATTACTTCTTAAGTAAAGTGACAAAGTAAAAAGATTTCAATCTCAAAACTATTTGTGCTCCCATGGCTTTGCACGGTTTCAGAGCTTTATTTGGTTTCATACGCCCACATCATTGAGAAACTGGAATTTTTCTTGGTGGATGCTTTTCTAGTGTTTCTTTCTGTTTTTTCCCTTAACTTCTCTGCTAGAGTGCAATTATCATTTCATCTGAATTCCTGACGGGTAGACCTACTGTCAAAGTCTGGCACATCAGTTTTCATACATTAGGAATTCAAAACCAGCCAGCTTTGATGGTGCCCTCATAGATTCCATGGACACTTACACTACCCCATTCCGTCAAGATGACGGTTTTTGAACTGTAAGCTGAATGATCTGGATTGTCCTTTTCCTCTTTAGTCTGGGTTGTCACACTCTGTCCATTAATTCCAATAACAATTTGAATTGTGGACTTTTCAGACCACCGCACACCTTTCCACTGTGTGTCAGCCAATCGTAAATAACTCAGACGCAGAGGAACCAGGGGCATGGGGTTGTTGATATATGGCTTTCGCTTAGCATTGGAGACTTTTCACGTGCACATGCTGACGACTCTGTTAACCGACAATGGTTTCTGGACTCTTCCTCAGCCCATGTGGTAATATCCTTTACGGAGTGATGTCATATTTTAATGCAGTGCTCCCAAAAAAACATCTGTTTCTTTAAAAAAAGAAAAACATGAAATTTTGTGTCTCCGTAGTGTATTCAGTTAAATGTGGATATAAAATGAGTTCACTGAATTCTGTTTTAGTTGACATTTCCAACAATGTTCTAACTTCATTGGAATTGGGGTTTCCACTTATTTAGCTGTTTGTGAAAAACATAGTTCTGGCTGGTCCTAACGGCACATACTTACACAGTGATGTAAATGAATGCTGTTTGCGTCAGTCACTTGTTATCAGAGCGTGGAATCAGAATAAACGTTAACGCTGTGCAACAGCAGATCTGTTACAGTTCCATTGTTGCTGGAGTTTGTAGAGTGCAAATTAGACCGAACAGTAATGTTTTAAAACCCTCTGAGGGACCTAAAACCAGCAGAAATTGTTTTCATTTATTTATATGTGTCATCCAAAAAATAAATGGCTGGTCTGCAGTGAACCTAGTTGTGTTTTGTGTTTCCCTTTTAGAGAAGATCTCAGCCCCCCAGTTAGGAACAAGTCATCCATCTGAAAACAACCTCTTATGTTTGGTTGATTTTTTATTTTCCTCCAAGAGATTTGATTGCCTGAAAAAAAGGCAGGAATAAAGTCCCAGTTGCCATGCATGAATAGTCTGTTTTAGCTTATTTTAGGTCAGGTTTTTACAAATAATCACCAAATATTCAGACTGATTAAGCCAATGTTGTGTCGAGTTGTTGAAATATGTTTGATTATTTCCACAAGGCTTTTCACGTATTTTGATTGATCAAGAAAGAACATTTAAGTTTGAGCAACGGTTCTTATTTTTTCTCTCATCTCTGAACTTTGAATTAGGGCTGATGGTTGGCAATGGTCTTCCTCTGTCAAGGTCAAAGTTAAATAGTCAGAATTGTGTTTAACCTCTTACTCACTGAGAAGTTTGTGTCCTCAGACTCACCTCCCTTCTCCTTTCCCTCTCTTTTTGTTTTTCCTTCTCCGTTTTTTTATTAGATTATTCCTTTGTGCTTCTGCCTCCCTGGTTTTGAAACCTTAGCACTCTTGTTAATGGCAGGCTGTGGGTTCAGGTTGGGGTTGAAGGCCACATTTGGTTCAGTCCCGTGCTGTTCTGTGAAGGTGACAGGAGGGGGCTGTGACTTTGGGGTTTCTGACCCCCAGATTCTTTATTTTTACAAGGAAGGGATCCAAAGATGGAGCTGTTGATGTGAATAGCTGACCAAGGTGACTGGATACCAATAAAGAGGCCGTCACCCTGGCCGGGGGCCTCCTTCCCATCCGAGACACAACCTTTATAGGACTTCTTATGAGCCTGGGCAACTATTAAACCCCGGCCAGCCTGCGCTGAGGAATTTAGGGCCAGGAAACAAGGGAGTGGGGGGTAGGAGTGGGCTGACGGAGGTGAAGTTAGGGTGACCGAAGGTGAAAGTTGAAAGATACGAATTTGGTCGTTCTTCAGTCACCGCATTTAAACGCGCACCAGGTGTGTTACACTTTTATTCTTTTTCTCAGCTCTACAGTAGATAGAGTGCGAGGAGCCGGGGCCAGGAGCAAGCCCATCTGTTTACGTGGTTGGTTTTGACCTTTTTTTCACCAGCAGTAGTCCAGCGACTGCCTGTGGGCAGCATATGGTGTTATACAGTGTGCCATTTTCTTTAGCGAGACAGTGAGAGGGAACGAAGGGAGACAGCCCAGTCTCATAAACATCCCACCTCTGTTTGTTCACATGGGGCTCGGAGGACACGGATAGGCCTGGTTGGACAGCCTTTCAAATAAAAATGTGAGCTCGTGCGCGTGCGCGCGTGTGCCCGCAAACACACAAAATTCAGACGTCAGTCAAAAAGTCAACAGCGGCATCCTGCTCTCCCCAGTCTCCAATAAATGGGGAGGCCAATCAAATCTCAGCTGCCAATCAGCATTTTATCAGCAGAGCCATCTGGCCATCAGCTAATTGTGTCTCTTTTAAGTCCGTGTCAATCAGCACAGACCCCCTTCCCCCCCCCTTTTTTTTTCTCTCTCTCTCTTAAAAATGTCTGGCTTTGAGCTTGTTGCCTTCTGGCCACATGGGGTGGCCTGCGGGGGGTTGGGGGTTGTTTGTTGACCACTCTCTCCCTAATCAGTTGCTGCATTAGCTTTCATCATAGTTTCAAAGAGTTAATGTAAACAACATGCTGATATAATAAGAGAATTCTCCCCCCTGCAGCGGTGGAGACCCAGAGCACCAGTTCAGAGGAGATGGTGCCCAGCTCTCCCTCCCCTCCTCCTCCACCCCGGGTCTACAAGCCCTGCTTTGTGTGCCAGGACAAGTCATCTGGTTATCACTACGGAGTGAGCTCCTGCGAGGGCTGCAAGGTAAATGAGGGCCGAGATACAGGGGGAGTTTACAGAGCGTGTGTGTGGAGCCCAGCAGCTCGTGTGGACTGAAAAGAGAGAAGCCCCTGAGCCTGATAACTGTGGAGCTGGAATGTTTGCTGTTGAGCTGCCCCCCAGTGGATTCTGACCAGTACTGCACGTTACTGATGTAACATATGGATATTGTGAATGAAACCAAGCTATTTTTAGTCATTGAAGGTTTTTTAAGAAGGAGCATTAGATCATTTAGAGAACCAATTTTACAATTTCAGAATTTTGCCTTTATACCTCTCCAGAGAGAAAGATCTAACCATTGTCCTCCACCAAACTGTCCAAAAAAGTTTGGTTGCTCATTACAATTCTAAATTTAAATAAATATATATTTTTTCTTCTTTTTTTTTAATCATTAGAATCTGACATTTAACCCAAAGATGATAGAGCATTGTCATTTCTGATAAGACATAGAATTTAATATCTTTTCAAAGAAAAATCAAAATTGATTTCCAGTCTTTATGATAGATAAAAAAGAAAAAGAAGAATTTATTAGAGATCATTTTTGAAGATGTTTTTTTCTTGATCTGAAGCTGTGTACCATGTGTATTCTTTTCCATTTTGCAGGGTTTTTTCCGACGAAGTATCCAGAAGAACATGGTGTACACCTGCCATCGAGACAAGAACTGTCAGATCAACAAAGTGACCCGAAACCGCTGCCAGTATTGCCGGCTGCAGAAGTGCTTCGAAGTCGGCATGTCCAAAGAAGGTCAGTGGCTCGGACTAGTGATCTCAGTGGCTTATTGCTACATTCACCCTTTCCCATAATGAAATGCCAAAATGCAATCAAATGTCTCATTTCGACCCCCTTTTTTTTTTCTCCAGCGGTGCGTAATGACCGAAACAAGAAGAAGAAGGATGTGAAGGAGGAGGTGGTGCTGCCTGACAACTACGAGCTCAGTGGGGAGCTGGAGGAGCTGGTTAACAAAGTCAGCAAAGCTCACAAGGAGACCTTTCCATCGTTGTGCCAACTAGGAAAATACACCACAGTGAGTGGCTTTGAGAGTCTCCTCCTCAGAGGACGGTCGTACGTACGGTCTTTGCACAGTCACACAGAAAAAGCAGTCTCCCTGTTTCTGTCTCCCAGAATTCAAGTGCTGACCACAGAGTACAACTGGACTTGGGCCTGTGGGATAAGTTCAGTGAGCTCTCCACTAAGTGCATTATAAAGATTGTGGAGTTTGCCAAGCGGCTACCAGGCTTTACCACGCTCACCATCGCTGACCAGATCACCCTCCTCAAATCTGCATGTCTGGACATCCTGGTACTAGCCCACCTCTTTAACCCATTAGCTCGCAGTCCCTAAGGCATACTTCATTTTCTCACTGCTTCACCTTTTAATCCAACACTGGGATTTAGCCCTAAATTCCCTCTGAACTTTTTGACATTTTACAGACTGTTTGCCCTCTCGTTTTCTCCTCTGGCGCAGATGCTGAGGATATGCACCCGCTACACCCCTGAACAGGATACTATGACGTTCTCAGACGGCCTGACTCTCAACAGGACCCAGATGCACAACGCTGGCTTCGGCCCTCTCACAGATCTGGTGTTTGCCTTCGCTGGTCAGCTTTTGCCTTTGGAGATGGACGACACGGAGACGGGGCTCCTCAGCGCCATCTGTCTCATCTGTGGAGGTAAGTAATGGCCACCTTTCTGCATCTGCCACCTGACCTCATGGACACTCTGACAGAAAGAATCTACGAGTGGGATCTTTTCTCACAGTTTAGTGAAAATGCGTTGTTAGCTTTTATGTGTCCTCTTCTTTTCTGACTTTCTCTGTTTCATCCTGGCAGCGGTTAGTCAGATCACTAACATTTCCTCTTTTCTCTGGTGCATCCCTCTGGCCCTCCTCCCAGACCGGATGGACTTGGAAGAGCCCGAGAAGGTGGACAAGCTGCAGGAGCCGCTTCTAGAGGCTCTGAAGATCTACACCCGGCGCAGACGCCCCAACAAGCCCCACATGTTTCCCCGCATGCTGATGAAAGTTACAGACCTCAGAGGAATCAGTACCAAAGGTCAGCTCATTTTTCAATCCATTATTTCTGTTCAAAGACATCTCCGGATTCCTGCTTCTTTTCTCTGTGCATATTACATGTTCTTCTCATATGTGTGTGTGATCTCTCCGGGTACTCCGGCTTCCTCCCGACATCCAAAACATGCATGTGGAATTCAATGAACTCTAAGCTCCCCGTAGGAGTGAATGCAAACAGCCAAGGCCTTGTCTTCATATTCAAGTCAAAACTCAAAGCTCTTTGCTAAATTGAAGCACAAATGATGTACAAAGCCTTGTTCATCCCAGAATAGAACCACGAACAGAAGTATCTAGTAACACCTCATTACTCTTCCATAGATCATAAACTTTGCACTGGATTTTGTTTTTACTTTTTAATTTGATTCCACAAAGAAATTATTATCTAAAATGACCTGCCTAAGTTATACCCCGCTAAATTAGATGGGAAGAATATAAATTCACCTGAAGTCACTTTTCTATAGTTTGCTGGTGTTAATTACTCCTGACTGAATGTGCACACGCCCACAGGTGCAGAGAGAGCCATCACACTGAAGACAGAGATCCCGGGCCCCATGCCCCCTCTCATCAGGGAGATGCTGGAGAACCCGGAGGCCTTCGAGGACAGCAGCGACTCCTCTGACAGCGCCGCGGCGGCCCCCCCCGCCATTCAGGCCATCAAGCAGGAGGAGAAGCCCGCGTACGAGTCAGCCTTTGAGGAGGAAGAGGAGGAGGAGGAGGACGATTACTGGGATGAGGAGAGGGAGCGGGCGGCGGACAGTGATGGAGAGCTGTGGGGGGAGGCCGCGGCTACCGCACAGAAGAAAGCAGCGACAGGGAAAGCCCAGTGAGAGCAACCAGGGGACGCTGCTTCCTCACTGAGCCTCTCTGAGCAACACCGGAAAACCTCACACACTTAGGCTCCAAGACATCTTTTAACGATGCTTCTTTTGTTTGTTTTTTGCTCACAAGTTGTACATATAATGACTTTAAGGAAAATGTGTTCAATTCAGTATAGGAAGCAAGGAAAAAAAAAAGCACTACATTTCAGTGGATTAATGAGGGCACCATTAAAACGAAAAGTTACTGTGTCCGTGACTGTTCAGAAGAAATCTCAAAAGGAGGAGAAAACGGTGTTGGGCAGCAGAAAAATCACTCCTCTGTCAGTTAAGGGCTAGGCTTTGTATAATTTTGATGTTTAAAAAAAGTACATTGCAACATCTGAACTCTATGTGGGATCCATGTGCCACAAATATCCTCCTGGAATTACGTTTATTGCTTTTCGGAGATATGCAACTTATTTTTTAATCGTATGGTTTTTCTAAGCATGTACACGCTTCTACCTTTATGCCTGTCTGTGGGGCTTTGTGCTTTTGTATATTTTTCATCAACTCTTTCTCAAGTTTGACTGGACATTTGTGATTTTTCAGCTCTAAACTTTGCTTTGTTTGGTCGACGAGTGAGAAGCATCGCAGGAAGTCATGAGCGGGACTCGAGCTCACAGTGTGGAAGTCACATGGTGTGTTATTCCATTTTGTAACGATATCTGATAACTTAATCCCACAGAAGAAACGAAGAAGAGATCTTCAGTTAGTGTCGGAAGTCAGGTGCCAAATAATTAACAACATATCTCATATCTCCACCTCTTGTTGTCATTAACCTACAGAAAGAAAAAAAAAAACTTTGGATCTGCAGGGTGGATTTTTTTACATGATGCAGTCTCAGGTTGATTCTGTCAGAGCCATGCCTCGCCTGCCTGTACAGCACCCTGTCATAGTGGAAACGCACCAAATCCGAGCAGGGATGATTAGCTATTGATGTTGGAGCTGTGTGATTGCATATTATGACATGCCAGACAAAGGTATCCAGATGACTGAGCAAACATGACAAACAGTTTACATCACAAAAGCCTTAGGTGTGTGCATGTGTGCGTGGGTGTGGGAGTGGAAACAAAACAAGAGTGTTCACATTGCTGTCGTCATCCAGCTAAATTGTCGTTTTTTTGTTTTGTTTTTCGTAGCAAAAAAAATCAACGGCGAGAAATGGTCATTTCTGCCTTTGTAAAACATTACGATGTATAAATTGAACTTAAATGTTTATGACCATACATGACAACTTATGTCTAGAGTTTAACGACTCTTTTTTTCATCATGTCCACCGTGTTACGAATCGGGTTCTTAGTTGTCATACTGGATACTTGGCGTATATGAAGAAATTTGATACACCTCACAAAGTAATTGAATGTCTCATGAATGTGCTTAAAAACACTGCAGAAAAATGTGTTACTTAAGATGTGCAAACAGACAAAAAAAAACATTGGCCAAAGACTAGAGTTAGCAAATGATTGATTGAACTTCTGTGTGGTTGCAACCGTCCAACAACATCAGCGAGAAAGCGAATGTTCTGCAGTGGATGGCCTGCGCATCGTGCATGCTGTACTTAGCGAGGGACTCTGAAATAGATTTAGTGAAATTCTAAATACTTTACCATTCTTAATGGAAGAATACATTTTATGTGAGCTTTAGAATTAGTTTGAAAAATAAACTAATGCATGATGTATATATTTAAAAAAAACCCTAGCAGATTCAGGTCCTTGATGGCCTCTAATTTAGCACCAGATACAAAGCCATATAGGAAACAGAAGAAGCATTGGATGAGAAATGCTGAGATCACAGCCATGTTTCCGAGCAGATAAATCTGTATAAAATCAGATAGATTTTTGCCATTATAGGATGGAAAGCTGAAAATGATTCTCTTCCTCTGTTAAACATACATTATCTGGAATACTGTTCGCAGCATTTATATTGATTGTCAAGTATTTAAACATGCTTCTTCATCTTCTTAACTATATAAACATGATATATCTAAACAGAATTTTTTTTGTCTATACCTTGAACCTATTTTTCTGAATTTGAGGTGGTGCAATAAATAAGCCAAGGAAGAGGTTACCAAGACCTCTTTTCTATATTCATAAGCTTTCAATTAAAGAGAAGAAAAAAGAAAGACCAAAGACAAATATGACATTTGGAGGCTCCTCTCTTAGGGGGAATATTACTACTTGGTTTAAAATGCATTCACTTTCTAATTTGCGATGATGGGACATTTATTAATCATGAAGCTGGATACAAACTTCTCTCTGTTACATTCTGTCGTTGCTGTTTGTTGATGTTTTGATTTCTAGCGAAAAGACGTTCAGGGATTCCTCATGTGATCTCTCAGTTCAGTTTGTTTTTTAATCTCAGATGATGACACATGCACACACAGCTGCACCATCAAATACAAAAACCGGGTTGGCAATTTGATCTTTTTACATTTGAATGAGTAGCTAATACTATGTTTGTCATGTTTTGTTTTTTCATTGTTGTTGTTACTGAGTGCTTTTTGCTTATATGTTGCGTGTTGTTTCCTGTATTTTGATAAAGGCGCTTTTTTGTTCTCAGTTTTTCGGTGTCATCTTCTTTGCCCTCCATCTGCGTGCCTCTGACTGGTGATGGAAGCACATCTGGGAATATTATGTAAAGCGATAAGAAAAATACATTCAAACCAATAAGGCAGCACACGTAATCACCAAAGTTCATGCTGCTCTCAACATCTTTTTGGATTTTTATTTATGTTTATTGATGAGTCTTTTGAGAAGAGCTCCTATAGTTAAAGAATAGCTGAAACCGTATTGTTCCTACAGCCGGACCGGTGCTCAGAATGCTGAAACAGACCATTTCATGCTTGACCGTGACACACACCCACACATTTGACACGGTCTCAGGTGTCATGCTCACATGCAGAGCTCAGAGGCTTAAATGGCACCAAAACAACACGCAGCGCATGAAATATAAGCCAGTTGTAAAATATACGGAAAACTTAAAGGCTTGAAATCAGAGAATTACAAGTACTATAATAAAAGGGAATTGAACCTGGGACAGCTCAAGTATGCATCTAGAGTATAAAAATGGTGGGATGAGTTTTCAAACAATAAGACATAAAAAAAAAATCACATCTGGATTCTTCTTAAGAGTTGCAAATGCTGGAAACAGTCTGTTAGATGTTCTCCAAAAGCAGAGGATTCTTGCTAAATGCTTCTGGTTTTCCTGTAATCTTCAACAGTGAGCATCTTAGTGGAGCACAAATGGCCATCCCTGTGTTACCACATGGGGAAATCAGCCAGCTCACTGCAGAGGGAAAGAGGAAACAGTTTCAAAAAGGTCATGTGGAAAATAAATCAGAATAAATCTTTGTATCCTTTTGATGCCTCCATTAAAAAGAGAGCTGATTCCTTATTTTGAGGACATATGTGTGTTGACGCTGGAAACAATCCGGACTCCTCACCTCAGGACAGGGCTGACCAGCTCAGGTATTATCAGTTGCTTCCCCTCCTCAGCTGGGGACTCACAGCACTGCCTCTTCTCATCCTGGTTTAACAGACAGAAGCGCAACACTGGTGTAAAAATCCTGTGACTCTGGCAGGTGTCCTCAGTTGTGTCCACCATGGATGAGTCGGGCTGTGGCCAGTGTAACCTGGCAACAGCCGACCAGACGACATCTCAGCCATTACTGGCAGGTAAACTTTATCAGTAGGTAAAATTAACATAAGCTCACAGCAAACATTTCAGATTCAAACAGAATCATTCTTCTTTTTCTTTGACTAAAAGTAGCTCTGTTTGACTCAAGATGTACATTTTTATTATTGACTAAATGAACAATGTGCAAATGAACAATGAGAATAGAAACAACTGAATGCAATTAAATGTTTTTACAATGCAGCACAGGCAACCTTTTATATTATCTGAAAAGTATTTTAAAAAAATAAGTCATTCTCCTTTTAATCTCACTGATTGATTTGTAAAAGAGAAGGTATGCTCTTTTCTCAGCAAGTGATTCAATTATATTTTTCCCATTGTGATGACTGTTGATTAAGATTACTGATTAAAACGGAATGGTACCGAAAGCTACATGACAGTCTGGATGCTTTTGTCACTTGACATCGTTCCCTGTTTTTCTTTCATCTGATCCTATTAGAGAAGTAATGGCCTGTCTCTATAGCAGCACAAAACAAAGCCTGAGGACTCGCTTGGGAAATTAGGCAAATATTTACCCACTGAGGTTTTATTGGAGCCAAATGCAGAACACTCGTGGCTGATTGGCTTCCACAAAGGGAATGCGTACCAGTGTGTTAAAAGCTGGCTCTCCATCTTGGCTCTGGCTGTGAGTCTCAGCTGGAGTCCCGGCTCTGCCGCGCTGCTCCGGTTGAGCACACTCGAAAACAGGAGAAAAAACTGATCCGGACAAAGCCGATGGAGCACCATCCTCTTCCATCTCAGAGGAAGAGCCCGGAGCTGTAAAAGTTGATCTCTCAATGTTTGGTAAAGTAGAGCTGAAAACTGTGTCCAACGCCAGAGACTTTACTCACAAATAGACGAGGTAACTATGCTGGGTGGATTTGCCTCTGGTACACTCCCTAGCTTCTGCTCAAACTGACGGATGTAGTTGACCAGGTCCTGCAAATGTCCAGTTTAAAGCAGCTCATTATAAGACGTAAAGAGTCAAGGAAGTTTACAGACTTTACTTTCTTTGATGAAAAAAGAAAAATGTCATTTATCTGATATCAAAACAGCAATCTGTTATGTTTCAGAATATCAAAACCAAAGCAAAGTAATTCAGTAAATCGAAAGGTTGCAATTAAATGCACTTACTTTCAAAAGTTACTACCACTGTAAAACAAAAGGCCTTCCCAGTTTTGCATGCCTGATATCACTATAAACTAAAACAAATATATTTTAAAAGCTGAGCTGGCTATGAAGAGGATGGATTGAAAATATGATGGTTTTATAACAAACATAACTTTGTAAAAACATAATGTCAGGCCCCCATAAGTTAAGCCAGTGCATAACATATTAATGACATATTATTACTGCATATATTATTGCATAAAATATTTAAGGGGAAAAAAACTATGAAACATTTAAACTCTGCTTGTTCAGTTTCAGAAAGCAACCTGCTCCCTTATCAAAGTGATCCCAGTTTAAGGAAAACGTGCCTGCTTCTCTGTTTGTTCCCCTTCTCTCTCCTCCTGGAGCGTTCTCAGAGTGGCCCTCAGCTGGTGCAGCTCCTTGTTGGCGTGGCTCAGCTGCACCTACAGGGGGCGGCTGCGTTACTCTCTGAACACCACAACATCTCACACGGCTCCCCTACGTTCCTGCTGCCGGTCACATGATGGCGTCAGGAAATGTTTACTCACTGCTCGTGGAAGCTTTTTCTATTTGTGCCAGCTTATGAGTAATAAAAGGAGTGTGCTGAACCCTGACCTGCTTCTCCAGTTTCCAAAACAAGTTCTGGGCAAACTGACGAGGCAGAACTGCAGCGCCTGGGTTAAGTTTAGAGCCTCCGCGCTGCTTTTGGACTGCTTACTTTCTCTCGTCCGAGCTCTGCCTCCAGGTTGTCCCTTTCCGTCCTCTCCTCCAGGAGCCATTCCTCCTTCCTCTGCAGCTCACCTGTCAGGTCCTGGATTTTCTTTTTATCGATCTGCGCAGAATAACGATGAATCAAAGATGAAGTCAGATCAGCAGGCCGTGCTGGATCCTCACCTCTGCTGCGTGCCTGGAGGCCTCCCTCTCCAGGGCGGAGTTGGCCCGCTCCTCCCTGAGGATCAGGTCCACGTCGGACATCTGCAGGGTGAGCTGGGCCACCTGCAGCCGGGCCTGGTGCAGCTCGGCGTGGGTGTGGCTCTGTCGGCTGCCCAGCTCCCTCAGCTCTCGACGCAGGGACTCTGCCACGTGGTCCCCGGCCTCCAGGCGCTCCTGCAGCCCGCGCACCTCCCCCAGGGACGCCTCAATCTCCCCCTGTTGAGAAATCAGCAAAGGGAGAAATTGTGAGATTGAAAAATAAGAATGAGGATTTACCGTCACAGAGGCTTGTTATCGTTTGCCGATAGGGGTAGATCCTCTTTCTACATTTTGACCAAGTTATTTCAGTGTTTCCCAACCGTCAGCATCCTCCAGTTACCTGCAGAGACTTCCGCTTTTCCTCGTCGTGTTTCATTTGACTGGTCATTTTCTTCACTCTCTCTTTCAGCCTGAAGCAGCAAAAAACAGGGAAACAGCTAAAACCAAGCCCAAAGGTCAATGTGTGACCGGACAAATGTCCAGGCTGATGTTCGTTTCAAGCTCCTACCTCTCCAGTTCACTGTTTGCTTCTATTTCTTTGTCAGCCAGGGCTTTGACGTTCTTCTCCAAGTCTTGGATTTGCTGCTGATTTTCGGCCTTTTCGGCCAGGAGTTTACTCAGTTCTGAGGACATATTCTCCTGACTGTATGTTCCATCCTTTCATTTTTAAAAACAAGAAATCATTATTCACCTCGTTATTTTAGTGATATTATTTGAATACTGTAGATTAAAAGCGACTAGCGATATGACCAGTGCGTACCTTGTGCGTTTCCTCCATCCTCTGCAGCATCTTGCAGCTGTGTCTCAGGTTACCTCTGAGTTCCGTGATCTCCTCCTTCGTTGCATCTCTTTCCCTCTCCCATTGCATCCTTGCTGCTTTGCTCATTTCCTTTTCATCCTCTATCTTCTTTCTGGCCACATCCAAAGCTCGCTGTAAATCCCCCTGCTTTTTCAGGCATTCCTCCAGCCGACTCTGGTAACAAAACAAAACACAGGATCCAGAAGCTTTCAGCTCCTTTTCAGCGACCAGACAGAATTTCTTTCATGGCTTTTTTGTTACTTCAGAAAAGGTTGGAATCTTTTTAGACTGTTGTGTGTGAGTTCCTCCCATCACCTGCAGGAGCTGAGCCCTGGGGATGACCAGCAACAGCTCCTCTTCTCCGTCTTCCTCATCTTGTTCCTCCCTGAGAGTCTCCAGCTCCTCCAGGGGCTTGGGCGCGCAGAAAATGAAGGGACGGCTTCGGCCGCACACCTTTCCCACCTTGTTCACGTACACGAACTGGTACTCCACAGCACTGGGCCGAGGCAGGTAGGTCGCTGCACATTGGTTGGAAGTTTGAAACCATTGGAATTTCCTCTATATTCATTCAACATTATAATCTTAAGCAGAAAAGAGAACATCAATAAAATAATTCTTTAAAAAATGGCATTGTATTCTGTGATCAAAGAATGTATGCAGGAATTTAATGAGCTGGTTTCTACACATCGCAGAAAAAAGGACTATTTTGGTCTGATCATTCACAAGACATTTGCACAACAGCGTCTTTGATTATTTGTTCATAGGTCACCGGTCTTAGCATGGGGATGGTAACAATGACAGTGAAGTGGCACATTTTGTGACGGGCACCCCAGCAGTCTTACATATATTTAACCAAACTGTTACCTTGGAAAAGTGCACAGTGGTTGACATAAGTTCCCTCCATGTACCCTTCAGGGACAAGAGCCCATGAGTAGGTGTGGTAGTGTTTGACAGAGGACCAGCCCATCTGTTTAAAAACAGCACACACGCATTTTCAGCCACAAAATTTCCAGCACCATGACTCCCCCCTGTGCCACAGCCTTCAACGTGTGGAACTAGCCCACCTCAAAGATCCCTATCCAGTCCCTGCTGCTCCACCGATGCTCCGAGGTCAGACTGTAGTGGCACTCCACCCGGCTTTGGGGGAAGTACAGTTGCCCCACATTGCGAAACACCACGGTGGGATGTTTACTCATGCTCACAAGAAGCTTTGCAGTCGAAGGTGGAAAACACAGGAGGATCGGGCTCGATGTCCCTGGTTTCAGTGTGGAAGGAAACAGCTGATGAAAGGTGATCGCAGTGCCAGCTGAGGAATGTGGCAAGCATGGTCATAACACCACATGCCTATGGCTCAGCAGTTTGTTTATAAACAAGAAGCTCATAAATATCATTTTATATGCACAAAAAAACAGTGATCGCAGAAAAAAATGCATGCTTGGAAATGAAAGGGTCAAATCCATCTGCTGCAAAAGTGGTGATCATTTGATTATATCTTAAAAAAAAAAGCTATTTGTCATTAAAAAAATCCTACAAAGCATAATCTCAGGCTACATTACACACAGAGATACCAAACAACTATCTTTACTTCATGCAGTGTATCTAAGCAACCAACTTCACATCATAAATGCTTCATTTAATCTAAAGTTAAACTGATATTTGTCATTTCTTGATCCCCATAACCTTTTTTCTGAGTAGACTGTGTGGTGAAACTATCTTTAAATGAGAGACAGACCTCTGTGGTGTGGAGCTTACCTTATCCTGCTGGAGAATGAATTCTTCAGCTGCCTCCTGGAGCATTGAGCCGTGTGCCTACAGAGAGTGATGAGCAATCCTGTCAGGTGCAAGAGTTTCACAACATCTCCCAAACCATGTCGATGGACTTCTGGGAGATGCAGTATTCGATGGCACTGCTCGTCAGGAGGCAGAGCAGCGCAGCACACTTCAACTCCCGTGACAGCACAGACTCACAAGGAATCTGCTGCTGGTTGTTTCTGTGTGTTGCAATTCTCGGCGGTGGCCCGGGGTGGGGTTAGGACAGGGTGAGGGGGCACTGCCTGTCATGGTGTGGAGTTTCTTTCATCAACAAGACATCAAAAACAGCAGAATGCATTCATTTTACAAGCTTTAAGAGTTGTTTTTTGTATAAAACTCATCAAGCACCTTTAAAGTTCAGCGTCAAAATGATTTGGACATCTTATTGTGCAAGAATGGTGCTCCCACTCTGAAAACTGGATGGAAATGTAGCCCGAACCCAGAGTGGCTGCTTGTGTGAGTCCAGAACACAAGTCAGTCTCAACCATTAAGTCTCAAAAACAGCACCAGCTGATAGTCAAAGGTGGAGTTTAAAGAGAAATTAGTTTTGGTTTAGAAGCTAGTTCAGGCAGGTTTTCCATGTGACAGATTTTTAATTCCATTCTTGATCCCCAGTCATTTGTGATGTGATTCAGGTGAAATAATATATGGAAATGTGTGATGCTAATAGCAGCAACAATCTTATGACACATTTTTATCATTTGGATCTATAACTATTCGTCTGCTATGTGTCCCATGGTGTTTGATTAGATGTGGTGAAAATAAGCCAGGCCAGAGAGGGCATCAGCATACCACGTCAGAGATATTTGGCTGTAATCAGATTTCAGTATTTCGGTTTTGTTTACCATCGTTTAGATCAAAATGTGCTTTGAAGAGCTAAAATATCACCAAGTGTGTCAGGATTTGATTGGTAGATGACAAATAGATGCCCAATCCATTATTTATCTTTTTTCCTTATCATGATGCGTTAAAATGCTTCTCCACAAATCAGATGAAATGCTTATGTATCTTATGAGGTTATTGTCTATCGGCTTAAGACACACTTTGGGCTGCCCGCAGGTAAACAAAACAATAGAGTGTAACTGTGATATTCGAGCACAGGAAGCAAAGAAAAATGAGTCTGCTTTTCAGAGTCCAAGATTTATATTAGCAGGCGTTCATAGAGCAGAAATCCTGGAAAATACAAAAACAATAAAAGAGTATCAGCATGTGTAAACAAATAAAAAGAACACTATGAACTGTTCTGTCTATTAGCCATTTAAATGATGATACATATCGGGAGTGGTAGCTGTTGTAAAGTAAAATAATTGTGTTTTAAACTCACATATTATCAGCTAATAAGCACTGGATCAGGTTAGACTTTCAAATCCTAATAAATGCCTTTGTTTTTAGTCCCGACTGGCAAATAAAAAAAACACTCAGACTACTAACTAAATACATTCCCATACACCCTGAGCTTATTGTTTTGGATACAATCTCTTATAAAAAAAAAACACTTGGAAAAGAAGCAGTAGTTAAAGTAATGCAGTAAGTTTTAGACCCGTTGTTTTGTCCTTGGACAGGAGTGTATCACAGCAGAGGAAGGCATTAGTAGGTTGCTTTTCGGAGATTCAAGAAGGGCACCAAACCATGTGTCTCTAACTGGACCCCCTCAGATCCTGATAGGTTGTCCGAAAAACACCTCTACTGACAAGCTGCAAAAATCAAGTGTTGCTCAGTAGTGACAGAACTCCAAGTTCTTCCAGCTTGGCTCGAGCTACTCCCTCCCAGCCTCTGTTGGCCAGCGGGTTTCTGGGCGACGGATGCATGATGCCCTCCACCCGAACACGGACCCCTGCGGCGGACAGGGCTCGCCGCGCTCTCTGCTCTGCCACCCTCCCCACGCCAATCACCATGGAGACGTTCAGAGCTTCCACCACCTTGCACAGTGCGGAGTCGCACAGGGCCAGCAGGGTCTCCCTCTCAGCCGCCGGCAGCTCGGGGGGCGTCAGGTTCTTCCCGTTGGCGTTCATGAATATCAGCGGACACAGATTGTGCACAAAGCAGTGCTTGAAGAACCTTCTGGGGTCTTCGCACAGTTTCCTAAAGAAACCCCAGAAACGGGCGCCGCTCACTTCACTCTGGGGGCAATTGAGCCCCAAAATCCGTCGCTTTGGATGCTCGTTGTCAGGACGACCGACCTCGCCCGTGACCCCCAGCCAGTCAACGACCGACCTCACCTCTCCGAATGGGACCTGTGCAAACAAGAGGAGATTGTTCCGGACACCTGTTCTTGTAAAGGTTGTGTGTGTTGTGTTTTTCTTGTGTGTTGTTGTCTAATTATCAGTGAACCGGCATTTAAAAAGGGGACAGAGAGGGGAGCTGATCAGCATCAACACTCAATGGGTCCGCCTTGGCAGCCGCAATGTTTCATGGAGGCCGTGAACGCAGAGGCTGCCGGTGTTATGCCGAAATGTGCATGCCTGTCGAAAAACGCGTCCCCATTCGCGGGAGCGCGCAGAGCAATGGTTCTTCCTCCTTTGTCATGTGTCCTAATGATTACAAATGCTATGCTTATGATTTATAAAGGTTGAGAACTAGTGTTATAACGACTTGATTATGACTTAAGAGTATATCTTTGCAAATAAACACTTTTAGTCTTTAGTGTGAATGTTTAAACAAGTGTATAGATGTGTTATTATGAGAAGGCTTTTCAGCTTTCGGTTGTTACTTTTTTTTGACCAGTTAAGTCAGTAATGCAATGGAATAGACGATGCTGTTTCATTTGTTCAACTTTTTCCTCATTTCTTCATGAAGGGTAGATTAATAATAAGAGACATGTAGACTTATAATGAGTCGACAATTTGCCAAAATATGGCGTCGATGTAAACCGAGCCAAAATGCCAACTCGTAACCTTTGTTCCTGTTTCAAATCTCTGCTAAGAACATGACCAGCAGGGGCTACGCTTTTTTCGTCACGGCGTGCCGTAAAGTGCTCCGGCAGAACCGTGGCTCTGCGCGGACGTGACGCTGGTGGCCTGTAGGCGGGCAGGAGGTTACCCACCCCGGTCTGCGCCATGCCGAACGGTCCGGGATTCATCCCCAAAAACAGGACCTTCCGGCCCGGGCCGGACAGGCAGAACTTGTCCACGTAGCAGCGGTGCGTGTCCCAGGCGTACTCCAGCGGGTTGTACACGTAGCACACGGGGGGGCCGAAGCTCAGCCCGCGGAGGTGCGCGTTCAGCTCCAGCTCCGCTTCCAGGAACCTGGAGGAGGGAGTCCCACTTACAGGCTTTGAGCCATCTTCCTCTGATTCACAAGGGGGGGCGTCCCTGTCTGAATCTCCACAAGCGAGATCAGCCGTTTCATTTCCGGCCGACATCTTCACTGCAGAGCGCGTGACATCGGTTTCTGTTCGCACAACTAGATCGTTGCATTAATCTTCTTTGTTGTTGTTGTTGTCTCTGACTAATTGTTTGCGGTGATGGAGGCGTTGTCTGGGTGTTGGAAATGTACACAACAGATGGGATTCGCGTTACTTTCTTCCTCTGCGACGTCACTTCCGTTTGAACGTGCTGCTGCCCCCTGCAGACAGACCGGTGTCATTACACACGGATCCCCTCACCAGGTGTTAGGAAGAGTTCACACACTGGCGACTCTGATTTGTGTTTTTGGGAGGCTAAAAGGGGGAAATATCTTCATACCCACGTATTATGTTAGACAAAGCTGCTGACAAAGGAGAAATGACGGAGTATAAATTAGTCCCACGTGGTCTTTTTAAAAAAGAGATTTAAAAAGTTGAACTGATCTAAACTTTTTCCTTTTTTACTAATACAAACTCTATTAAGGGCACCAATTATTTTACACATTTGTATTTACTTTCTTCGTAGAATCTCTAATATGCCGATTAAATAGTTTTTCCTTTTGTTCTGTTTTAAAATTGTGACTCATTAAAAATTATATGTAAAAGTTAACAAGCCTAACCTTTGTCAAATAACCAACAACAACAGCTTCTGTGGCCACAGTAGAATATTAAAAAAGTTGAATTGTAAATTGGTAAAATATTCCTAAATGGTAATGTGCACCAACTTTTAACTTAGTACACTAGTAAACTCTCCTGGTTTAAAATTTGTACTAAACATTTTGTTTTTTTTGGTTATTAGACTGAAGACAATTAAACTCTGTGGATATTGTTCATCCCAAAAAAAAAAAAACACTCCTGACAATTAATAAAAGGTACAAAGTGAATGTGTTGCAATTACACTAGTTAGAAGATAGGTCTACTAAGCAACAGAAATGATCCATCTCTCTCTTCACCACAATTATAAGTCATATTTTTTAATAAGGAACAAACAAAAGTCCTTTACAAATTCTTTTATTTTAAGCATAATAGTAAGAAGCCTCTCCTCTGATTTTCATACAGTTGAAACTAATTGGATCACAAGGGTACATATTAGTTAGCCCATTTTACAATAATCATTGTAACATTTTTAGGAAGTTATTCTTATGCACTCATTTTCCTACACAAAATAATCAATATCAAGATCCTATCTTAACTGAGGACCATAACTCTGCATGCAAGACTAATAAAAGAAAAACAACTAATCTGTGATAGCTACTGTTATGCTGTTGTTCATCTAATACCATTACCAATATAATTTACTACAAATACCAGGGACTTTGTATAAGAAAGTAAACATTTTCCTGTGGAACTACATCTGCTAATGTCAAAATTACAGAACATACTGGGCTCCCAACTGTACTGATCCAAATGGTTCTGTCCACTCTCCATGTCGAGTTGAGAAAAAGGCTTTGTCTAAACCCTAAAAGCTATGACAGATTGAAGGGGGAAAAAAATCATCCAAATCTCTGTTTTTGTCTTTTTTTTGTTTCACTCCAGTGTACAATTGTATCATAACAAAAAACAACAAAGGTCCTTGAAGAAATCATCAAAATGTGATGACAAACGGTCAGACAAATCCTCCCTCTGAATGAAAACTCCACTGAATGACACATGAATGGACTCTCAAGGACTCTATTGCATTTTACCAATGAAAATGAGAACACTAAAATAAAATAAAAAGACAAAAGACAAGGTATAAACAAATAACAAAAAACTACATACTGTATTGCCCTTTTTCCATTCTCACTATGTGCTCACACCGGCGGCATCCCTTCCACAGTTTTTGGAATATAGTGTTTCCAAAGCAAATGACTGCATTCCTCAAACTTGGCCCTTTTGCTACACGTTTCTGTTTTTAAGCTTCATTTAATCTAGTCACTTCAATTTGAATCCCCACTCTGCACACCTTTGCAGCCATCGTCAACCCTGTCGTCTCGATAATCGCTGGATCATTTAAAAGAAAACTTTACGTTACCATTCAAGGTCTAATATGTAACTCATTCTTGTGCTCATTTGTAATGAGGGTCTAACACAAGCTCAGCACAATACAAAGAGCAGATAAAGCACTGTGAGACTTTCACTCAAGGCTAACATCACAAAAAATAAAAAATAAAACTCATCTGGGTGAGACCCAAGTAAAACTGTAGCTGCCTGCAGATTCTTCTTCCCACTCAACACGTTTCAATGCTAAACAATACAGATCTGACCACTGGCTTTTCAGGAAGGGAAAGGATCAAGTTTGAGAAATTCAACAAGCGGCAGCTCTCGTTAGCCGTCTCTTTGCCCTCTGACCAAAAACTAACCACAGCCATCACACAAATCCTGTTACAATGTCATTTAGTAGTACAATGATAACTCGTGTAACTAACGTAAGGCTAAACCCCATGACATTACACACCAGTTCATAATTTTCGGATGAAAAGGCAAATATTAGTGTGTCGGCGAGTCACGCAGGGGCCGACTCTGCTTTCGCCAAAGTACTGAAGTAGGAAACCACGTAGCACTATTGAGAGAGGGGGGGGGGGGCTTTGTTAGGATTAAAAACTGTTACAATGTCAGCAGTGACAATTACCTAAAATATTCATTTTCACCATCAAGATGACCTCTCAACAGAAGAACACAATCTGCGTTAGCGCCACGGAAACCATCAACATTCAGTAACCATGACATCTCGGAGATTTAAAAAGCAAACAAAGAAAAATAAACCATGATGATGAAAGGCATTTCAATGCATTTGATCCACAGTAAACAGTGAAAAAAAAAAAGACAACCATACTAAGGCCACAAGATTTATATACTGCTGCTAATCTCACAATGTGACAATCTGTACAAACATCGTGGGACTTCAAGTGGCCTAAAACCTGCATCCTTTTCCACCAGGACCTGGAGAACCTTCCATGTCTCGGAAGTCCTGGTTACACATGATATTACAGTTGTTTTTTTTCTTTTTCATAACACACTCAGGTACTCAGGTTCCCACAGGACAAAACTGCAACAGTGGTAACAGACTGTATTTGAACCAAACTCCATCTTTTTTGACCCATTTTAAACATGAAAAAGGTGAGATTGGGGGGGGCACCACTCAAGTTTCATAGTGAAATAATAATATACATTTCAGGTATTTACATAGAAATTGTAGACTGGATGTTCCCCTCGCTGATAAAGCCAGACAATGCTCAGGGAGAAGTCTTAGTCTCAGATTTTCAAACAAACTCTGGTCCAGAAATGGGGCGTCAGCCAGGAGTCTGCGCTTTACCTCGAAGGGAAGGTTCAGTTCCATCAATTTCGACTTGAGTGACAATTCTGTTTAAAAATGGGCCGTTTAGGATTTTTTAAAAAAATTTAAAACTGATATGGAAGCTCAAATACTTTTTCTTCACAACTCCATCCCATAAAAAAGAGAAATAAAATCCGGGCAAGCAGTAGTCACTGCCCTTCCCAAGTACCACCATATACAGCTGTTTTTGTCTTTTTTTTTCTTTAAACAATAAAAACGTTTTTTTTTTCCCCAAAAAAAAAAAAAATCTAAGATTTAGTACAAAACAGGATCACTGTTCATCACAGAAATTTTCTCATCTTGAAAAAGAAGGGAGAAAAACAAAACAAAAAAAAAAACAACAAAACACAAACACGAGTGTCCCGCTGTGGTTGTTAAGCCCAAGACTGGAGCTGCGAGATCAGTCTGTGGTGGACTGTGGTGCCCCCCTGCACAGGGCAGAGAACGGGGAACGCTAGCGCGCGGCCCATCTCCTGCGGTGGTGTGGGTGCAGGGAAGGTGGAATGTCAGACGGCCAGCCGCCCCGGGGGCGGGTGCAGCGGGCTCCAGGTGGGGGGGGCGGGCGGGGGCTCCTGGGCGTAGGGGCGCGGCTCGCAGCACGGCTGGCCCTCCACTTTGGCCACGCCGCGACCCTGGCACAACCGCCGGTGTCGCAACAGCCGATCTGTGCGTGAAAAGTTCTTCGAGAGACACACAAATTAGACAAAAGTTAACGGGCCCAACCTTTGGCGAGAAACCAACAACAACAAGCTTCTGATGGCTGATCCAAGTGGGGGGGGGGGGGGGCTGGTACGTACCTGCTGGCACCGCTCGCACTGGTAAGGCTTCTCCCCACTATGGACACGCTTGTGTCTTTCAAGGTGGTAGCGCTGAATAAACCTCATATCACACATGTCACATGCAAATGGCTTCTCTCCTAAAAGAGCACACAAATACGCAGTCAATGCATCCATTTTACAGCCTCGGACCAACAGAATCTGTGCAGCTTTTACTTACTAATCTTACTCTCCAGAATACATTTCCAACACTTACAAAAACACAGAAAGAAACAAAACACAACACTGGCCTGTCTGTAACTTTGAAACATCGCTGTACACTCAGCATCTGACAAAATGCCCTCCTAAAAGGCCTCGTCATCAACTCATTATGTGTAGATCAGAGTGGAGTTTCTTGTTTTCAGGGCCCAGATCTACGCAACACAGAGGCCCCACAAAGAGGGGGGCCGGTTTTTGGAGGCTGGTTCAACATCCCATCAAATGACTTGACAATCCAAACTCGAGTTTGTGGTTATTAGTGCAAGCGTCGGTGCCTCTCTCGGCCACAACGGGCGCGGTGGAGGAAGGCATACCCGTATGAGTGAGGCTGTGTCTCTCCAGGTGGTTACGCTGAATAAACCTCATGTCACACATGGAACAAGCAAACGGCTTCACCCCTACACACACAGAGCAATGCATTAGCTCTACCACCCCCAAAGTGGAGGAAATACAAGTTTAGGGCTCAACGTGGCTCTGGGGCTACATTATCTTCATATTTCTGGTGGGCAGAAGAATGTACTGAGCTGTCACTTCTCTAGCAGCACTGCTGAAAGGCTCTAACATGCAATTCAGACCACACGTTCAACTTTGACACGGTCAGGTTACAGTTTATCAGAACATGAAGCTAGTAGTGTCATTTTACAGAAAAAGAACAGAGAATAAAACTACTACTACTACTTTCCTACTAAAGCTATAGTTGCTCTTAAAAAGTCTTCAAGTTCTTTTCCCCCCTTAAGGTTTATAAGTTGGACTTTGAAATGGCAATCCACTGCTACGTCTTTGAGTAGAATTTCGCTGAATCTTTATTGTAAGTTGTCAAGTAAAAACAACTAGGCCATCAGGTGGCACATGTTGAGGCCTTAGGGCAGTTTATAGGGCTGTGCTGGTTCTTATGCGACAGGACTATACTACAGCTGGTATTGGAAAAAAAAAAGTTTTGTGCTTTCCTAAAAACAAGCTTTGCAGCTACTACTCCTAACAGAGAATCACATGATCACTGACGATCAACTAACACATATTCTGTACCTGAAAACACCTGCGACTAAAAACATGTAGAAAATTATTTCTAAGCGTGTAGAAGGAAGCTTAGCCTACTTTCTGATCTGACCACTGCATCCTATTACTAGGATAAAGCAGAGTACTATTCCTTTAAAGTGGTAAAGAATATAAAAGCTGATTTACAGTACTGTGAAAAAGTTTGTAAGACACATGACGTGTTCCATTTCATCCCTCATCACCATCTCACACATTTGATCCGTCTCTAATGTATTCGCCCGTGCAGCAGGTGGTCTACACAGGATACAGGGTCTTGTTTTCTTGGAAAACTTTAACCCTTCAGACGAAAAAGAGTTCTAAAGTGGTAAAAATTGGGTAAATTCACCCAGACTGTCGGAGATGTTCAGAATACACAGTCATGTTAATCTTCTGTTTATTTCCTTTTCTCGAATAATGTTGCGGCTCCTCATGTTGGGTCCTCCCTTAACGCTGTGTGCCTGAAACCTTTGCACAGTACTGTCTGTCTGTAATGTGAGAGGGCGGGTGTACTAAGGCGTACCCGTATGAGTGAGGCTGTGTCTCGCCAGGTGGTAGCGCTGAAAAAACCTCATGTCACATATGGTACAAGCAAAAGGTTTCACACCTAAACGCAGAGCATCAATGTGTTACTTTCAGGCACTTTGTTTATCTTCTGACAGTCCATCAATAAGTAATACACCACCACTATAAACTTTGATTTTCAATTGATGGGTTGTTAACCACTTTTCACATGTTAAAACTTGTCCAAAGAATTTCAGCTAAGTTTTTTTCCTCTCTAAATACAATTAAGACATGCTATTGTGCTGATCGAATAATGGATCCACATCTAAACACATATTATGAGCTGATGATATCACGGTCCTGAATGCACTAATTACAAACACGTTTAGAATTATTCTGCGACATACAGGCTAACTTTGATAAAGTAATAAGTCTTTCACTTTACAGAATGAGAAGGATGGCCTCAAAAATCTGAACCTGTATTTGCCGTGATGTAAGTGAAGGCTGATCTCTGTGACATGGGTAAGGTGGGCGGGCGCATACCCAAATGAGTGAGGCTGTGTCTCGCCAGGTGGTAGCGCTGAAAAAACCTCTTGTCACACATGGTGCAAGCATAAGGTTTCACACCTAAATGCAAAGTAGCAATATTATATCACTTTACCTCACGGTCCATTTAGTAAAAAACAATAAATAGCTTAATTATTGGTTATTAACCACACATTTGCCAATTCATGCAAAAACAAAAAGACATGTCAAAGTGTGACTGCAAAACTTACTGCTGGACCTACTTCAATCAAAAATAACAGTCCATTTTTAATATAAAGACCTCATTCAAATAGGGATAAAAGCAACCAAATAGCAGTACATATTTGATCCAATCTGATTCTTCAAGGAAAAAATGAGTACTGAATTTATCAACAGTAAGTAAGCTAGTAGAACACAATCATTCTTCTCTAAAAAAAAATAAAAATAAATAAATAAATGAATAAGGGACTGAGGTTTTAAAAGCACACAATTGGAATTTTTCTTTTAATTGCATTCTTTCTTTTATTTTTAGGAAGCCCAGTCTTATATGAGGTTTAAACCATTTCATGTACATGAATGACCCTGCTGAAGGATTTGGGAGGGCCTTCCTTTAAAACTGCTACGGCTCCTGACACGGACACAAGAAAGACAAGGTAACAGTGACCCGCATACTGTGAGTAGACCGGTGCACTGAGGCGTACCCGTATGAGTGAGGCTGTGTCTCGCCAGGTGGTAACGCTGCACAAACCTCATGTCACACATGGTACAAGCAAAAGGTTTCACACCTAAACGCAGAGCATTGAGGAATTATGTTCAGGCTGCATGTGTTTAGCGTTCACAATCCATCAATGGCCATTCAACTTAAAGCAGCTACTGAGGATTGATGGGTTGTTAACCACCACTACAAATGATCTGATAGCATCTTTTTTCTATGTATATATACAAAAAAATAAAATGACCCAATTCCATCCAGTAACTAAATCCTACTCTGTGAACCAATTCAAACCCACAGCCTAACACATGACATGAGCTGATGATGTTTGCAGTGCTGCATTTCTTTTAACATTGAGACTTGTTAACATTTGCGCAAATAATGTGCCGGAGGGCTTCACTAGGATCAGTCTTCTGGTCGGTTTGAGAGAGAATGAATAACTAGCACTGATGTCTGACTAATGAAATGCAAATACACTTTGATCTCTGTGACATGGGTAAGGTGGGCGGGCGCATACCCATATGAGTGAGGCTGTGTCTCGCCAGGTGGTAGCGCTGAAAAAACCTCTTGTCACACATGGTGCAAGCATAAGGTTTCACACCTAAATGCAAAGTAGCAATATTATATCACTTTACCTCACGGTCCATGGTCTAATTTAGGAAATCTATGGTAAAGCTATTGGTTATTAACCACACAAATAGCCAATTCATGCAAAAAACAGAATTCGTATCAAATACTATCTTATCTTATCAGGATTACAATATCCAACACACATCAAAAGAATATGCTGCACATTTATATGGTTATCCTGCCAGTCCTGGCCAGTAATGGCTGAAAACACCCTTTACTTTACACATGCCATCTCCCTTAGGAATGAACAAGCAGACTTCTGAGATAAGCTAACAACCTGAAATGTGCACGCTGAGTTCTAACACTGAATGTCATGGGCACGGTGCACGGACCCATACCAGTATGAGTGAGGCTGTGTCTCGCCAGGTGGTAATGCTGAAAAAACTTCATGTCACACATGGTGCAAGCATAAGGTTTCACACCTAAACGCAGAGCATCGAGAGAATTAATTTTTGCCTCTGCAACAAAAGGAGAAAAAAAAAAATCTTTCCTCCTATCTCATAAACAAAAACGAGCCAATCTGGCCCAAATTGATCTGTGGTTAATAACCAATGTCATTGTCGTAACTTACAAGAGTACAATATGATTTAATAAGATGCTTGTTTAAAGTTACAAAAATGGGGGCTCTTTCATCCACTTATACAACATATGAGCTGATGGTGTCATACTGTATAATGAACAGACTACAGCATTTGGTATGAATACATATACACAAGACTACATCAAGCATACTCATGTCGTAGCATCCTATTTTTGTGACTGGGTTAAGATTGGCAGACGCATACCCATATGAGTGAGGCTGTGTCTCGCCAGGTGGTAGCGCTGAAAAAACCTCTTGTCACACATGGTGCAAGCGTACGGCTTCACCCCTACGCACACAAAGTACCAGCTTTAGCATACAAAGAGACTCAACTGCCAAAAATGATCGGTTCTAAAACTTTACTAATTGCTTAGTAAAGTTTAGCTGCCCCTATCAGCGCTTTGTTTGAACTGGATATTCCAGCATGCGACGACAATCTGAGGGTCCAATTGGCTTTTGTCCACGTCTGAAGCTACAATTGAAATGCTGAGTGCCTGTGGCCAAAGTTCAAATTGAAAAATTGAGGAATACTAACAATTTCCTGTATATAACGCAAAATTGACTAATTTAAACCAAACAAAAATAAAAACTTATCAGATGACTGGTCAGGTAACTGAGGGGAAACTTCTGGGGGCGTATTGCTACTGGTGCAACAACCAATTTACCCACAGTGCCAAAAAATAATGCGCATTCTTGATTTCTACCAAAGATTTGTCAAACTAAATCATTTTTGTCACGCTGATCGCAGAGGTTAAGACAATTTTAGGCAGTTGGGAAAAAAAGAAAAGAAAAAAAAACTACGTTCAACACACAATTTCAAACATTGATTTGCAGAGCAGCTTCAGTGCTTTAGCAAAAACAAAAGAAAGGGAAATCACACTTCATTTCATCTTCAGAAATAAGTAATCCACATTGCAAAAGCCAACTGATAAAAATGGAGTACATCTTTGTGCAAACATGTTTTGAAACAAACTATTCATAACAGCAGGTATGCAATTTCCTGACCATTACGTTGAATGTGAAATGACACAATGACTACCTTGTATGGGTAGTCGCTTATAGATTTGCATGTTGTTTTTTTGGGAAAAAGTTGGAGAAATTCATTTTAGTTCAAAATACTCCCAATGGTTAAGACCTTCTGTTTATCTGATGCAGAACTATAAATGTGACACGAGGAAATAGGATTCAACCCCGTCAGCTATGCACAAAATCTTTAACCTTATGTTTCTTTTCATTTTGCTCAAGCGAGGTATCTTTTATTATTAAATCTGAATGTCATTCACACAAAGAGGAAGATTTAAAGCTGGGTTTTTTTGCATTTGAAAGATAAACTAAGTCATTAAATTTACAGTCCCGGACATTGTTGCTTATCTCTTTTCACCATAAACTAACAAAAAGAAAAAAGTAATATTCCAAACAGATTGTAATGCAAATCGTAGTAGACACCAAAGTAATGTTGACATTTCCTTCATGTCATTTCATATACAAAGTATGGTGGAAGAATTATTATTTAACAAGTGCTTAAGAAGGTTGCAGACGCTGCACGGCAAATTAGCAACAGTCAGCTTAGTGCCAAAAAGCAATCCAAACTCGAGTTTGAAGCAGCCATGTAATCATTAATGTGCGGCGCATGCACCACCAAAGTTGGGGAGCGAGAGGGCTGAAGTTTAAAAAACACGAGGACATACCTGTATGAGTGAGACTGTGCCTCTCAAGCTGGTAACGTTGAATAAACCTCATGTCACACATGGTACAAGCGTACGGCTTCACTCCTAAACACAACACAACAATGTTAAGAGTGGTTTACACACATGGCTTCAGGCTATCAACACCAAAGTTTAAAGAAAACCTATTCAAATCTTTAGACACTTTATTGTGGCATGCATTATCAATAATAAAAAAGTGATAGAAGAAACACAACACTAAAAAGAGCCGAATGAGTTGCAGACACAGAGCATTAAAAGTACGCGATTCAGTTTGGTCCAGTTTGAATATTCAATCCTGAGGCTTGTTTAATACACAGCAGGCCAAAGGTTCCTTTTCTCCCATGAGATCCAATGGCAAATTACTCACGAATCTCTGGTAAATGCCTGCAACCACTATGCTTTTTTTAGTCTAATGTGCCTCTCACTCAAAAACTAGAGGAGTACTAAAGAAAAACACATGCAAAATGTACCATTACAAGGTTATAAAAAGATAACTGACAGAGTCACTTTTTCAGTGGACAGTTTTCCAACAAAGCCTAAAAAGTTGATTTAACGCCTGTGGCGCATATCAGTTTACCAACAAATGGCATAAATGTGCTACAGCAAGAAGATGGGCTTATGAGCAAACAAAACAAAAAACATTTGTCATCTGATTAAGGGGAAAAGTTGCATAGTGAGAGGGGAACAATTAATTCAAGCATACCAGTATGTGTGAGGCTGTGTCTTGCCAAATGGTAACGCTGGAAGAACCTCATGTCACACATGGAGCAAGCGTATGGCTTCACCCCTAAACGTATACAGTACCATATTTAGGGAACAAGTTCTGAAGAAGACGTTTACAAGTCATATTCTACAAGATTTATTTGATCTAGTAGATTTATATATCTTTCACGAAAACTAGTTATTTTTTCAGTAGTATATCTAAACAGCTTAGCTAGCTATTTTGCAAAAAAAGTAAACATGAATGTGTTACGCCAGATCAAGAGGCAATCAAAAAATACGGTACACACACCAAAAATTAAGTAAAATGGAGTCTAATCTTATACAACCACCAGTATAGGCTAAGTGAAAGTTACTATTGCTATTATTTTGTGTTGCTATTATTTTGGGATGAGGAAAACTTATACCCGTATGGGTGAGAGTGTGTCTCGCCAGGTGGTATCTCTGGAAAAATCTCATGTCACACATGGAGCAAGCATATGGCTTCACCCCTGCACACACAGAGCAAATGATTTTGTAAGAACAACACAATGATCTTAACAGGACACGCTCACTTGTATCATGTATCCAGACATGCCAGAAAAAGACACTATTGAACATTCAACAACATAGTCTAATCTGTCAACAGGAATGAAGAAGGGGGCCTCAATGAAAATGTCTTGATGAGGTTGATAAATATCTTCAGGGCTGAAAGAGTCTCTGGACTCCAGTCAAGGGTAACAAACTGATGAAGTATCAGTTAAACATAAAATCGGTCCAAAGTGTGAAGGAATAAGCTCGGGTTCTTCTGAATTGACTCAACATTTAAGATCAGTTTTCAAAAGCAGTCTTTTCTTTTTTTCTCTGGAGTAAATTCTACAGAAAACAGAACAACAAACTCAAATTTGGGCACACGTGGTGAAGAGCATGGTGAACCCGTACCCGTGTGAGTGAGGCTGTGTCTTGCCAAGTGGTAGCGTTGGAAAAATCTCATATCACACATGGAGCAAGCGTATGGCTTCACCCCTACACACATAGAAGTATGTAAGTATTAGCTAGAAACAGGACAGAGAACTTTCACCAGTTGAACGACAACTCTTCCCTTGGAGGAGCTCTTTCTTAAGTTCCACGCATTAATTCGGTCGCTTTGCGCGACAAACGCATTTGTTTTGGAACGTTTTCCTTTTCTTTTTCTTTCCTTTTTAAAAGCATTGTGTCTTTACAGTCAAATGATTAAAGTCAGAACAAAGTAGTAAGTGCCTAGAACAAAGCAGAGCATTCCGCAGGGGAAAAGCTGAAGTTCCTCACACAGACATTGCTCCGACATGGATACTCATCTTCCATTTTCCTCATACTTGTCTGGATGCATCTCAGTGCTTCTGAACGGAGCACTATCTCTGAGCTGCTTGTTCCAGGTAACCCTGAACGGTCTGATTGCATCGCTTTAACTTGGAATGATAAGAAACTTTTGAACCTATTCCCAAATGAACTAGGGGAAGCAGACGCATACCAGTATGTGTGAGGCTGTGCCTTGCCAGATGGTAACGTTGGAAGAACCTCATGTCACACATGGAGCAAGCGTACGGCTTCACCCCTACGTACACAAATCATCAACATATTAGCCACTACGTTTCATTGGAAAATAATGTATAAACACCTGATTATAACGCCAGAGGGGTATCTAGGCTTTGATCATTTGGGAAATTGAAATTAATTGAACTGTGGTGAAGTAAAATAAGTGGGAACAGGGTGCTTTCTAGCAATACAGAGATCTCTGTAACTATATGGATTAAAGACGTCCTGTTTTTTTAACTTTATACTACGCACCTTTATTAAGTGCTCTTGCATAATGGCACAAGTGATAATCTGCTTCAGCTTTTAAGTTTAACCTGCTAAATGTACAGCTAACAAAGCTACATTAGTAACTCTGTCCACAAAAACTTCCATTTCAAAAGGTCGAGGGCATTACGGTTCGATGAATAAGAGCTGCAGCCATTTGTCTGCACCTAAACAGAGGTGGACATCAAAGGACTATCCCCGTGATATTCTGCAGCCTAAGCAAAGCAGCACATGCCGAAATCATTTGCATGCACATTACTTTCCTTATAACAAAATGAGCCAGCTATTTTGGTTCTTACAAATTACATCAAAATACGCCCTTTATCGCAATCCTGTGTTTACTGAAACAAATTGAAGAGAATAAGATAGGAAAATCTAGCCTTCAATATTTTGCTCCGTCAGATTGAAGAAGGAGCACCAATCTGGACAATAAAAAGATAAAATGTTAGGAGAGCAATGGTCCACAGGGCTGATATCAGAGAACTGTGTGTATGTCTCGTGTTAGCGAGGAGATTTACATAGCCTCTTTTACACTTCAAAACATTAATGATGATCTCACTAAACTACACTTGAAATGAGTCAGAGAATGTGTCTTAAAAAACATAGAAACAAAAACAAACAATGGATGCCAGGAGAAAAGAAGAAAAATATTAAAAATACAAGAATAAAATTGCAACAACCATAGACCCTCAACATTAATAATTCTACACACTCCTCAATCATCACACAATCAGAACAGGATATGAAGCCTTTTTAAGATTTTTAACAATCAGACGCCAAGAATCAGAGAACCTGAGCTTCCATATTACATATTTTACCCCTATGTTCCCCTAAATAAGTCCCATGTTTTTCTTTTGTCCTGCACGACTGCATTTTATGGATGTTTACAGCTTTTCTCGTTCACTTTGTTCAGAAATTAAACACTGAATGCAGAGACTAAAAGTGAATTAATAATTATAAAAACTGGGTACGGTAAAAGGACGCATACCCGTATGAGTGAGTCTGTGTCTCTCCAGATGGTAACGCTGGAAAAACCTCATGTCACACATGGTACAAGCGTACGGCTTCACCCCTACACACACAAAGCATAAAATGATTAGCTATTCAGTCTGTGCAAAACTGGGAAGTGTGTGTGAGTGTGTGTGTGTGTGTGTGTGGGGGGGTAAATAAATAATCACAAAACGGAAAAGTAGAATACGGAAAGAACAGATGGTAATTGCCAAGGAGCAAGTGCTCTACAAAACTATTGAAACTAGAATAGAAGATCTTAAAAACACACATATAAACCCAGTAAGTCTGTTCACAATCTGTTGAATTTCAATGCATTTTCCTATGCTGGATACTAAGGCACCAGCTACTGACTTGGAAGAACAGTTAGACATGAAAGCTGACTTACCAATAGGGCATATTTCTCACACAATGACAAAACTATTTTGAGTGTAATGCAAATATCCATTATCTGAAAATGTTTTTCCTTCATTTAAATTTGATATATTTTACACCAATGACATAGTCCTTTGATGTCCATGCAGACACTCCCCGTCCCAAAAAGTCTTCAATAACAGAAACATGCAAAAAGAAAAAATAGAAAACAAGTATCTCATGTTTTCGCAGCTTGAACATTGTCGGTTTCAAAATTGCATACTGGGGTCCACAAGTTTGAGTCAGTTAACAAGTCCACTATCAAAAAGTCAATTTTTCATGACCAATGAATTGTAAGAACTTAATTTGTATGTAATAAGTTTTCCAATCTGCATTTATGCTGAGACCTCTAACAGAAATGAACCACAACCCTTTCTTAAATTAGCGGTCCAAATGTGGACAGCACATTTTGGTAAAAATCTGACAGTTGCTTCAACTGAATACAAATAAAGTTATGAAATCTGCATTGGATGAGGTATCTGAAAGACCAACACAACAATTGTGCACAATACAAGCACGCCTTAACAATAAGGGGGTTTAGACCATCAATGGGAAGGTTTTCATTGTCTTTTCCTAAACCCATGACTTTCTTGAACAAGGAAAAGAGTTTAGCAATGGATGACACACAGCACACACAACATGTTCAAGAGTCTTTCTACTTATCGCACAAAACAGTATCAATTTCAGCCAATTCTGTCAAGCTGAAAAGCAGCATATAGACACCTAGAGTAGTACAGTCTGACATCATTCGAACCAAGTAATCAATTAACCCCTAGAGTTTATATACTGGAACTGGGACAGTGATCTAATTAATTGGCTCAACTGAGCTACAAACACAGCGCAGCTTAACAGTGAATGTAAATGTGCTGACTTATTATACACAATGCATTTACCCCTGTGTTCTAACAATAAAATAAGCGAAAGCACACAAAACCATCAATAACACACACACACACACAAAAAAAAAGTCAAGCAGTTTGTTCAGATGATATGAATTCATTTTCAGTAAGCTAGTAATGAAAGGAGAAAACCAGAAAAGGGGTTCATAGATTCAGCAAAAAGTAAATAGGTACTGACAGACAATACCACATGATATATAAACTAAATGTACAACAAATACATTATTACATTTAGAAAAGGGGTTTCAAATGGGGGGGAAGAGTTTTTAATAGTGGACTCTGGACTACTGGACCAGGTTGGCTTTGAATGATATTCATCCTAATGTGGGGGACAAGTTTATGTAAGACTGTGCATGCCATTTTGGAATGAACATATTTAAGGGGTGGCTTTGTTGGAAATTACTGTCCACAGACAAAATGAATTCTAAGAATATGTCCCTTTATGCATGACTTATGCAATATGGGTACGGTTAAAGGACGCATACCCGTGTGAATGAGGCTGTGTCTCTCCAGGTGGTAACGCTGAATAAACCTCATGTCACATACGGCACAAGCATACGGCTTCTCCCCTAAACCGAAGAGCACCAGTTTAGTTCAAGTCCCCACAGATACCAATCAGCTGTGAGGCAAAAGCTATTACCAGACAAATTTAAGCAGGCCATTGCAAACCCTTACAGCTGCTTCACACTCCTAGATTCAGTCCACTTCAAGCGTTCAAGTCCTCTTTCAACAATTCATTCATAAATTCAGGCAACAAAAACTGTTCTAGCCTCACTGTGTATTCGAGCTGCTCAATCCATGAACCATACCTGTATGAATGAGGATATGTCTCTTCAGGTGGTACCCACTCCTAAAAGCTCCGTAACAGTGATCACAAATAAAATTTTTCTGCACTTTGGATGCCGGCCCATTCTCGTCCCCACCTGCACCCTGAAGGAGCACAAAAACGAAACAAAAGCGTTTACAATCTGCTGAAAATGTCATGTTTAAAAAAAAAAAGAAGATCTTAACACAATTGACGAAGTATTGAATACTTTTCACAATTGGAGAACTAAAACAATGGAAATTGTAAACATTAAACGAAGGTTTTATCTATTCTAAAACAAATCAAACTTTTAGAAGAGAGGGCAGAGCAGGAATGTGTACTGAGAGTTTTTTTTGTATGGGACTTCTATTTAAAAAAAAAAAAGAAGAGAGAAATACCTCACAGACCCTCCCAGTGGCCTAATGCCCTCCTGTTACTGCTCCCTGTTACACACACAACTGCCGTTATTGTGCTCTGCTCCCCTCCCCCCCTTTCCTCTCTAGAGAACCACCACCCCCTCCACATCTTCCCTGTGCTCCTCCCCCCACCCCCACACGCTAGCAGAATGTGCACCCATGAAAGCTCCACAGTTAGCCACACTCCAGTAAAGTTAAACGCTACAAGAAATATTCAAGTACAAGAAGCCAAAGGCTCCTTGGAGTTGATAAGAAAAAATGAACGAGCCCAGCAGAGACCATTCCCCTTTCAGGAGACATAGCCACTGACCTTCCCTCCCCTTCCTTCTTGTTCTCTCACTTTACAGGGCGTCACTGATTTCCTGTTCTTTTTTTTCTGCTGCATTTCTTCGTTGGCCCTCATCTCTTTCTCATCCAGCAAGCGGGGAGCCTGGAATTCTCCTTCCTTCCGGATAAGCTGAGGAGCAGGAGAAAGTTAATCATTTCTCATTTTCAGAGCTTTCACCTTACACACTGTCAACAGAGCACCTGACACTTGCCAAAATAAGCAATCATTGTAAATGTTTATGATATCAAGCACACTAAGTGCTGACTGTATAATACAACTTTTGTATAAGTGTATTTGTAAAATGTTTAAGAAAGAAAAAAAAAGTATAAAACAAGAAATTTAAAAATGTATAGATAGTATCAGGCCATTTTGAATAATTGGCAGAGCATGCCAAGAGGCTGAGTTAAAGAAGGATAAATGTTACCACTGAAAATACATCCCTCCACAATCAGATTTTCAATTTCATGAGAGTAAATGGTTTACAGCCTCTAGTCTACTAAAAGCAAAGCAAATAAAAGCCCCATTTCCACCCCCCCAATTTCCCATGTGGGTCCTAACCAGGGGTGGACAGCTCATTCCAGATGGGAGGATCATATGGCTTTGAGGAGCACGGTCGGATCCATCTCTCTGAGGTGGTCCATGGCCAAGTGGTGCCATCATCTTTTTGGGTGGAGCAGCCATTGAACTGGCCTGCATCAGGGCCATGCTGGAGAGGACAGCCTCGCAGCCAAGCAGCCCCGCCTGCACACACAAAAATACGAATAAAGAAATGACACGTTACAAACTATTTCAGGCACAATCCTCAATTTGAAAATATCTGCATCTCAAGACAATATTGCCAGATGGCATTTGTCAAGTAAGTCATCAATGACAACATCCTGAGTGACAAGACTGATAGTTAAACGTATTTAGAACCACTTTGGTGTTTTCAAAACAAACCCATTTCATATGGTCGCGGACTGAGCTGCTGGGCAGATGGGACATTGCTGTGGTATATGTGAGCGCAGGGACAGGGGTGGGGACAAGGTCATCCAGAGATCCGTCAGTCAGGATGGTCAGGCTGGTGGGAAGCCGCACCCACCTCACTCATCTAGCATTAAAACTGAAGAAGAGGAGGATGTGGGTGAAACAGAAAAGTATTGCCTTACAACTGTTTCATCTGCCGACTTTATTCTTTACACACAAAACACAATTTCATGCATGCATATGTCTTATTTGTACAAAATAATGTGTTGATATCTTCAGTTCCAATCTTTACTATTAAACTCATTATTTGCAACTGAACAACCCAAACACAAAAGACATGATGTAACCTACACCACCTAACAAATGCCACGTATCAGTTTTTAAACAATAAATATCTCTAGCATTTCTAATTGGATAGGGGATCATTATGACATTATTTTGAACCCCCCCCCCCCAAAAAAAAAACATGATAGACAAACATGGTATTTGGTTGAGTTGTCTACATCTCAAATGCTTCCCAGACTAAATACTTCCTTTGTTAGCTGTGAGACACCAGAAATGCATTGCAGTTTGTCTTTTTGTGATAAAATCTCTATATTCAAAGATACGTGCAGCAAAGTCGGGCGAATAAAGGAGTGGAAAAGAAACTTTAAACCTCTGAAGTAAGGTGCTGAACACCATGAGGAGGACACATTCAAGTACCCTAAAGCTGTACCTCTCGACATTCCTTGACAATATGCGATTTTTCTTTTCATCTAGATAGACACGTATACAACTACAGTCTGGCGTCCAGGTGCAACAAAAGGCGGCACAATTAGACATTTTACCATGATGTTTAGCCCAAAATCTCCATCACAATGAGAAGAAAAATTTAATTTGATCGTGTGAGGCCGTTGGATTATTACCCAAAAACTGTTAAATTGTCGAACTTAACTTTTAAACTTGGTTGCATACGTAAAAGTAAGTGGGATTCGGGGTGACCGGTATATGAATTTAACCGTTGTTCAGTTCTCACATTGGTCAACAAACGGAAGCTAACGTTGGCGAGGAACACAGACAGCTAGCCGACCGCTAACATAGCTCATGCTAATTAAAGGAGTTGAGTATCAAGTATATCGTTACTTTTCATTTTTAGATGTTGTGCTTGGCTAAAAAATAACAAACAAATTACTCCAACACAATAGAGCCTGTAAATATATGCTATTTTTCCCTGCACAAGGGGAAGTGGCCTTCGCATATCTGCCCAACCTAACGTTAGTTTTGCTGATGTTGAGCAAGCTGGCTAACATCAGCTAGCCAGCAGCTAGCTGCTCGCTGGCGCCCTCGGCCACTGTTATGTTAAGGCCTTCAACAAACAAAATTTAAGCCCACCTCTGCATCGATTTGAAATATCTACTAAAGAGGAGCAGAAATTTCACAAGCTGGATCCCTTCATGTTTTCTTCACGGGACTATTGAGACGCATGAGCTACACTGGATCCAGTCGAGGTTCTGCGATAAAGACATTCGTGATGGCCGTCGTTGCGAGTACCTCCCCCTCCCGATCATTATGCTAACGTTTGTTAGCAGGCTAGCACTGACGCTGTAACAATGTGCAAACCACTTTGCTCCCGTCGCTCGAGCGTGAATCTTTCGAATCCAGAAGCAGACAGGCCCTTTCATGATAGAAAAAAAAATATGGCGTTTTTAAAGGATAAAGGATATTTTCTTACCTCTCAGCCTCACTCGCAGACGTTTTCAGTACCGTCTAGTTTACAAACACAGGAAACGCCACAGGATGTGACCCACTCCCCCACACAGCAGCAGCGAAGCCTCCTTAGCCGAGGAGAAAAGGCTCATCTTTTTCTTCCAGCTCCCCGGGAACAGAGTGTTAACTGGCTCGAAACAACCCGTAAAACTGTTAGTCCATTTCCATTCCTCATGTGGAGATTTCACGCCCACTAACGCTTTCCTCGGTCGTGTGTTGTTGGGGGTGTTTCTGGCCTCTCAGCTTGCAGCAGATAGAGACTACCACCAAAAGAGGCAGATGAAAAAGAGGGAGTGCACACTTAAAATGACAGAGAATGGGTACGGGTAGACGACCACTGGGGGGGTGGGGGGTCGATGTGGCTTCACTCTTCCACCTCACTGCTGTGTTAGTGGAAGTGGGCTTGTGGTTACGCTGGTTCCTACTTTTACGCTTTTTGATTGCCTTCTTGGTATTTTCCCCTCTAGTATTATAAGTGTATCAACAATGACGTAATCTTCAGTTATGTATAATTTGTTTGTTATATGTTTTATTTATTTTGTATGCCTCAGTACTATGTATTTTGTTTCCTTAATATGTATATTAAAAAAAAATGTGGTTGTCGAAATTAAAATGTGTACATTTCAGTTTAGTTTGGATAAATGTTGGTGAAACTGGCTGCATCCTATTTTGAAAATAAAATTCTAGGCCTAAAATGTAAACAGGAATGTAAGCACACCCATAGACACAGAACGAAAACAATGAAACATTAAGAAAAAATAAACCATTTTAGATAATAGAAAGCACAAACGATAACATTCATATATACTTTAAATGCAACAGTGAAAGCAGGTGAACATTTCAGGGAAAAACAAGGGCACTGTGGCATTTCAGAAACCTTTTGTCTCAGTTTCCTTAGTGTATTATATTCTGATACACTGTAATGTATTTTACATGTAGGTATTTACAATAGGTTTCCAAAATGTTTTTGTAACTTTTGTTGTTTTCCATTTAGAGAGTTTGTGATTTCGTTTTTAGCTGTGTTGTGGAATAGAATGCATGTTCTTATTAATTTTTTATGTTTAAGGAATTTCATTTCATTTCGCTTGTGTTTCCTTTTTTATGTGCACTTTTCTCTGAATGAGTCCCAACAATTCTCTCCTGGGATGGCCCTAAGCAACAATGAGGTGGAAGATGCAGATCCTGACTCGAGGTGGGCAGCTGTTTGCCTTGACTGGTACACCATGAAAGAAAAAAATATCTGCATGAGCTTTTTTTTATCCAAACATTCACAGGCTGATTTAATTTAGTTTTTTTCACTATGAAAATAATAAAATCAACAAACCATCTTGTGACTTGTGAAAGGAGGTACGTATGAGAGGAGTATGTCAAATTAATATGTATTTCCGTTACAAGCATAGACAGTAAATTAATTTCATCCACCAAAAGGTTGATCTGATAGACTTATCAGCCTCTTTTAGCCAGGGTAATGTTAAACTATGTTTGTCAACAAAGGCACATCATTACATTGCTGTAAAGGTGAGGTTGAATGTTATGGTTTAATTTAAGGAAACACGTATAATAACAACATACAACAAAAATATTTAAAGTTTACCTTTAATAGAATCTGAAAGAAAAAAAACTTTCCTTCTGACCTACTACACATGGCCCCATTTCAGTGTGATTAGTTAAATTCCCCATGATAACCTAGGAATATATAAGAGACACTGTTTTGTACAAGGAAGTTGTGTATGGTCTACTTTCTGTTTATCTAATTTAGGAGGCAAATAACATGCAAACATCCAATGCAACCTGAACAGACTCATTTTGCTCGTCACGTTTGCTCAACAATTAACAGGTGTGTTAGTATTTATACAGCACACACCTCCTATGTTTTTATCATCACATCCTTTCTCATTATTATCATTATTATCCCGGTACTAACTGTTGAGATGTTACAGTCGGCGTTTTCTTTTCCTTTCCGTTTGTCATTCACTAGAAATGTTCCTTTCTGTTTGCCATTCACAAGAAATATGAACAAAGAACTTTACGCCCCCCCCCCCTCCGAAACTGTACCGTGCTGTGTACGAGCACACACACCCACACACAATTTCAAGCTCTACCAAATTGCACCAGGTAAGGGTAATGTAATGCCTAAGGTCATTGGTCCATAAAGATCACATGACTTGGCTTTTCCACTTCCATTGCACCTTGGCGCTCACTCCTCCTCAGCGCAGCCAGCGGTAGCAGCTAGTGTCAGGTGTCCAGCAGGTTTCACAAAGGAGTGACTCAACGGAAGTTCCCCCAGGTAGGACCAAACTCTTCGCAAGGGGAAAAAGAAACGTACATTTTTAGCCATAAATAACATTAATAGTCTGGCTTTTGAGTACAGGAAGAAGTGTTTTGTTTTTTAAGGTTAAGGCTAGGTAATGAAGTTTTAATAAACGCGCGTGCGCACGCCCAGTCTCGTTCTCAGGGGAGCGAGTGTCTTCGCAGCAATAGCTTTCATACGAGTCCAGCTGTTGTATTTTAAGCTTCGTCACCACCGCCTTCTGTTTAAAACCTGCCTAAAATTACATAAAATACTTCCTATGTATTCGTCTTTTGTTTCTATACTGCATTTGTCCAGTTTACAGCTGTCTTTTTTGTGGCAAACAGAAAACGGCCTTTTCCAAATGTCTATGATACACCTGTAATTAAAGTTCCTCAGATGACATGTTGGCCCTTAAGCTGGCTCTTGAAGTCATGTCTGCTTATTGCACACTTCAGTGCTGTTTGTACAGCTCAGATGTAGATGTATCGCATTTATATTTTCTTGAGACTTATTTTTTCCAAATGTGTTGCTGTTTTTAACAAAAAAGATTCTGACAGTAAAATGATCAAATTTCAGTTTTTAGAATTTATGAGGGTGGGTAATGGATACAAGCCTTCTCTTCATGTGTCAGACCCCCTTGCACGGCTACCTCTATAAGATCTTCTTATCTTTGACAGTTGTAACCAATGATACTGCTGATCCAGCTAGTTCTGTTGTTGTCAGCTGAAACTCAGGGAAGTAATGTTGATGGTTGCTGGGTTATTCAAATGAAAGCCTAAAGTCCTTAGTAAAATCTGGAGGTCAAAGTGGGACCGTAATAGAAAGGTTGTCATTATAAAAGACTTGGTTTTTATTGTAAATATCTTTATTAAACCAGGGTGTTTTTAATGGGTAGTACTTTTGTTTTAGCTATTTTCCTATTTTTCCTTGGGTTGTTCTATACACATGCAGAAGAGCTTGGGTAACTTGTGTCACCTCCTTTGAAGACAGGTGAGCTGCCATAGGCGACTCCCTTCCTTTGCATGAAGGAATTGTCTTCAGTCTTGCTAAAAGACCTGCGGTTTCAGTGAAACAGTGAAATTATAACTCAGGATGCCTGCTTAGTGCAGTCAATCATTTACGTGTATAGCTAAGTGATTGACAATGTAAAACAAAGTAAAATCATGTAGCAGTAAAACAAAAACAATAAATGAAGGAATTTAGATTAAAAAGCCCATCAGGAAGTACTTAAGCACTGGATTGTTTGTCATAACACATAACACTGTGCTAGAAGGAAATGCAATAATAAAATAACATATGCTATGATATATAAGCTGTTTATTGTTGTATTCTTCTAAATGTGGGGTCAAGCGAAGGGAGTACTTGCGTTTTACTATTTTTTGAGTATTTGAGTCAGAGGTATGTTGATTTTCAGTCCAAAGTCCTGAGTCTTGTCACCAGTATTGCTCAGCATGTCAGCAATGAGGTAATCCTGTAGGTGGGCCTGATGGAAACGGTGCAGATCTCAAGATAAGCAGTCACTATTAAATCACCTGTAGTCATCTGTGATTAAGATTTATGGTTCCTAACATGTGTTCTCTGAAGTCTCCTGAATAGATTTATGGCCTGACATTATGGTGTGTTCTGTCAGACACTGAAAACAAATCCCAAATTTGTCCCTCAGCATCAAGGAATAGGTTTGTACCAGCATAACTGTATGAAAAGTGTGTGTGTGATTGCTCTTGTCCTCTATTGGTGACTTGCTTTCTTGTAAATGATAGTGGGCCCTCGTTCTGCTTCGTCGCTTTCAGTTTGCGTTCCCATTTTGCAATCATGCAGCATGGGCAGCAGTACGAGTTTCAACACGTTGACACGTCTTTTCTCATACGTAGCAGCATAAGCACATAGTGTTCATTCACTCTGTGGAATGTGTGTCAGGCTGCTGGATGCGAGAAGAGTTGAGTGACAGATAGCGAATGATAAACTTGCAAATTGATAATCTTGGACAGAACATAGATGGAAGATCTACTACATGCACAAACATTGACCGTGACATCACCATTCTCAAGAGCTGGATGTCTAGACAAGTTTTACCGTTGTTTACATATTTGAATAAAGGCTCTTTTGTCTGTGTAAAGTTTGTCTGGTGCACTCATACTGCATCTTCCGTATGATGAACTACCACAGCTTTTTTATATTAAAGACACATTTATTTCTAACAGATACAGGCAAGATGAGGTAGAGGATCCTCTTCTTCAGTTCTATTTTTTATTTTTGGAATATTTTATATTTTGTGAACATTTTTCTTTTGTTTGCTCTAAAGGAAGCAAAACATGAATCCATGTAATTATACAAAATCTGAATTACTGTGTTTTAAGTGTTTCAAATTCCTCTCTGTATCCCTTTCCAAAAAGAAGCTCATGGGATCCTTAGAAGCATCACATGGTCAGCACAGCTGTGCAGCCAGCTGCTGACTGAAGACATACATATTTCTAGCTAATCTCAGTATGATAATGATAGAAATGTTACTGAATTATAACATGAAGATGAATCTGCAAACCTTATTTGAAAAACAGTTTAAATGAAACTTTTTGAAGTTGATTATTCCCAAAAAATTTCTTGTTTGTGTTTCAAGTTGTCAGACAGTTGTCAGATATGGAAAGTGGTCCCTTTAACCGAAGGTCCTGGGCGACACAGTCCTTGCGTGTCACTGCCAAGGAAATTTCACTGGTTGGTGGCCGAGGGAAAAGCAACGCCATCGCTGAACGCTTCTCCAAGTGAGTAACAGTCTGTTTTCTAGAATCTTACTTATCTTAAAAGGACTCTATGCACTTCTACTGAATAGCAAATCCATTATTAGATCCAATGGGGCAAAAAGGCCAGTCTGTATGCCCTAAAATCACATCAGATTTTCCAACTTACTCTGCAAAAATGGTAACTGCAAGGTCAAAGTCAGGTGTTCGTTATCAATCAATTAGATACACTTTTATCAAAGTCTGATATTCACATCACGTGTACAAAAAATAAGGAAGACATTTGTAGATATTCATCAGTGTCCAGAGAATTAACAATGCAGTTTTGAAAGATCTGTCACAAAGTGGCATCTTTGGAAGAGACAGACAAACTCTCGTATTTTAATTAATGTTGAAATTCATGCCTGCACAATTATTCCTCTCCCCCTCAGGTACCAAAAAGCTGCTGAAGAGGCAAGTGGAGAAAAGAAGAAAGGGGTGAGTATAGCTCCTTAACCGTCCAACGGATGAATGCCAGACATGCTTAATTTCCAACTGACGTTCATTCAAGAGATATTTCTAACTTGAATTAAGTCTGTGTTCCCACAAACACAGGCCAGGGTTAGTCATTCAAAGATAAACCGCACAAATTAGTACATTTTACTGCCATCTTATAAGCTTGAATCAGCAAACCAAATGATTAAATGAGGTGTGTCTGTGCCGCATGTCTTGCTTAATTTTCTCAGTAGCTGCTCGTGGTGATAAACTAATTAAGGCCTGCAGAGATGAGGAATACAAACACATACTCACTGATTCACCATGCCAACATGCTGTCTGAGCCAGACCTCTTGCCCTGGCTGACCCTTCATTGGCTACGTGTTAAGGCAGGCTCCCTATCAAACCCATAATCCTACTTCACTGTAATCCCCTTGTAATGCTTACTAAGGTTCCAACTACGGGTTAGCTGCTTTGTCAGTGTGAAAGAGTGATGATAAAACCTGGACTGAGATCAAATGAGTAACCGATCAGCTAATGCCATGAGGAAATACAAGGTAACGTGTCTGCAGTTGTGCGTGGTATGATGACTGTTCCTGAGAATGTGTGAAGCAGCTGGTTTAAAAGCTTGTCAGCATCAATGATCGTGCTGTTAATGACAATAGGGTGTCTGCCCACTCCTACAGAGACATGACGTGAAGATAACTGTCTTGCCTAGCTGGAGCCGAAGCAACAGGGACTTTTACATTTTGCATTTAAGAACCATAAATTCAGGTTTTCATGTTAAGTATTATTTTTTGCCATGTCAAGTATTATTTGTACTAATTGATACTTCAATAATTAACTTGTTGATGGTTAGAATTCAAATGTCTGAATTAATTTGATTCGAAGGTCTAGTTTAAGTTACTGTGGCTAACACTGAAGTGTCTGAGTCTCATTTAAATGAGCAGCAAGGAAGACCATCTGCCTGTGTGTGTGTGTGTGTGTGTGTGTGTGAGTGTATGTGGGTGTTTGTGTGCGTGCGAGAGGGGTGTTGGGGGAAGGGGTGCTTTTGTAACTTGCATGAGAGGATTAGTCCTTTAGGTAAATCACCATACTTCAAAAAGTTACAAAAATCTATTTAAGGGACCAGTTTTGAAACTTGACTTTGGTTTGGAAACTTTTGATGACCATCTCGCATTATATCTGTTCAGCAACATACTGGATGCATCAACAATCAGGATCAATTTAGGGACATGAATCTAAGACATGATAAGGGCTTCTCATGTTTATGTTTTTTGTTACACCCTGTTGAACCCTGACCCTAAACCGAGTATATCCCTTGACCGAGTAACTACTTAATTTACTCAGGACATTATTTTATCCTCGAAAGCACAGGATTCAGACCCATGGTTCCTAATTGCCCATGTGTAATTGTCATTATATAATGAAAATTAATATGACAATAATTATAGGTTGGCATTAAAAAGCTATATATCTGATCTAAAAATTTTTGCGATCCATTTTTCTCCTGCCATTATTTTTCAGTATTAGTAATTACTTGGTAACTCGCCCTGCCCATACATTTCATGTTGTTGATTTATTGAAGACAATTGAAGACTGTATTAAATCTTATGTCAGTAGGTTGAGCCCTCAGAGTTAAATTCTTTCCAAGCCTGACCAATTGCTTGTTTTTCACCAGAGGGGAGAAAATGTGAACTGAACGTATATGAAAGGCTGAGGTTCATTTGGAAGTAAACAGCTGACGATGAATGTTCACAGTAATCACTGAAAAACAAAAGGTTCTTTTACAGAGTCAAACAATGAGCCAAAGAGTTTTGAAAAAAATAATATTACTGCTACTTTTCATTTTCTGTTACAACTGGATTCTGTTCCTGCATGCTAATGTAATTCTGTGGTATCTTGAGATGATTGTGTATAATACGGTATGAATAATTTCATTGCCCCACATTGTATTCTCCAAAGTTGAACACTCGCTTTCCCAATTCCTTAAAGCTGTACTACTCAGTAAGCAAATGCTTGAAATCAGACACAATAATGAGTAATCTCTGAGTCAAAATGGAGTCACTTTCAATGACATAAACTGATGTTCAACTGAATAGCCTGCCATTACAATTGTTGGAAGAAGAATTAGTTTCTGTGATCATCTCATAAGTAGTATTCCAAATTACTTTTAAACACCTTTTTTAAATGTAGCCTTTGGCTCTGGATGTTTTGCAGTTTCTAAAACATTACTGAAGTCTGTTTAGAAAAAGACCCTGGATACATTTTTTAGAAGTATCATTTAAAAAAAATCTTTTATTAGAGCAAGGAATTCTCAGCCCTAACGGCCAACAAAGAGTTAACTTTTCCCTGAATGTATCATTTCCTGCTCTGGTTTCCTGGGTATTCTGACTCTTACACTTTCCTGGTGTTAAAGGGGTTGGACCAGCTCTTACAAGCAGATTTTGTCTTGCTGCTATCATCTGGGAGAACTCGACCTCTTGCGGTCTCTCACACACAGACGTTTCGGGGAGGACTAACCGAAGGACTCACTTTCCCTGCTGTCCAGTTGTGGTGACATCTAGTTTGCCCATTTCCTCGCATTAACAAAGGTTTCTATTTTCTGTTTTCTTGAAAAATGGGGAACGGTCTCGTCACTATCCAGTTTTTTCCATTCTTACTGGACTAGCTTCACAAAGGCAGTAATTGTGCCACTGTGTGTTTTTTTCTCCCTTGTGGGGCTTTGTCTCTATTGTTTAACCATTCTTAACCAAGTTCTTATTTTTTTTTTCTTTTGTGGTCGGTTGATGTGGCAATGTCAGTTGTGAGTTCTTCGTTATCATTTCTAATAATCTCTAAGTGAAATTATATTTTCAGTTTATTTTTTAGGAAGTGAGGTTGTGATATTATCATATTGTTTTAAATGTTCATTACTAAACAGAATTAAGTTATGAACTTATTTTACAAATACTCACGATTTTTTAACCTGATTTACCCTCGCGCCCATATCCTCTTTTCTTGTGCATGTCATTTCTCTTTTGTAATTAGGGAAGTTCCCGTCTGCAGCAGTGTGGCGTGCCCCCTGTTGACATGTCATGCTGTTCATTGCTTTGTTGCTAAAGGCAGTAAATGTGGGGTGAACGAAGCACGCTCCCAGGGTTTTTGGAGTGAGATGAAGTTGTCACGAGGAAAGGAATGCAGCTGGAAAAATCTGCCTGCATGCTCAGCCCTGTTTATCATTGTTATAAGTCTGCCTTTAAGACCTCAGCAGCAACGACATGTATTTGCTGGAGCCGCTTTGAACAGCTGTTTGGCTAATCTACCCGTGGAGCCAAGTTGTGATTCAGGCATTTCCTCCATTCCAGTGAATGGAACTCAGTGTAACTACGACAGCCAAATAGTCATACTTTGGAAATGATTATTTTTGGTTGTCCGTGTTTGTGAAGTTTATTTAAAGTTCATCTGGGCCGTGTGCCTTCTTTTTTTCCCATCTTTTCTTCTGCACAGTCCATTGAGAGTACTACATCCCTCCGCTCTGGAAACCTTAGTGTTCTGAAGAAGCGCTGGGAGCAAGCAGGAAACCTAAAGCAAGACAAAACTCCATCTGTTCCACCTCCAACCAAGTCCAGCTTTCGCCACAGGCCTCCAGCTCTGTCCAAGCCTCCTTCTATCAGCGAGGACAGCCCTCCAGTGAAGAGCCCTGCCCCACTGACCGATCAGGGAAGTCAGCGAGCAGGCACACGAGTCCAGCAGAAGCGTGCCACTACAGAGGTGGAAGACCAGAGAGAAATGGACAGGGATGAGCTTTTCAACAGCAGAGGAACCGAAAAGCTTGAAGACGAAGTTCCCACCAGCCCGCATGCCACATATGAAAAACCCAGAGTGCCACTGAACAACCTGAAGATGAAGTTTGAGAGAGGAGAGGATGCTGTAGTCAAGGTAAAAACGTTGCTCTCTGTAATCCTGTGATCTTATGTACTTTGCATTGATCATTGCGACTGTTAGAAAATATGTTAAGTCCAGAAAATCACTTCTTTCTCCGTTTGGAGACTGTACTCATTTATATTTGATAGACATAATGAAGAACACTAAAACATTCTGTTTTATACCTTCACAACTGTATTTGAACAAACCGATTTTATCGTTGAAACCAAGCCAACAGCCTCTTAGTTCGTGTCTGTAGACTGTAACAGCATTCATACAGTATTTGTTTGGTTAAGTACTTCAAGAAGGAAGCTCTAAATCTCATCTTTATGAGCCTCTTTATGACTGTTTTTGCTGTTGGTCACATTTCTAAGCGGTTTGCTGAAAGCGTGATCTTGATGTTAGTCATGATGTGTAAAACTTCATTGCCTAATGTCATGTTTTTTCTTCATTTTTTCTTCCACCTGGACTTAGTTCCTCCCCCACTCATCCCTATCTCTTGCTGCCATTCTTAGTGCCTTTCTCTGTCTTGGCCCAAACTAACAAGCACTCCAGTCTTTGGCTTCTGTAGCAGAGGAATGCAGGAACATTCCTGGCCAAGGCCTGTCTCATTCTTCACAGGATCACCTCAGAGCAGCTACCATCTTTATCTAACCTTTCATTAGTATTCCCCAGTCCTGGATTACCTTTGAGTGTGTGTCTGGTTTTGAAAGAACATTTTTCAAACGAGTGTCTCAAATGAGAGGAGCACAACCCTGCTGTCATATAATTTTAAGTGTGTGTAGGATGGCTGCAAAGAGAAACTGTCTGCTTAACTCATTTGACTCAGTCATACGGAGCATACACACACACACACACACACATACACACGTAGCTGGTTCTTAGTGAGGGGTGGTAGAGAAGTTAGGGGTCTTTTGATTGAAGATCAGACATCTTTGTGGCAGTCACAACAGAGACCAGGGAATCTAGTTTTTGGGAAGTTATAACCAGATGCCTGGAAAATGCTTCAACTTTGATTTTGCTTAGTTTTTGTTGTTGTTTTTCACTGCAGTGTTACTTTGCATTGAAGGTGCTTATTTGCTGCAGGGCACTGTTGACTTGTTTTCTTTTAGTCTGTAGAGCTAGAGGAGAAAGCTTGCTCTTCACATGATCTTATGATACTGCACTTGAGTTATTCATGTGATCCGGCAAGTCAGACTACAGGACCAGGGCACATTTGTTGGTTTGGTTCTACAGTTCTTCACATACACTGAAAAATAAAGTTTGAATTTGGTCTACATTTTCTTCTACTTTTAGTCAGGAATAAAAAAAGGACAAATTCAAACTTTTCTGAAAGCAAATTAAAGGTTTACAGCTTTGCTTTCATAATCCAGCCCTGCTCTCATCAGTGTGTTTGCTCTTTCAGGGAGGAAGGACAAAGCTACGCAGCGCCTCATTAGAGGACGCTGACCAGCATGGCAGTAAGCAAAAATCAGCTCATTTGTAAAATGTAGCAATGTTTTGTTTTTTTTCTGGGGAAATTTGATAAATACCAATCTCACAAACAAAGCATTTCCACTGATTCTTCTTTCTTTTTCAGGTCCGTCTGACAAAGTGCTGGAGTCTTCATCCCTGAAGGAGAAGATGGCAAAGTACCAGGCTGCTCTTTGTAAACAGGTAGACAGGAGACTACACGATACGTGGGTTCATAGGGAAAGAGATAGCTAACAGGTTTAGTATGTAATTACTGCAAGTGAGACATGGATGAGAATTAATGGAAAGATTCAGAGCTTGGAAACCAGGAGGGCTTCAGTCCAAAAAGAGCGTCAGGAACACAGTGGAGGGTGCTGGCAGGCTGGGTCCTTAAAATCTAAAGAGCAAGGAAAGACAGATTATACAAAAACAAGTTTTGTAACAGCACTGGTTGTGTCTACAATCTTGTGATAGTGCGTTCCTGACCTTCAGAGTAGATTGGAAACGTAAATCGACACAACACAACCACATCCAAAATAAGAGGAAGGAGAGAGGAGGATGATGGAGAAAGCCCGGGTCTCATTAAACTTGTTTCAATAAAAGATAGTTTATATCTTTAATAATTAGAAGGCCAAAATTTTAAAATGATTAGGAAATATTCTTCTTCTTTCACTTGTAAACTTCAACAGTAAATTATCTGCGTAAGACTAAAGAAATAATAATAATAGGACTTTATTACTTACAGGAGTTCATTCAGTCATAACTCGGCTCTGACTCCATTAAAGTATTAAGCATGTTGCAATGTTACAGGAACTGAGCTATTTCAGCCATTCAACATATAATTTCTGATTGTTATCTTTGTGGTTTGCACCCTTCTCTCTGAAGTTTCTGTCTTTATTCCTGTCTCTGACATAGGCATGATCCTACTGATTTATCCTCAAAAAAATTATTTTCTTGTTCCTTCCTCTGTTTCTTTTAGGGTCCACCTCCAGAAATGTCTCCTACAAAAACATCTGCACCTGTAATTGAGAAACACCCGCACGCCAAGGAGTGCAACGGTAAGTGTAACCAGAGAGTCAGAGGGCGTATTTCATTCATGCAGTAAAACATGACGTTTACAACTTTGGCATTGAGAGCAACGTGTAGTTTGCACCGTCAGTTAGTGAGCAGCAGCTTAACTTCACCCCGTTCTTTGTTTCAGGGGAGAGCACCCAACAGCGGAAAGCACCCAGGGTGAGTTATCAAGGCACACAGAGGACATAATTGTGCCTTTCTCCTTTGAAAAAGAAAAGTAGGTCCATCCTAATAATGGACAAAAATGCAATTTTCGTTTCAGAAGTTCAGCCCACCAGTGAAGGAGACCTGCATCGCTTGTGAGAAGACAGTGTACCCGCTGGAGAGGATGGTGGCTCATCAGCACATTTACCACAAAAGCTGCTTCCGCTGCTCCCACTGCAGCACAAACCTCAGGTGAGACTCTGCTTTGCATAATTCTGTTACTCGTATTTTTAGTGATATTTCTGCTTATTCAAGGCCTGAAAAATCCTTACAGAAGCAACAGTGTTTTGTTGAAATAACATTGTATCATTGGTGCTTTGTTACTAGTCTGGGGAACTATGCTTCTCTTCATGGTAACATCTACTGCAAGCCCCATTTCAACCAGCTTTTCAAAGCCAAAGGCAACTACGACGAAGGCTTTGGCCATCGTCCTCACAAAGAGCTGTGGGAACCACGGGCTGACGAAGATGAGAGCGAGGAAGCACCAAAACCAAAAGACCAAGTGCCACCGGTGGTGGAGAAAAATCCAGTGGAGAGTAGCACTGATTTGGAGCCACCCCCCAATGGGGAAACATCCCCACAGGTTAAGGTGACTGACCTCACCGCCCTGATGGAAACACGAGTGCAGACTAATGCCACCTCTGGGGAGAAAGCTCCGCCCACAGACAGGCCTGCTGAGACCCGCAGGCTGAGGGTGGCCTGGCCTCCTCAGGCCAGCGAGGGCCAGACTGGTACGCCACTGAGTCCAGTTACCGAGGGGGCTCCATCAAGCCGACCCTGGAGAGCCAAGTGGCCTCCAGAGGATGAGGCTGCGCCGTCTTTCCAGAGCAGCGAGCGGGCTGAGATAAAGAGCCTGAGGAGAAGTGCCTCTTTAAAGGAGCGCAGCCGGCCTTTTACTGTCGCAGTCAAGCCCGAAAAGGCCGCCAATATGGGTCCAAGGGAGCCTCGTCGTCCTCTCAAATCTCTTTTGGAATGGAGAGCTTCATTTGACGAGAATAGATCATCTGAAGGAAAGCCCAAAGAAAATAACCAAGACCACCACCAAGTGAAACCACAGGAAAAGGAAGAGCAGAAAATGCCGAAAACACAAAGTGAAGATACAGCAGTTCCAAGTAAAACCCTCTCAGAGGATGTTGAGAGTCCACCTAAACAACAGGAAGAAAGATGTGAACAAGCACAAACAGGAAATGCAACAGTGGACAAGAAGGCTGTGGAGGAGGGGTCTTCCAGAAGCACCACTCTCCAAACGTCACCGCCCGTCTCTCCGCCCGCACAACCCAAACAGAACCGCACCTCCCAGGATGTGGGCTTCTGGGAAGAGGACAAAGAAGGAAGTGAGGCTGAGGAGCTGAGTCCAGAGGATATAATCAAGAAGAACCGCCACTACGATGAGGAGGAGGATTCTGAGGCATAACAGCCCCACGACATCTCACACAAAACACTTACAGTCATGTTTTCTCATTTCTTGGACCAAATATAAATGTAGCTTTGTGGGGCGTTATTTTGTTACTGGATAGATACAGAACCGCGTGATCGCTGCATATTGCGAGAACAGCCTTTCATTTTTTAAGTGGAAATGTCTTATTGTTTCTTTTTTTAAGTTTTAATCATATCGGGAGGGGAAAAAGTCACACCTCAGTTATATCCTTGGATTTTACTGGAAGATTTGCCTAATCTTTTCTTTGACAAAGCAAAAATAACCTAAAACTGTATTTTTTAGCATGTGCTGGGTATCAGCTAACCTCCAAGAGCAAAATCATTTCCTCTCTCAGGGATGAAAAAGCTGTCTTTTTGTTACCCCCTTATGGCCATGCCTATGTACTGTATCCCCTTTTTTGGAAATTTAAACATTGACGTGAGTTTTTTAAAGGATTTTTGGACCTAGATTTTTGGTGCAGTTACAGAGGAGTATGATTAAACCATAAGGATACTTTTCTATGAAATATGTACTGTAATACGTATCCCGGCTTCTTTTGACAGCTTAAACACACAGCTCTGCAGCCATCAATAGCAAAGGGACCACCTTGTTTATTTTTAAATGAGCCTATTCATAGATTTTGATGAGCGTAAGTCCGGTTGCATTACATTTTTAGAAAATGCAACTTTGGAAGCAATTGTCTTGAAATAGTCGGATAGCATTCCATCAAAGATCACTTAAACAACCAAAGCTTCAACTTAATTCCTTAAACATCTCCTGGGGCCTTCTGAAAGTTAGACATTTTCAATGTAATCAAAATTGTATATAAACCTTTCACTGTATTTTATTATATGGAATATGTTTGCACAAGTTTTTTTTTTAGAATTTGTTTGATGATTCAAAATTAAAATGCTCCTGAGGTCTCCTAAAGTTGTCTTATTTATTGATATGCATTCTTTCGAACTTTGAAAGCTCACTATTAAGGATGCTAAATATGTTATGTTATGTTATATTCTCAGATTCAACACATTTTTCCTCTGACGACTCCATAAATTGTAAACGACACACTGGTTAATGTATCTTTGAAGGTCTCTCTGTGTTGAATTTATATACCGGTAGCTCTAGTTTTAGGACACTTTATACGTGAAAAAAGTGCTGATAATTCAGGGTGAATGGGACTTTAGCTATTTGAATATAGTAAATGCTCTTTATCATTCTATGAACATTCACGCTTATCTTATTTAATATAATCCTATTGGAACTGTTAAAGGCTGTATGCAGTAGCGCAGTGAGTTTAAATATTTATTAACATTTTTGGCATGACTTACATGTAAAGATAAAAGTCAAAATAGAAAAAAAAAAAACATACATGGTAGTATGTGTTGAAACGCAGAATAAAAATATTGAGCGACAACATAAAACCATCATTTTGTCCGTGAGAGGCACAATCACCAAAACTGAAGGACGCCAGAGAAAACTGAACACCAAACACAAACACACTTACTACAGTACAGGCTGATGGGACTGTGTGCCCGTTAGGTACTCGGCACATGTAGCAGCATTTTGGCATCCAATGAACCAGAATAAAACATTTTAAAAAAAGAGCAAAATTAGCATAGACTCAAATAAATATTCGTGCAAAGTCTGAAGTCCAAAGTGAGATGTTCTGAGCACCAACCCCGTTTCCACCTGTGTCATTTTACACACGATCCATTGTTTTCTGCACTTTGCTCGCTATGTCATCAGCTTACAATTAGTCCAGCTGTTTAAGACATCTGTATTTTAACCTAAGGTGTTTGCTACTAATGGCATGCAGCTGTAGCTGATTAAAAACATTAAGATACAGTCCTGTGAATAACAGTAACAAGCCTTTAAATACATCTGTCGCCAGCGATAAACAGCCCATTGCCATATTTATATGAATAATTCAGAGGTTCAGGAGATGCGCAGACTAAACCTGTTAGAAATGTGAGCTGTGATACAAGCAGGCTCACAGTCTAACAAAGGTGTAGTCAGGTTGTTGTTTTCCAGCTACCTTCAACCAACCACCAACGAATTAACCAAGTTTCTCTGCATCCCAAATCTGTAATAAGCTACAGAGGAAACTGGTGACAAAATAAAGGAAGATTACAAGTAAACAACGGCTGATTTCAACACAGCAAAATTCTCAAAATGACCCAACTGCAGCACAGGCATTTTGCTTCTGATTTTCAAATATACCTGAGAGCAGCGATGAATCATGATATGGCTTCAGTTCAACATTCAAATCTCCAAACTAACTTGAACTATTTTAAAAAATGCTTCACAGTGTTTTGTCCTGATGGGGATTAATAGTTTACAACTCTTGGAAAGTTGTCCTTTTTTTTTTATATTTGGTATCCCTTTCCAAAATGCCCCGAGACCTCACTGTGTAATTTCTTTTCAGTTCAAATTTCACTTTTTTCTTTTAAAGGCTACATTCAGCATTTTTTGATCAGTTTCAGTTCAGACATCAGAGACTGTGGCTCACTCTTTTTCTGTTTCATATGTGGAAATAGTAAGATATGAGCACAAAGAATACACATTTAGTTATACCCGGACACCAAATAGTTACACAGGATGATTTAAAACGATAAAAGTTTAGAAAAAAAGAGAAAAAGAAACACAAACTCACTGTCACTTCAGTCAAAGCAGGTTTAAATATAAATTATTTTCCCCTCTGATATGATTTCACAATCTATTCCGTCTGAAATGGGGAGTCAGTTTTTCCAGATAACAAAAATCTAGTTTGGAACACCTCCCAAACGTGGATTTCCACAGAAGAAAGTTGAGCAAGCCAAATCAACTGTGGCCTTTAACTGTAAAATGGCTGCGTTTTGCATCAGATGTGGGAAAGCCTACAGCTTCCTGCCGTTTGGCCGTTTTATCCTAAGCCTCACAAACTGCCTCAAGTTCAGACGTGAAAAAAGCAGCACAATTCATTGTTATGAACTGGTTAGAGGGAGAAAAAAAAATAGAAGACTGACTAACTTTAACTGGAATGGTTTGGAGTCGGGTGGAATGTCATTCCAAGCTCTAACTTCTGAAGTAAAATGGAACATGAGCGGTTAGCATCACATCCTTTAGAATGACCCCTCATGCTCTGTATGGTTAAACCATCATGCTCAGGTTCAAATCACAAAAGGGAGAAAAAGAATTCTTAACAATGAACGTATAAACCGTCTTTGGGCTTTTGCTCTTCAAAGATTGCTTACAGCAACAAATCAAGTAATCAAGTCGCCGCCACAAAAAGATTTTGATTCCATTCAACTAAATGCCATTCAAGTTAATTACCCCGTCATTTCCTGGGATTGTGGTTGCGACCGTTTCCACTAAAGATGCTGTGAAAAGTTAGGAAATGAGTCCACGTCAGAGCAACTCTTGCTGACTTGGCCTCACAAAGTAAACCCGCTGTCCAATCAGAGCACCGGGCTTTCTTTGGAAGACTGTTTAACTCTCTCACCACTGAGTGTCAGTAATACGCCACCAGTACGAGCTCCGAGTGCAGAATGGCTGCAGGTTGGGAAAACGGCGCACACACACACACACACTTGCACACACACGCACTGATTCATATTATTGCTGATAAATAGGGTCCATCTGTGAGCCCAGCTCCGCTCTACTTGGATCTTTACATTCATTATTCCAGGGAGACCATTTTGGCATTTCTGTAACCTCCCACTCATCAAATTGTCTAAAGAACTATAGCCCAATAAATCTCCGATTGGTTTCAGGTTTTTTTGTTGTCTTTTTTTTTTTTTTTTTTTTTAACAGTATATAAAAATCATCTCACCATAAAGCACATATTTAGGCACAAATGTAAAATGGACACATTATTTAGCTCAGTCTTTAGAAAAGGTGTTGCCAGCATGTGGAGTGATTCTTGCGCCCCACAGGAGCCGCTGGACTGGAGCCCAGCTCGGGAGTCCCGGGTGGGGGGGGGGTGATTTTATGCCTGATCTCCAAAATTTGGAAGAGCGCAATCAGTAGTCCTTCCTCTGATTTCCCGCCTCAGCCACTGAGGGGGTGCAGGTCCACCCTGACCTTCTCTCCGGCGCTCATCATTCCAATAGTGGGATAGAACCCCCCCACGGGTAAAGCCACTTCCCTTCTTCCCACCACTTTGCCATTCCGAGTGAAAAACACCTGTTTGGACAGAATAGCAGAGAGAGAAAATGTGAGCATCGGTAGGGAGCGCTTCCGGCTCCCTGGTTCAACAGACCCACACTGTAGCGTCTCACCATGACCTTCCTCCCCTCAGGATCCTCCCCCTCCTCCTCCTCCTCATCTTCATTGTTTGCGTACAGGTCATTCTGCACCTTGCTGGGCTTGGACACGGCCTCCAGGTCACAGTCGTCCGCCTCATCTGCAACAGCCCCGTCACAAATGGTGAAGGCTGCTAACGGCGAGGCGCAGGGCTTCACAAGACATAAAAAAAACATGCTCACCTCCTCCGTCTAGGCTGAAGTCGCGCGGAAACATGATGCCACAGCCCATAATGTCCCCTTCAAAGCAGCGAGGCCCAAAGGGGTCCCCGACGCCGCTGCCGTGGAACAACTTCCCATCGTCTGCAAAGAGCGAGCAGGACAGACAGAAGATTTACACCAGAGGAGAGGGAAAAGAGAGGACAATCATCCCAAAGTTAACCCTGAACTGCCTCAAGTATATTCACACGCATGAGCATTTTGGCCTTGTGACCTCCACAACTCAGACGTCAGGATGACATTAAAACAGACAGGAGACATTCAACAAACAACAAAGATCAAAACTGCTGAAGTTATTGGTAAAAATTATAAGTAGTCATTAAGTCATTAAGCACTCATTTCCGTTTGGCAAATCAACTCCTCATCCACCAACACACTGTGGAAAGATGCATTTCCTTCACAACTATTTCAAACATGTGACCTATCAGCAGTCTGGGGTATACAGGGCTTCAATTAAATCACTATCTTGTTTAAGACACTATGTAATAAAGGGAAATACTCCAGGTCACATTAGCAGTCAAAGGGTAAGAAAAGAGGTGGATGAACAAAGCTGCCTCTTCTTCCTACCATCCTCCTGACTGTTAAGCTATACCCCTGCTAAAGACATAAGTAAAAATGAGTTTGACCTGGCTTTCTTAATTATTGCTAACTACAGTTAATCCTCCCAGTGCCTCTGCTGTAATCTAACTGCTTTAATTGATTTTCATGTGTTGCTAGTACTGTGTATTCAACACAAAAGGAAATCCCCTTCAGGTGTTACTAAAGTTGTTTTGGGGGTTATATTTTAAATATCATCTTTAGACTAATCAGAGCCGACTCACCAGCGTGATAAGCTATGGATCCTCTGCTCCAACCCGGATGCCTGTTCTTCGGATAGTCCTGAGGATCCAAAGAGAAAATCAGCAGACAGCATCACCACCAAACTGCTATATGGCTACGAATAAAAGGATTGTGCCTTCTGATTTCTGAACATCCACATTTATGTGAGAGAGCTGAAGTGATGGTGGGAACAACAATGGGTCCTAAAACTGGCCAGTGTGAGAATGATTAGCATGAGACCTTACCACTGAAGGGACATCAATCAACAGACAAATGAGATTTCTGTCAGCGTGAACAAAAGGGAAAAGGAATACACCTGAAACTTCTGCTTCTGACTCAAGCTTAAGCAGCCACTTAGCGCCAAGTAACTGCTAAACAGGCGAGAGCCAAAGAGAGAGACCCACTGTGTGGGTTTTCTCCCCCCTCTTTTGGGGCAAGAGCCAATGCTTCCCATCAGCACTGCGATGTGCCTTGCAGGAGATGACGGGGGATGGAACAAAACCTCAGGAATGGCCATCTGATGGATTTATAATGCTCCATCAAACCACAGACACATTGAGAATAACAATTCCAGGAAAACATTTAGCTAAATGACACAGTCCTTTTCTCCACACCATGTGACCTGAGGGCACGACGTGCCCACACAAAGGAACTAACAGGAGGGGTGGGGGGGGGGGGGGGCTTAACGGCAGGGCTGTCTGCAGCCATAATCCATCATCTGCCAGACTTGTGAGTGCTCTCCCAGCTGGCACAGCAGCAGTGCGACTCCGATGAGTGACGCTCATCAATTACTGCCCAATTACCAGGAGACGCAAGTACCATCATGCAAGAGGAGGACAACGGCAGGGCCACACTTCATTTCATTTCTATGATAATCAAAACAACACATACCTGCTCCCCTGACAATTATTGCTGCCTTGTTTATAATAAACAGGATGTGCTGACTTTATCATTTGATCTTAAAGCAAATATTCAAGATACAAGCCTTATATCAAGGCCAACTTATTTCCACTTATCACTGTTATTTATGGCTAACCACTGTATAGGTGAGGCCAACATTTGCTGTTAAGATATTAACAGAAAACATTACATTACACTTTTTTGCCTATAAAGGAAAAAAAACTAACTGATGCCCTCAGCTTATCTCATGCTTTGCTTTCCCCTTTGGAACTGGAGCCTTCTAGTTTACATGGTAGAACAGCATTTAAACGGAACAACCTGCATTTGATGGAAAAGCAGACGTGAGGCTAAAATGAGACAATATTTATTCAGTTGTTGGCTTTTCCTCTCTCGCTCATCCATCACTTAGACTGGAAACAGTGAGAGCAGTGGCTCATATGAGGGAGACGGATGACGAGGCGTTCGAGAGGGAAAGAGAAGCGTTCTTTACAGACGAATAACCACCAAGTGTGTACTGTAAATTATGCCCTGTATCCGTTTGGCTGACACGTGATCATTATTGTGTTGACTAAACGGTGGAGGCTCTCACCCTGCGTGCCAGCCCCAGGGCAATGTAACACTTCTCTCCAGCGTCTGTGATTTCCAGCTCATAATAGTGGAAGCGTGTGTTGAGAGGTCGACGAGCCTGAGCCAAGCCCACGTCCACGATGCTCTTCCCTTTGCCTACGTACTCCAGCAGCTGCCAACGTCAGAGATGAAACATTTAATCACTTGGAGTGACTCAGTTTTCTTTCACTGTAAAGCATTTCTATGACACAAACAGTTGAATGCGAAGAGCAACAAATAAAACATTCAGATAAAGATCAGCATCTTGCTAATTTATATATATGGGTGTGTCTAAAGCAAAGAAATTAAAAAATGGCTTCAACAAGAGGCCGAAACGCGAGAAAGTTATCATTAACTGCAGCTCATCCCGTTTTACATTCTGAGCAATCGATTCATTCTAATTCCCAAATTATGAGTCTCCACCTGACACTTTTCAGAGGGAAAGTCCTGCTTCATTTCAGCTAACAACAATAATGCACAATGTATAAAGGTCAGAAAGTACTTGAAGGTAACGCTGGAGTTCAGTATTCTCTCTTACAGTAGATCAGTGGACGGGGGATAACATTAAAGTTAGGATCTTAGGTGCGTCAGGTGGAAAGCAAAGAAAGAGTTTATTCTAATGATCATAACGACTGCACTGCCTCTCAGTGCTGGTGAGGACATGTCTGCTCCTGCTCAAGTTAGCTCAGGAAACGGTTAGGGCCGCTTTGTTATTCACACCTCCAGATGAGATTGTTGAATAATAAAGAAAACATAACTTTCAAAAAATAAATACATAAGAGATTAAGGTGAATTACTATAGAAGGAGTCTAATCCCAGAGAGGCCGGATGCTGAAGTTGAACCATAAACTACTGCAAAACTGCTTTTCCTCCAGAGCTTTAAAATCCCCAGATCACCATTACTCACTCTCTGCTATTACACCAAGGTTGTTGTTTTTTGTTTTTCCATCCCAACTGCTTACATGCAACACAGGGCCCAGTGTAAAGAAACAAAAGACAGATAGGTGTGTGAGGCTACTCTTCAGCGCAGGTTGTGTGATTATCAGCAGCTGAGTCAGACACAAACCCGGGAGCAGTGACGTCAAAGAGGTCAAGAGGCTCCTCTGAGAAAATATTTTTCATGTTAGCCAAGACTTCCTATTCTTTCACCCCCCCTTTTTTTGCTTGACGGTGGTTACTACTGCTGCAGGCAATTCGGTTCAGCCAGAAATTTGACTGGTGATGCAGAGAAGTTTACGTTACGCAAGACTGAACAAGGAGATTTGCAGTAGTGATTTAACGCCAAGCCTTATTCTACCCTATTTGACAAAGTTTGCTCTAATCAGTCTGCTTCTCTGGTCCTTCTGGTGAAATAGAGGTAAATGTTATCCTTTCAAAAGGAGAAAAACCGCTGCTGAATGAAGTTTTTACCTGCCAAACACCTTTATAGTTTGCAAAATTAGGCATTCTTTGACAAGTTACAGTGTTACTGTACAGTAGTCATGTCACATAGTCTTGCTTGTATTTAACTTATTCTTTATTATTCTGAATGCATAATGGCTGAAAGAGAAGAAGTGAATGCCTTGAGAGAAATTATGTAAGGTCAGCCAGCCTTGCAGCTAGCAAGGAAGAGCATCTAGCAATGGCTGAATCAGGTCTTCACTTCATTCCAGTCAGCTACTGTTGATTCACTAAATTCCACTTTATGGAAAAAAAAATATATATAAAAAAAACACTCACCATGCCAGTCACCTTGACGTCATGGAGGCGGCTCCAGTACTCTTCATGGCTGTCAACTATCATCTGTCCATCGTCTTCGTCCACCCCCCATTCAGCATTGAGGTCCAGCAGCACCTCCTCTCCTAAAGAGTGCATCCCCACAGCAGGGTAGAGAGCCTCAGGAGACGCTGGGATGTCAACACTGCCGATCTGAGCACACGTTAGACACGGTGAGGATTAGGACAAAGTGGTGGGGATACAAAGGAATGGGTAAAGTGTCCTGGTTGAATAGCTTGTGTCTTTAGTGAAACTGTTGTAAATGCTTACATACCTCGTGCCCGTTTTTGGTAAAAAACACTGTTAACTGCCCATCATCAGAATCCAGAGATATCCCACAACCGATTCTGTCGCCCCGGTTGCATTTAGCACCAAACTGCTGCCCCACAGTGTTGCCGTTATACAGCCTGCAGAGAAGCAAGTGGAGGAGGTTATCGACAAAAACGGTCCTAAAAATGTACCTGCCTTGTCTTCTCATCGCACGTCTGTAGAAAGGAGACGACGGCCACATACTTGCCATCGTCGGCATGAAAGGCCACAGACTGTGGGAGCCAGCCTGGCTGATGGTCCAGTTTGTAGAACTGAGGCACCAAACCGACAGCAATCATTCCCCTCACTCCTGTGTCTATGATAGTCACCTGGAAAAAACCCAGTCTGTTATTAACATCTGACATCTTTTTGGATCGTCATTTGTTGGAAAATATAAACAGGCCTCCCCTCACATTCAAAAGGATAATATCACTTCACTTTGATTTTGTATAAAAAGTTTTCTTTGACATTCACTTAACATTTAATCATCAGCATGTAAGCCTTCCTAATACAGTTTGTTCACAAAGGCACAGGTTTTAAGGTGGCTGGGAAACTTTTATTATTGCTATCCACAAGTCATCAGCAGCTGAAAGTCTGTATCTAAACATAACTTTAAGTACTTTCAGTCAAATGCTCTTTGTGGCGTGGCATCACACCCACAATGGATGAACTACCCTGTGTGTCGACATCTCTGTTTACCATGTTAACATGGTAACATCTTTTTGTTAGCACAGACCATAGCAAAGTCCATGGGAAGGTATTAAGTTTTAAAGATATCCAGTCATAAAGCCATGAATCGGACAGAACAAATTAGTTGATGGAACAAATGTGGGCGTCACGATCCATTTAGTTGTTCAAAAGAAAGTTTCCTTCACATAAGTGGATTGTCTAAGAGTTTTTCCAAATCTGTTTGCAGACAAAATGTTTACTTTATTTTCATCTCATATTCAGTTGGCAGTGTTATTTTAAGAAAAGAAAACATAAGTTTTCAGGCTAGATAAAATCTCACTGTGTAACTTTGCAAGATGGTTCTAACTGAAAACTCAACTAAATAAAATAAAAAACAGGACTTCATCACTGTTATCATTACTGAATTCTGACCTTATGTCCGGCATGGTCACAGAACAGCCGGTGCACTACTGACAAATCCAGAGTGAGCAGAGGAGGAAAGTTTTAAGTTGCTTCCCATGACCTCACCACTGTTCTCAGGGAGCAACAAGTCAAAACATTCGCATGAACCCCAAAATTTATGATAAGATCAACATTCAGCATCCGATTAATCACTCACTGTCATTTGCGGGTGTGATTTCCTCCCTTCTCCTACACAATTTCTCTTAAGTTGAGTCACAAGAATGAAGCGTACGCAGGTTTTAAGGAAGACTTAGGATTTCACCACACTGGGAGCAGGATGTATTTGTTGGGCATGTTTGAACATGGGTTTCTCAGAGAGTCACTGGCATCAGCTGTTTGTGCAGTACAGAATCTAGATTACAAAGATGGATCAAACGAACAAAGAGCTGGGACTTGTCTGGATATATTAAAGCCATTCTGTTAGGGCAGAGGTAACTGAGTCATCAGACCCTTGGGTCAAAAGAAACACTGAAATGTTCAGTTTCTGTGTGTGCAGGAACTGTGAATGCTGTGCCTATTCTTCGGTTTTTCCTAACAAATATTTACAGTAATACACAGGCCCACTGGAGTGCTAAGCTTTATTGGCTGCTATTTGAAGCTGCTCTCATAAGGATTAATGCAATAATGCCAAAACTTAAAGAGTGCCATGTTTTAGCGCTTGCTCTGAGCACTGACAAATACAACACTACTTCAATAATACGTAAAATGTTTCTGGGACCTTTGAGTTGAAGCATCTGCTTTAGGTTGGAAGTAGTTGATCTTAATAGTTGTTTTACTTATTGTATCCCCTCACCACCAAGCAAATGTCAGAGCTGCGTTTACTGTGTTTGGACAAAGCTAAAGAGCCAAAGATAGGGCCAGGCTGTTCCACATACTTTTTAAACTGCACCCAAATGGCAGCAAGATTTCCAAATAAACCTCGATTATTTACACTACAGGCCCATTTTCCCTACTTTCTTTTGTACATGAGTTTACTTTAAAAGGGTTTTTTTTTTAGAGAATGCAATAGTTTGAGTGGATGGCTTTCATACATCATTATTCTTGAATTGTATTTGAGTATGTAAGGATGAATTCTGTTGACTGACTGTTTTCAAAAGTGTTCCTGAGCCATGGAAATGATTCCCACCACAGTGTTGTCTCCGTTTAAAGCCTGGGAGAGGTTTTCACAGACTTCCTGAAACACGTTAAACCCAATCAATGTTGTGACCTGAAGTTTGTAAACTCCTAGATATCACTTTCTTGGGGATGTGCTCTGTGGACTACAGCTTCCAGACAAGAGGGGGCAATGACTCCTGTCCTGTGTTTAAAGAAAAGCAGCAGAGAGAGGGGAAGCCAGCACCTCTTACCTCAAAGTAGCGGTTCCTTTTTGACAAAGGCCTGGCTGCCACAAAACAGCCAACTTCATCTGAATTACCATGATACCTGCATCAAGATTCAAGAGGGAAAAAAAATTACATTAAACTTAAGATTGCAAAGAAGGATGTTGGCATTGAAGAAATTCTGGTTTCAGATCACACACACCAAGATAGTTACCTGAGTATGTCTCCATCTCTCAGCATTCTCTTGAGCCGCTCCCGGTAGCGCACAGCTCGAACTTCATTTTCTCGAATTTCACGAATACGTCTCCTCCAGTTCAGAAAGCGATAATGAAGATTTATGTCGTCCATGTCTGAAAATCATTACAATCTGAAACAGAAATAAAAAAGAAAGAAGAGACTTTGTTTTACAATAATACAGTGACTAATTTCAAATTAAGCAACAAAAACAATATACTGTCGCAGTGAGGTGCCTATGACTAGAGGTAAATGAGAAGCCAAGCTATGTTTGAACAGCGAAGGGCCGGAGGTACGTTTCACAAACTACCATAATTGGCACAGTAACATTGAATTTTAGAGTAGAGCAACAGAATAATTGTGATAAACAAATGGAAATAAATGTACTGGCGTTAATGCTGTAAGCTGCAAGAGGGGGGGCATGTAGTAACAGCAGTTTCCCCTCTAGAAAAGAAAAAAAAAGGTGACCAAAACACGATCATTACTGTTGCCTAACAACAAGAGAGATCAGTGTTTGATCCTCAGGCCAAATCCTTCCTGTGTGGAGTTTGTTTTTTTCCATTCTCATTCAATCCCACATTCCAGAGACAAGCAAAGACCTGGACATAGACTTGACACTGCCAACGAGCATGCACGTGTGTCCAAAACCGTGTTAGCCACATGATAGCAAGGTGTCTCACGTGTTTTTAACCTTAGGTGAACTATTCAAACATGCCCCACGAGTGGGAGTGAGTAAGACTTTTTCCCCATTAAGACAGACATCTATACATCAATATGGGAACTCAACGTTTTAGTAAGTCAATCCAATTCAATCTGAATTGATCAGCAATTTTTTCCCCTCCATGTTCATAATTGCTTTAAATGGACTGGTTGAAGCTAACCTAAAATATTATGTATATGTCATTTACTTCAAAGAACAGTTTCGGTTCTAAAAAGGCTAATCTGACCAAGAATGAACCATAAAAGTCCTGACAATGCAGAAACGAAAGCATCGTTTTTATTTTTTTAAATAAGAAACTCAGTTTATTGAAAGATTGGGCATTAACAGAGATCATCTTAGGCAATCGACAAATGTATTAATTCTCCCTGCTATTGGGGACACTGTAATCTTTTTTATCTGAAACCGAAAATGTATGTTCCTCGTAAGCCATAAAGAACAAGCAGGCAAAGTGTGGGTGATTTTTCTCTGTATTATCGACTGACTTGAGCCAAATGCAACTGAACCCCACCATTTAACTGGTTGGGATTTTATGATAAAGTAAATAAGATGAATTTAACTCAGTCAGTTCCGTGTTAACTCGCCCGATTTACAAAATTACGAGCATTTCCCAAATGCTGCCTAGCATTTCCAAACTACAGAGGACTCAGTTGGCCGGCTAGCTGTTTTCAGCGTTACAACATTATCGAACAGTGTGGCGGATTATATCACGTAAACATTTATATACCTAAGGTTAGACCCACACTATTCAAACCCCCACTGCCTTACGTTGATTCCTTACTGTTTTATTACTTGTAATGCGTCGTCCTTCGGTTTTTCTTCCAATTTTAAGGAGGTAAAGTCTGTCACTTTATGTCCAACCTGCACTACCGGAAGTCCCGCCTTCTGGACCAATCACAACCGAAGATTAATGCAGTCTTTAACCTGCGCAGTGCCGTGTCATCATACATGCCACGGTGTGGCAGTGGGACTGTTCACGAGTGTGTCATTTGATAAAATGTCTTTATTTTCTCTTATGCGGTTTTCCATGGTTTTTCTGAGTAGAGGTGACCTTCTCTTCCTGGTTATCAGGATTCCCGTCTCTTTTAATTCTCGCTGACGTGTCTTTACAGAGTGTTTATCAGTAGCTGCTGTCAGTTTTGTAACCAATTTAAGGAATTAGTGACTCATAGACTGGAAAATACAGGGTGGGACTATTTGCCCGCAGTTAAAATCTTTTTGTGTTTCAGCCCTCGATGGCTCTTGTTCTCAGTGTCAGTTGCCAGGTCCAATGTGTAATGATTTGTTTATTTTCTGTGTTTTTTTAATCTTATGAGGCCAGCAGTTGACTGACAGTTTTTTTGTTGATCTTGCCTAAGTTGATATGTAGAAACCCCTTTTTCACCGGTTTTTCTTAACATTTTACCTTATTGTGATATGAACGTTTAAACCACCATTAGTTGTGTACTAATATCATGTTCAACATTTAATGTACGTCATGAACTTTGTTCTTTGTGGTCGTGCATGATTTGGAACATTTCTAACATGTTATAAAGCTATACATACAACAATATCTTAGGGGTTTAAATTGTAATTCCCCTTAAGTTGTGACCATTATATAACTGTATATAGAACATTCTTTTTTGTATACATGGCCATTATACACTTTTCATTTGAAAGCTCAAAAGAAACAAGCAATTCAAGTTGGCACATTTATGTGTTGGAATGCAGAAAAATCTTAAGCTTGTTTTGGTAATTTTAACACTTTAATGACCCACAGCTGATACATTTCATTAGTTACTTTCTGTGTTGATCTCCTATCCACATTTTGTCATTTCTATATTTAGTTAAGTGAATGTACTATTTCTGAGAGCAATTTTCATGAATTAATCTTGGCCATAAGTCATAAGAATGTTGTTTTTCGGTTGCTGGGTTTTAATTTGCGGCTCACATTAAAGCATTGCCTCCATAAATAAATGCCCCACTAAGAGGGGAAAAGGCAATGCAATGGGGCAGCAAACAGTGATCACCTGTGATTTATGTCCATGTAGAAAAAATGACACTCCTCGTGGATGACAGGCAACAAACGGTATGAGAGGCGAGAGGCTGTGTATGTGTCAGAGTCATGTCAAATGGGGGTGTGCTCAGTTGAGTAGAAATGAGAGCGAAAGCTAATATAATCCATCACGCACCCTCCCAAACCTTTTCACACTAGTTTAAGTTCTTTAAAAGCTGCTGTCAGTGTTGTCTGTGCACCTCCTCATCAGTTTGTCTTGCCTGTGGGAAATTATACGATTTGATGAAGTTAGAAGAGCGTATGGTTTGAGAAAAGAAAATCTATCTGGGCTAAGAGACTGGATCCATTTATCCGTGGAAACTTTTAAGTGCAAAATGTTCCTGTATTTGAACATCTTGGTCCTGCTTCTAGTGGAGACAGCTCTTTCAATCCCACTGACTACACCATCGAGAGGATGTTCCACCTGTAAGGGAAAGCTCTCCCAGGGTCAGCTACCTGGAGATTTAAACACCACTCTTCAGGCTGTTGGACAGCCATGTGGTGTCTACACTCTGAGCTGCTCTCATGGTCTGCGCTGTGAACCTCCACAGGATGAGCCAAGGCCCCTCCGTGCCCTGCTGGAGGGCAGAGGAGTCTGCACTAATGCCAGCAGTGCCACCCCGACCAAACAGGTCTCCATTTTAGGTAAGAATTGCAAACATTGCCTGGATACTGGCATGAATGGCTGAATGGTTTTGGCTTTGTTCATACAGTTTATTTTCATTATAGGTTTTTAATGTAATTCTTGATTTTAGAATTAGCTTTTGACAGATTTATAAACAGATAAATTACATTTCATCACCCATCTCCCTCCTTGAAGACACCCAGCTGTTATTTTTTAACTGGGTTTCTTTTTGATATTTTGTTGCAGTTTCTATGAAAGTTGAGTTACTTTACTATCCAATATCCTATAATCCAACGAACTTGTCTTTGCTATCACTGAAGACCACAACACATACAAAAACCTTTAGAAAAAACTATAAGAAAATGTTTGATATTTATTTAAACGAGCCTCTGATGCTGACTTATATTTTGTACATATTACATATACATGTACATATGAAATACATATTCACATGAAAAACTGAAATGTATTTAATGTGACTGTCTTTCTTTTAACTTAGACCCAGCTCCTGTTGAGGATCCAGAAGAGGTAAAAGTCCTCTATAAGTACTCTGTAAAAAGCTTTTGACCTAAAGCTCATGGAAAGTATTCCTTGTGTATATTATGTTATGTTATGTTTTCTGATTTGGTGATGTCAGTGCACTAATGGGGATTACATCATCCTGAAAAATACCTTTAGCTTTTTTTTTACCTTTGTCACACCTTCTGGGTAAATATTATTAATTTTCTTGTTACCAACCAAACAGTTACCATGATATGGTACTTTTTTTTCTTCAGTCAGAGAGCAGAAAACTGACAGTCATGCTCCATGTATTTGTTTTGTCTTGCAGGCTCCCTGCCGTAAACTGCTAACTACACTTATCAAAGGTCTTGATGCCCATATATTTAAGTCCAATCATGACATCTACATGCCCAACTGTGACAAACGTGGGTTCTTCAGAAAGAAGCAGGTTTGTGGTTAAAGGAATTACTGAATGTTTTGGAAGGAGACGGGCATATAATAGATCCCACGCTTTTGCAACTCATGTTTTCATTATTCACTGTCTGTTTGTTTGTCCAGTGCTGGTCTTCTCGAGGCAAGCAGCGTGGGAGGTGTTGGTGTGTGGACCAGCACGGCATGCCCGTCTCCTCAAACACCAAACAGAGGGGCAGCCTCAACTGTTGAAGGGCATGAAGAAGCCAACTGCCAACATCAGACTGCCATGAAGGAGCCCCAGAGACTATGCAAACTAAGAACAGCATCCCAAAAGTCATTCCAAGCAATTTCTCCATCACAGAAAACTGTCTCACAATCAGATGAAGCTTTGTCTGCTTGCGCCCTCTGCTGAACAAGATCAAGCTAAGGTGAATTGTTACCACCACCTCTGCCTGTATTAGTTTTACAAGCTTTACACACTCTAAGGAGAATGTCCTGAAAGGTTCTTGTAAATACTTAAGCATTAGTAAGTCCTTGATTGAGGAACCACACAGTTTGAAAATCTAAAGCTTTATTTAGCTTACTGTTCATTTCTGTTATGTTTTCATATTTATTCAATTTCAATACATTCCTTTTTCACATTTCTCTTTTACCTAATTATAAATGTTACTGTAATTGCTGCATGCAGCACCCATATTTAATCCCCTGACATTTAATCCTATTTATGCTTATTTAGAAGTGTTTATTTATGTTAAAACTGACCATGTACTGATACTGAAAATGATGCCTGTGATATACCTGTAACAGCAGATATCTGAGGTATTTTCATGCATCTTTAGCTGAATTATGAGTATTTTTCGAAGACTGGTACTGATGGAAAGTGTTAACAATGTGTCCCTAAGATACTTATTTATTTGTATGTATTTTATAAGCTGTCATGACAAAAATAAAATGAAATAAAATACATATTTTTAAAATCAAAATATTGTAGCTCATTGAACTAATTCAACCCAAAGAAAATGTGTGATACCCCCAGCTTGTGAACGTTCACTTTTTATTGCATTATCAGGACCAAATATGGAAGCTGTGTGTGAAATTGTTCAATTCTCCTCAAGATGAAACTCGAAGTGATTGATAAACAGAGGATGTTCTTGTTTTACTCACCCCTTTTCTTCTGCTGCAAGTTAATTTATGTAAGGCCAACAGGTAGATTGACAGTGGTGCTGAATGTTTCCCACTCTCTAAATTGTTTGGGTGATTTATCCTTATATCCAGTGTGTAAGGATCCCCGCTCAGTCCAATTCAGTCATGGGGTGTGATTTAAGAATTTCCAGGTTTAGGTTTACTAATGCACACTGACTAAACTTCTTTTTAAATAGAGGAACTCTCTTCTGCCAATGAGAATGCCATTAGAAGTGAGACCATGTGATTAAAAAAATACAAGGAGGACGTTTCTGTCATAATAAAAGACCACAGCAGTAAAACTAAGAAACAAATATGCATAGATCATGGAATTTCTTTCAGATTTCTTCAAATATACATTGCCACGTCATCCAAGGTTGTATTTTACACATTTGAGAAGATTTCTCCCTTTTGCATCCTGTGAGTTATAGTGAGGAACATTTTAAATGATTCTTGCAAAGCCATCTGGCATTTCACTCGTTTTCGTTAGAGATGCAAAGTGAATAGTTTTGAAACTTTAGTGACGGAAAAAAAACTATATAGAAATCTCATTTAATAACCCGAACAAAAATGATCTCCCTTCCATATAGGAATAGGAATGTTTTAAAAGAAAAATGGAGCAGTGACTGCAGTAAATGAAAATAGGACTTCCTCGTATTATATTTCATTTTTCCACGTGCTAAACTGTCATTCTGTGGACCTTTATGGCTTAATAATCACTGACTGTCAAACAAATGCGGAGTTTCATTTCACAAAAAGCACCCAGTTCATGACATAAAAAGGAAACCCTTTTGCCACTTTTCAAACAGACCTTTATTTTTGTATTCGTCTTTCTCAGTAACAGGCTGTAAGACAGTTGTCTGTGCCTAACTTGTTTCCCTGAGGGCTGGACGCGCGCCGGCCAAAAGTCTGAGAGGACGCGCGCCTGTGCGCAGCGGCCGCCGGGACTCCACCTGGCGGACTCCAGCCTGCTTTGCGTAAACCGTGCGTCACACAAAAAACCACCAGTCTGCTCACAGGCTGGGGCACTGGTAGCACCGGCCGGCAGTTGAGATGTCCTCTCCAAGTTCCATCTCCAATCCTCTGGGCGCCCTGAAGCCCAAAAGGAAGACCAAGAAGAAGCACTTCGTGCAGCAGAAAGTGGAGGTTTTCCGTGCCAGTGACCCCGTGCTGAGCGTGCTGATGTGGGGAGTGAACCATTCGGTACATGAGGGCTGCGAAGTGCTGTAGATGTGAGTTTTTTGTGGGCGAGAGTGTGAAAAGTGTACATTAACTATTTATCCATTGGTCGTGCGCAGATTAATGACCTGTGCCAGGTCCCTGTACCTGTCATGCTGCTCCCAGACGACTTCAAAGCCAGCACCAAGATCAAAGTCATCAACCACCTCTTCAACAAGTACAGTGCTCTGCTCAGCCGTTGATGGGGACTGCCCCACTCTGTGGACTGCGCAGATTTGTGTTGTGCTCTCAAACTTTATTCATATGTTCTTAGCAGAAAGACCAGAGTCTTGTTTTTTTTAACAGAAGAAAAAAAGCTCAACCTAACCTTAGCATCCCAATTCCATCACTATTTTCTGTGGTGTATGTCTCTTTGGGTATTACTGCATAGCTTCATCCAAATGAGGTATTCCAGACAAACAGAAAGCTCAGCTGACCTGTTCCTCTTTACAAATGAGGGGTCCCTCGCAGATGGAAGGTCTTAATTTTTCATTAAAGCAGCGCTTTGGACAATGTCTGTCATGAGGTTCAGTTTTTACATGGGTTTAGTAAAACTGAGTTGCTTTCAGTAATCCCTTAATCCATTCAGGAATCCAGGTTGTGTAAAGATTTCTTTCGGAGAGGCGGGAGGAACAGTGAAATATGTTTTCCCAAGCAGAAAGGTTCCTTCTTTGGTTAGATTTACTGCAGAGACTGAAGATGTTTTTGTCCTGAATGCAGCTGAGCATCCAGCATAGGTGACATCAGTCAGTCATCTGGATAGATACTCAGTGAGGAATGCTACAGCTATTATTTCAATGATTAACTAAGTTTTGTTTTTCTTCAGAGAGAATCTGCCTGGACAGTTCAAATTCAAAGAGTACTGTCCACAGGTGTTCAGAAACCTGCGAGAGCGCTTTGGCATCGAGGATCAAGATTACCAGGTATCAGGGCACCCCAAGTTAGCCTAGCAATTGGTTCAAACAAACATTTAGACGGTACCAGTCACTGTTTTGTAAGAGGTAGGAAGATGCAATCGGCAGAAACAGACTACCACACACAGTTTTCCTTTTGTAGAAGCCAGACACTTTTTTTATTGATCTCCTCCCTTCTAAATTTGCATGTCTTTGTGTCACATTTGCATGTGCCAGATGGTGCACCCATTCGTTGTCCAGTCCAGGCAACACACATTTGCTTACCACACAATTATGGGGAGTGTGTTGTATGACCACTTTAAAACATATGCTGCACAAAACACAGAACACACAAAAAAAAACTCATTGTGCATTTATGCCACAGGTGAATGGAGCCCTAACATGTTTCCTTTTTTGTTTGAAGCTTTTGAATGCGCATGCTAAATGCCATCAGACATTTTTACGTAGGTGTGTCTCAAAACATAAAGGGTGGCGCTTTGCAGAGCTGAATTCTGCCGCATGATGCTTTTGCAGGTTTCTTTGGCCCGCAGTTCTCCAATCAAAGACGAGGAGGGGAAATGTGCGGGATCTCTGCTGTCATCATATGACCACACTTTGGTGATAAAAGAAATTACCAGTGAAGAGGTAGAAGAAATGCACAACATCCTGTCTGAGTACCACCAGGTAAGGCTGAAAGGGGCAGAATCATATTTTTTTTACCTTTGTTGTTATGAATCAGAAAGTTTCTAGGTCCTTTAAGAATCATTAGTTCTTATTCCTTAATTATTTCATGTGTTAATTTACTTACACATTTTTCCCCTCATTTTTCTTGTATTGTTTCTTTTGTGTCACTGGTGCCTTTCTTTTTTTACAACAACTCTTGTTGCCATGGCAAACACACTACAGACACACACATCATCAAAGCTGAGAGATGAATCCTCGACTTGCAAGCTGAGTTCTTCATCCAGAAATTATGGCACCGAAAATAGCTACTTCAAAAGACTTTTTAGCAAGTCAAATCATTATCAACCCAGTGTATCAATGCTCAAATGCAAAAATCCTAAAATTTGTTAAGTCTTTTCTCTGTCAAGCCCAAATTAGTCTTAAAAAAAACTAAACAGAACATACGTGGATATCAGCCATTGTCAGAAGTTAATTCTACCTAATGAAATGCTTGTTGTAAAACACAAATCTGGCACATATCAGGAAATGATGCAGAATATCTGCTTTGCTGAAATCTGTGTGCATGAATCATTGTAGTCCACATGTGACAAATATTAAATGTGCAATCATTTTTTCGGTTGGATTCCAGTCATCTAAGCATCCTTGGGAAGACTAAAGAAAGGGGGTGTTTGTGTTGTGTGTGCCTCCTCGTGCAGCTGTGAGGTTTTGCTGTGCTCTTTTCCAGCACATCGTCACCTGCCATGGCAGCACGCTGCTGCCTCAGTTTTTGGCCATGTACAGGGTGACCGTGGAGAGTGAAGACACCTACCTGTTGGTAATGAGGAACATGTTCAGCCACAGACTGCACATACACAGGAAGTACGGCCTCAAGGTAAGCCTTGCAGGAGTGGCGTAACTAAATGAACATTCAAAATGTGGTCTTGCAGTCTTGTGCTATGACACACATTATGGACAATCACTATCTTACATCAACTTTTCAATAGCCATCTTTATAGCAAGCAAACAGTTTTTTTTTAATACAACATCATGTATGAAAACGACCTCCAGGGCCATGTGATTTTCCCCAAAATTACCAAAGCAAGTTTTCAAATGTTTGGAAGCACAGATTGTTCCTGTCATAATTTGATACAGACTGTTTTGTCCTTCCTTAGGGCTCCCTACTGTCTCGTGAGTCAAGTTTTAAAGAGAAGGTAAGATCAGATTAACGTATGGATAGTGAGGAGAGGGGGAGGTATTTGCTATGAGCTGCATTTCTATTGGCCGTTGATTGAAGGCACTGTCTTTAAAGAATAGATGGAAAATGAAACAGTAAGAGTACAACAATATATAATTGCTCCTTTTTGAGCATATAAGGTACCTGCACATCCTATACGGTTTAATTAAGTAACTGTTAAAGTTTTGTGGAATAAACAGGGAGGGCCATGATGTGCAATTAAGGTTAAATCTGTAAATGAACACTATGTTCATGTTCATGTTCATGCATTTGGCAGACGCTTTTATCCAAAGCGACTTACACTATCTGTCTTTCAAACACTTTTTAAATTAAACAAAACATTTCCAACCATGTGAAAAAAGATTAAGGTTAAAAAGTGATCTTTTAATTTAGATTTAAGCTTAAGGAGAAATTGATCAAATATTTTTGGTGAACTGAGAACTCTTAAATAAGGTCCACAATTCTTTGTTTTATGCTTAAAAAAAGTACGTGCTCATGCTGTTCCTGTTGCATGCAGAGATATAGTTTGTCGGACTAAGAATTTTACAGTGAAAACCATTTTTCCAGTAAAGGATTAATATTGTTTGTGGAAAACAGGGTTTTTATGATTAGATTTTTCACAGACATTCTCGTGAAAATCACTTAGCAACAGGCTTTTCAAGTAACATCAAAAGCAGCCTGTGCGGCCTGCAGCAGCGCTGACCTAGATATAAATGATCTGGTTGAATGGATGAAGTCTATAGAGCTTTGGAAACCTTTGATATTCCCACATTATATTTAGAAAATGGAATCTGGTGCAATATTGTTTGATTTATTCATTAATCTTCTTTTAACTGAAAATAAAATAGCTGGTTATGCTAAGATGAGAAAAATGCAAATGAATCATTTTCAGGTTAAATGTAGCAGAGTTGATCTTTTCTCTGTACTCTCAGGTGAAAGAGCTGCCTACAAGCAAGGATGCCGACTTCATGAACAACATGCAAAAGGTTTATCTGAGTGAAGAGGAGAAGGAGAAGATGATGGACAAGCTCAACCGGGACGTTGAGGTGAGTGCTGCTTGGGCTCGGGGTCACGATAGGCCTGATTCTGCATTGATGTGTTTCGCTGCAGTTTTTAGTAGATATGAGGATCATGGACTACAGCCTCCTGCTGGGTATTCATGATGTGGAACGAGCTGAGAGGGAGGAAGAGGAGGAGGAGATGGAGTCTTCCTATGAGGAGGAAGAGGAGGAGGAAAATGGCCTGGCCGCTCCTCTGTGTTCTACCTCTCCTGAGGGTATTGCAGGCTACATGAACTCCTTCAAACCCATGGGACCGGGGGAATTCGACCCGTATGTGGATATGTACGCTATTCAGAGTGCCGTGGGTGAGTTCTGACGGCCGAGTGTTGTGGTCATTTTTTAAGTAGGTTACAGAAGCCCAGACGCTCCTAAACGTCATCTCACACTATGCTGCAAAAGATGAGACCTTACTGAATGTGCAGAGCTCCATTTTTCACCCTCCTAGGTGCACCCCGGAGGGAGGTGTATTTCATGGGTCTGATTGACGTGCTGACGCAGTACGACACCAAGAAGAAAGCGGCTCACGCTGCCAGGGCTGTCAAACACGGGGTGAGTGAGCGTTTCTTTGACAAGGTTTGGTTAACAGGCCTTTACTGTCAAGCTCAAGGGGCGGCTTTCGTCTTCCGTTCCCCCAGTTTAAATCAGTCGCATTTCTGTGTGTGTTTTATAGGCTGGAGCTGATATCTCTACAGTTCATCCCGAGCAGTACGCTAAACGTTTCAGAGAGTTCATCACAAAGATTTTTGCCTAGTTCAACGATCAGTAAATGATACACTATGAGCTTTACAGTGCAATAATTACTCTGCCAGTTAGAAGTCTGGACACATGCAGTCATTTTTGGATAGGATTTATGTTTGCTTAAATTCTTTTCACTTAATGGCATCAGCTAGATATGAATGAAAATCTGGTAAAAGAACAATGTTGTGACCTGAGCAGGTGTTAAGAAAAGCTCTGGCCTTATCTCTCTCGAAAAGGAAGATCTTCTCTCCCATTGATACGTCTGGGATTCTTTCACAAGTAATATTGCTTGTTACTGGTTGTAACCTAGTGTTTGTGAATTCTTTTATCTTATGTTAGGTGGGCTGCTCGTAGTTGTGCAGCTCTACAAAACATCTTTATTGATTTAATGAAATGGACCCAGCCACCATGACACCGGCCAAGGGTCTGTAAATAACAAGTTTAAGGCCTGTACATTTGGCTGCTGCCAGTTTGATCTTTACTGGAGCGTGGACTGAAATCTGATTGACCAAAAATAAAGTCATGTCTAATATATGTCTATTTCTGGGTTTCTTTTCACAAGCACTGCCAGCGCACTGAACAGAATCTAGCTGAATAACACCGTGCTGACTGAATTTATTGAACAATTGCTCTAAGCTGGTATAAGTCTTTAGCCTGCCTCTACCAACTGTAAGTGTTATTTCACTTTTAGGAATGTCCTAATTAACATCCTAAATTCTTCTTAAATAATCAGGCAGCTAAACTCAACAGAAAATGTGACCAGTCAAGGACTTAGTTTTACATGAATGAGTGGATGTGCCCAAACTTTGACTGACAGTTGGCATTTATCTTCTTATGCAGTTAAAAAGATGTAATATCACCATCCATGGTGCCTTTTATCCCCTAGCACAAATATCTGAGTGAATTAGAAAAGTGAAGACATTTTAGAAAGCAACTGTTGACAAACCACTGATTATTGTCATGCTAAGCTATAGAAGTCCTATAACTGGGTGTATTTAACACTAAATGCATAAATGAAACATTCTTCCTCACACAGAGTCCTAATCTGAGTCATTCAGCCTTCTCCAATAAACCTTTGTCATTATATTAAAGCATGACCTCGCATGCAATGTACAGATTTTTTTAAACACAAAAAACAAAGTGGTTTGCACCATTCATCAGCTTGCAAATATATATAAAACCTAATCTTGTATTTGAAGCTCTTCTTAGAAACAGAAGGACTCATCCTTTTCCCCTTCTAACATTCAGTGATGTTTTATCATCAGTGTGAGTTTTGCCCCAATTGCAGGAAAGGTACTGTTATGTGGAGCGTTTTTAGTAGGAGTCAAAGTGCAGAGAAGTTTATTTATAAAAACAACAAAAAGTGCGGCAAACCCAGATAAACAAAACAAAACTGGGGAAATCCAAAATACTACTGAAAAAACAAAAACGTAAACCAATGGACAAGGAGCTGGGCGGGTATATAATGAGGCAATGGACATAGTGTGAGAAAGCAAGGAGAACTGACAAGGACCTGACAGGGAATGAGAAAAACCAGGAAGATTAAATACAGAAAAGGGGCAGTGCTGAGTGGAAGACCAAAGACCAGAGCAACCGGAGAACTAACGAACCACAGGCATCAGAAACAAGGGAAAACAAAGCTAAGACACTGAAACGGGAGAGAGATCAACTAAAAGAAATACAAACCACATACTCAGGGCATGGTAAAAGAATGATTACAAATGATAAAATAGCAAATATTATAGGGTAAATTCAAAACTGGGGACAAACAGAAGACAATCCAAAAATCCATAACCAGGATCAAGACATCCTGTCTTCTGCTGCTTTTTCTGAATATAGCTGGTGTACATCCACAAAGGAACATAGAGGGAAAGGATATGCTTGATGACTGCCAAGTTCAGAAAAAAAATCAATCTCTTCCTTCAGTTCTCCGTCTGAAACTAAATTATGCAGACAGGCAGATATGTAAATTCAGTTTCCCATGGTCAAAGTTTAATCTGAGGCATCTTTCAGAAACTCACCTTCAGAGGGCTTTGAGGTGTGCACATCTGCTGGTTTCATCTCTACAGACTTTATATGAAGCTTTTTTGGCCCACATTTTTTAACTGCTGATTTATTAGAAAAAAAGGAAGATTCAAAATCTTCTGTAAACTATTAATACTGCATTGTTAAAAAAAATTCTCCAAAGAAGAAGTGCTTTACACTGTTGTATTTTTTTAAATAAGAAATGAGGGAGAAATATAAATAGAATTATGGATCTACATTAGTTCAAAGATCTGCTTTCAAAGGTTGTGTTTACCAGTGCAAGATACCTAAACATCAATGATTTGTATTTCATTTGTCATTTTTCTGTATATTTTTATTTTAACTTGACATTTTTTCCAAAAAAGGATCATTGGGCTCTCGTTTCTTGAAAGCTCCCTTTTTGTCATTCTTTGTTCAGGGTCAGACATTATGCAAATGTTTTTAATGGTTGTGTAATAAAGAGACATAACCCTTACATTTTTTAATGTTTGAAAGCAGTCTCTATCAATTAGGCTGTTATATTCTTTATTGATAGACTATATCAACTTTTGGAATAAATGTTTTGAGAAAATGTCTTAGTGCTCATTAAAGGTGAATGCTCAATTTATTCTCAGTGGAGAAGCAGTCATTTTGTCTTTATTTAGCACCCTCTCCTGTCCCAGTACTCCTGGCACACATTCCTGCTACGCCTTTAAATTACCATTAGAATATAGCTTTTTTCGAACAACAGACTGGAGTGGAGGGACAGACATGTCATAAACAACTCAAAGAGAAATGAGGCTATCTGAGCAAACCAAAAATGATTTTAGACCAACTTTCTTTATTACTACATTAAAATAGTCAGAATAAAAACAAATTCCACTATCTGTAAGTTGATTTGGTAACAATCACTGCCTTTGTACCAGGCCTAAAACGGGGCCTGATCCAGTAGGATTTTAAACTTTTTAAAGCTTTGTGAACTCAAATATCTAAGATCTAGTGTGTGGTAATACCTGTGTACCACATGACTATGAATAAAAAACGTACTGTAAATCCAGTAAGTCAGTAGTTCTGTCCAATTCAAATAAACCTTTCAACCACTGGCTCACCCACAAAAAGAGACGATGTTGATACACTTTCTTTTGTATCTTGGAACCTGGAGTAATTTCGAAGCAGATGTTGTTTCTCTGTTAATCAATTATCAGTTTGGTAAACAAAACCCAGTAAATATTTTTAAAAAATGCTGTCAGGAGTGCAATGACCAACTGAACTGCACAGCCAATGTTCAGTGTAATTTTCCTTTAATTCTTATCCATTTCCTATTTGTATATCCTGTGGCTCAGATTTTTTAAGTTTATTTTTTTCATTTTGAAAAATCGCCAGTACATGTAATGAAGTAAAAGGTAGAATATTCCACTTTAAAATGCCACGTTGAATAGGTCTGCAATGTAAAGACAAAGTCAGAGCGCCTCAGCGTGATAAAGTGCTGAATTTGATGGATTTCCTGCATCAGCAGTTGCAGCCATTAACGCTTGCTGTATTTACCAAGATATATTCGAGTAGTCATTACAGACATGTAATAACGGATAAGATCACACTTGAGCTCACTAATGTAAAAGCCTGAGGCAGCCATCTACAGAGATGCCATGTTCTCCACATCAGGGTACATGTATGTGTGTCTCTGTGAGTCATCACTTTCATTCTTCACTCAAACATTTATGGACAGATGTAGATAGAAGCAGCCTTTTCCAGGGTTACCGTGCCCCCTTCTATTGATCAGGAGGAGTAACTGAACTGTTTAATGACTGTGAGAAAAACGTGAATCAAACGCTGTGACCTTCAAAGTGACCAGATCTCAGCCCAGCTGAAGAAGAGAGATTTAGAATCGATGGGTTAGACAATGCATTCTAACACCACCATCAAATCCCCAAGTGAGGGAGTATCATTTGGAACATCGTGTTCTTACACAGCATAGAGTTGCAGGGACTGACTGTTTCCGTTTTCTTTCCAGATTTTTAGACATCTGTCGTATATGTTAGTGGACCTATACAGTGACGTAAACCTAAATGTTAGATCTTGAGCGAAAGGTTGTGCAGTTTTTTTTTTAAAAAGAAGAAAAAAACTCCTATCTTGGCATACTGTGTTCTTTCGGTGTGGTATCTGAGATTAAAAACTAAAACCACCTTGGAGATGGCAGTATGGTTTATAAATGAATCCATTTACTTCAGCCTAAAAAGAAGTAGGCCGGAGCCAGCAGAGGCTTTTAATAAGAGTCTGGTTGTTCCAGAGGGTCTTGTGTTTAAATACTGGTTGAGTGATGAATGGTGGCTGCTGTTTATGAAAGTACTGCGTCTCCCACAAACTCTCTGAACACCAGTCTACGCAATACAACTGTGCTGTTGACCTCACGGGAGGCAAGCCTACAGTTTATTAAAGGGTGAAAATAAGTCAAGAAAATCACACAACTTCAACCTTTAAACAAAACACTGTAGCAGGGGGCAGCAACCTTTGTGTGATAAAGAATGTTCTGTAATTCACTGAATGAGTGAATGAAACAAAAAGGGGGGGGGGAAGGAATGAGAAGTGCACATCACAGAAAAGTCAAGGTAAACACAAAGACACATCCAATACTGCATGAGGGTTTTTGTTCAAAAACATAAATTAATGACATTCTTCTGTTGCATTTCTGTTTTCAGACACAGAGATATTCAATCACTTCAAGACCAAGTTTTAGAGATAAGGAGTTTTCAGCAATCAAAACATACCTTTAATTTCTTTTAGTCACACCAGGAATAATATTAGTTGAAAACTGTGTCATCTGGAAAACGTGTTAGTATTTTAAATACTCATCGGTTTCTGTCTACATTCAGTCACAATCAAGTCATTTCACTTCTTCATATATCATATTACACTCATCTTAATAATATGCTACTGCTGGCATCAGAGTGTTCACATCCTATACAGTATTTATGTCACACTGGTACAAACAGAACATAAAAATATCAGATAATCAGGTGCTTATCAAAGAAAACAGAACCCAAACTTTTTACAGTAAATCTCTGGACAGCAACAGGTAAACATTTGAGTTTAATACATAGGACCAACTGTACAAATCGTACATTGACAACCTAGGAAATTAAGCACTTAAATTTTTTTTTTTAGAATAATAGCCTTTTCTCAATGTATTTCTATACAGTTATTTTATCTCTAATGTACCCTCCCCTTTCCAGTCACTAACATATTTCACATCAACTTACACAAAACATAATTTATGCGCTGAATGACTAGTGAATTTAAAACTCACATTCAGTGTCAGAATGAGAAACTGCTGCCATGTTTTAATGTTTAGAATTCATTCAATAAACTCCTCCATCATATAGTAAACTTATTGCAGTTTTTTTACTTCTGGGCTTTAGCTGCTTAGATAAGATGTTTGAGGCTGCAGGCAGAGTTCCAGTTCTAAATGAGTGGTAAAACAAACTTGACTTTACTGACTGCATGGCGAGATATGAATCTGACTCTGGTCAGTACATTCCTGTTGAATCCGAATGCACAGATGTTGTTTAGGCGGGACAACCTTTTTATCCTGTTGAACCTATTCTAGCTCTACAATTTTCATCCCTGAAACGTACACCTCAACAACCCCATTTTCCTCCAGGAACGCGCCATCTGTCAACGCGCTGATCAGTCCAACGAGCCCGTCTGCATGTACAGGACACAATGAGGGGGAAGCGACTAGGTCACATACACACACACACACACAGTATGCCACGGCACATTGAGATTATGATACTGCTCTTCTGGAGGTGCTGTAACTGATGTTGGTACTGCTGCTCTTGTTTGAGATTTTAAGTGTCGTGGCAACTGTTAAACTTGGTGTCATGGCAACTGGGAAGCTGGATGTGGCGGCTGATGCGAATCCGGATGTCACGGCGACGGAGGAGGAGGAGGAGGGCGCTTCATTCGGGCATCCGTACTGCAGAAGGATGTCAACACACTCCTGGCTTCCAGCATTTTGAGCCAGAGCCAAAGCTGTTTGCCCCTGAGCGTCCCGATACCGGACATCACAGCCATACTGAGGACAAGCACAGAGAGGATAACAGCCTGGATTAGTCTGTGTAATTATGAGATACTTCTAATTTCCCCACTTTTCATCATATGCGGAATTAAGGTCAATATTGGCCTGACAGGGTCATCTAAAATTACCTCCGAAAATGTAATTTAGCGTGCTTTTCAAAAATGCAGGTCACCTTCAGTTGCCTGCTGAGTCATACTTTTGAATCTAATTACTCAGAAAGTCGTCATTTAGGAATTTCTTGCATAATACAATGTGACACTTGCTGTGATTACATTTTTTTTTACAGTTATTCCTCAACGTGCTGACACTTCCACTGACACATCATATCTGTTCCTAAGCATTGTGGTTTGTTGGTGATATCAATCAGCTCTTATGCCCAAATGTTTCACTGATGTTTTGAACAACACTGGCTACAGCGGTGAAGGACGGTAAAACACACCCAAACGAGGAGCTGCGTCATCACCACGTCGGCTTGTTGACAGGCGGCGTGCAGGGCAGAGCCAGGCAGCCGCAGCGCTAAGAGCGACCTGGAGGAGAGCGAGAGGCTGAGAGGGCCATTAATGTCCTCCTTCGTGCAGTGGGCCAAAAGGAGCAGCAGCTTGGGCAGATTGCGCTCCATCACTGCCAACACAAGACGGCCTGATAAAGTGATGTCTAGGCCCTCGCTGGGGGTGGGAGGAGGCAATGGCGCCACAAACAATTTCTGCTCGTACTTGGCTCGGATCCACGACTCCCGCTCCTCTCTAGACATGCACGGGAAAAACAGCAAAAGGTTGAATAATCATCTCATTACTCATGCAGATTAACAATGAGCATTTCCATTCACAAAAGCTTCTACATGACTAAACTAAATAAAAAAAACAATCTGTTCGTGTACCGTGTGGCATCAGGGGTGGGTTTACGGTGACCCATTGTGCGTGCCTCCCATAAACTGTTGACCAGGTGGTTACCGATGGCACTGAGAACCAGCGTGAGCTCTCTGGGAAGATCATCCAGGGCGAGGGAGCGAACCCGTGACAGGTGCGTTCCCAAGTTTCTGTGAATCCCAGAACACTCGATGCAAATGAGAGCTCCCAGGTTCAGACTGGCCCATGTTGGATCTTGTAAAGAGATTGAACACAGTCAATTAGGATGGGACCTTGTTGGAAATTGTACTGATATCGTATTTCTGATTGATCATCAAAATTATTTAGTTAAAACTTTAAACAGATTTCGTTAAATACATTTTCCCACATCTTTCATTTGTATTCGCCCTCCCATTCCTTCTTGCTATTCTGTTCCATAATTTACCAAATGTTTTTTTGATCAATTTAGTTTAATTCTTATCAGCGCAACTACTGCCAGATATTTATCTTGTGGAAGAAAACAAGTCATCTTAAATGCTTAATTTGACTGATCAGTTTAATCTTAATAAGACTTAATCCATTTACCTTGACTCAAAACCTTGTTTTTTGTTACAAATTTGTCAAAACAGTGTAAGTCAACAATTTTTCAGAAGATAATTACTGTTAGATATCAGTTTGAGATCACAGCTGTTTGCATAAATTGTGGAACATGGAAACAAAGGAGGTTTTACTAAAAATATAGTAAAACCCAAAAAAATGTTTTTATCTTATAAAAAAGTGATGGCAGTATACTAAATTTGAATGTACATTCTAAGTCTAAGATGTAAAGAAATCTTTTCCAAAATACGGAGAGGATCACATCCATTTTCTACAAAGGTTTGAATGAACAGAGCACTGCTGTGCTCAACACACTTCATAAGTAATTCCACTTATAAAAAAACATTATAAACATTTTACTGGCAGAAGCTACACTGAACAAAGGATTTTTTTATAAAAAATAACTATCATAAAAACATAATGGTTTTTGAGGATAGAAAAAGGTGATCTATTAAAGTGTGTTACTGACTTGGAGCTTCGCAGTCTACACAGAAGCTGTTCCCCTTTGCATTGCGGATGGCCTGCAGTGCCACAGCATCACTCTGACTGTTCTTGCGATCCTGTGAGGAATGCACAGAAAATGATAGGAATAAGCAAACAGCCAGCAAACGTCTCCAAAAGATGATATAGTTGTTATTCGTGGTTTTGAAATAAATTGGGCTATCAATGTTTTGCAATGACAAAAAAAAAGTTTAACAAACATTTTGTCATTTGATTATTTCTGTAATTACAAAAAAATAAAAACCATGTTGTGACTCATGTGTTTTGCTGCTTCTTGCCTTGTGTTTGCTGCTCTCACACAGCTGCAGGCTGGCCAGAATCTGGCTCTCAATGGCTTGGACCCAGGAATCCCTCTCCTCCACACTCTGGGCTTCAAAATGCCATGTCTGGCCAGTGCTCGACACAACAAGGAATTCAAAATTGTCCTCATCTGGCAGAAAACAACAAGCAGATCTTTACGAGCAGGCGTTACTTTCTCCTCATGAAATAATGTGCAGAAACATTTCTAATGTGACAGAAACATAAGAAAAATACAGTTTTGACATTACCTGTCTTGCTTACGTTTCTTAGGCTACCAAAACTTTTGAGTTTCCACATTTTACGCTTGGCTGCATGAGAAAGAAGAAAATAGCAGTGGAAAAACAAGGAGGCTATGAGATGAATTGATAAATGTTTCATGTGATGCATAACAAATTACACATGGTAAATATTTAAATCTATTGTCACTCTATCAATTATTGATTAATTGCAAAAAAAAGTCATATCAAATCAGACTACTATTAGAGGGCTGAAAGGATCTCCTTTTAAAGGAAGACAGCAATTGCAATTCATTGAAATATATTTGAACTTTTTCACTTTGACTGTACCATCTGCCTGGCCCATGGTTGCATCTCCTTTCTGATTCATGCTCTTCTTTCTGCGATTCTTCTTCCTGTCTGTGCATGGGGAAGCAGAACCTACATCTTTGGTAGAAGAAGAGCTGGAGACTCCTTCAACTGCAGAGTCTATCGGCCGGGACAAAAGCAAACCCGTCAAACTGCCTTGCTAAAGGCTGGATATTCAACTTAAAATCCTTTGCCCTACTTACCAACACCTTGAGCATGATTGGATAGAGTAGAAGGGCACCGCTGAACACCTATGTTACTCCTCAGAAACAATGCTCCTCCCAGCCCTTCCATCTCCTCCACTTGGAGCAGATTACTTGCGCTCACTGGCAAAAAATATGTGAAAGCAACAAATGTAAAAGGTTCCAAAACAAACATATACAGTTTGTACCAGCCTTATACACACTAAAAATAAATTAAATGTGTATGAGTATGGATATTTTTGGTTCATTTGTTCAGAGAAGTAATGCTTTTTTTCTAGCGCTGTTTCTTTGAGATAAAAAAATCTGAATATTTTATGGGATTTTGAGTAAGAAAAGGTTACTTAAAAACAGAGAGAGGTGATGAATGAGTGTGTTGGTGTTAACAAGCTTGAGTGAAAAGCTCATGGGAGTATTTGTCGCAGTGGGACCGCCGTGCTCTGGTGCTACTGTCTGTATTAGGTAGATGAGGCACATGTTGTATATTTTGTGCGTGGTGATGCATATTTTTGTGTTAGACTGTACACAAGATGGCCTTGTGACATTTAAATCTGTGTGTTTTATTTGACCTTGTGAAGGGATTATGAAAGTCTAAGAGAAACAATGTTACATCATAATAAAGGTGACAACAGAATGGTAATAACCCCCCTACCAAAAAAATAATGATCACACAACCTTTATGTGTCCTACACTTATAAAGCAGAACCATAACACTGTATGGTTCTGCTTTTCCAAAGGCAAAAATGTTTCAATTAAATCTTTTTCTTTTGTCTTCTTGCTAATGTAATCATATTTGCGTGTGATTTCTTTCTGTAAAGTGAGAAACGATACATATCGTATTCTACGTAGATTTGTACTGAAGCAAATGCATTGGTTCAGTCATGTCTGGGTGTACAATGGACTCTTTACCCTCAGGTCCCAGCACATCTTTCACCCTCCCATTGAGCCCTGCTGGGGGGCCACACGTGGGCACAGCACGGGGCGGTCGTTTTCCCGGCACCTTCACCGTCACTCTCAGCAGGTCCATCTCTTTCCCCGGGGTATTCAGCATGTACTCCTGCCAAAGCAAACGTCAATCCCCTGCCATCAAACATCCGTCATGCATTTGGCGGCATAATTCTTCGCAGCACTGCGTCAACACGCCGACTTACATTCACGCTGGAGTGATAGGAGAGAATGCCATCGTTGGACAGTGTGACATACTTCTTCTTCCACTCTTTGTTGAGCGAGTTGCCACTGCGCTTCAGCAGGATGCCCTGATGGAGGTAGTAGAATTGAATACTGCGAATTTATTGCCGACGGCTTGTGTGTTCCTTTCACACATTTCTGTAGCATAATGACTGCTGGCTGCCAAATACACCCACCATCTATTTATCAGGCCAGTATGGGTGATTGCAGCACTTCATCACTCCACATGATGAAACTAGCTTCACACATTTTGAAGTGAGTGTTGGTGTGATGTCCTCAGCTGAGATTAATCAGATGAATTATATCTGTTTCTGTATCAAGTGCAAATCGGTGTCCTACCTGCTTGATGGGAATGTAGCGCCCGCTGCCAAAATCCCCCTTAAAGTCTGCACTCCTTCTGTTTGAGTCACTGCCTCTCCGACCCTTGAGGAAAAGAATGGAGAGGCAATATCAGTTTAGAAATTAAAATAGGTTTGTTAGTTAAGATACAGTATGATCAATGTTCAGATTTTCCAGGTTTAAGAATGACTGCATAATAATGGTAGCCTGTACTATAGCTCATGTTTTGTTACTTCTTGTTTTGAATCTTTATATAATTTGCCATCCATCTGTTTTCTATATCAGCTTATTCCAAGTAGGGTTCCTGGACAGCCGGAGCCTGTTCTAGCTGTCATTGGAGGTGAGGCAGGGAACACCCTGGACAGGTCGAGACAGGTTGAGAGTTCATTACAGAGCCGAACAGATACATGCGAGACAACCGTGCACACTCACACTCACTCCAGGGGTAAATGTGGAGTCACCAATTAACCTGACAGGCATGTTTTTTAATGCTGGAAGGAAGCTGGAGAACCCAGAGAGAGCCCATTCAAACAGGGTGAGAACATGCAAACTCCACACAGTAATCCCCAGCCGGGATCGAAGCGGGGAACCTCTACACCAGAAAAAATGTGTCTTTGCAGCTCAGATGTTGAACTGTTGACCAAGAGATTTCTATTATTCTTATTTAAGAGTCAGTAAATCTATCGATTAAGCATGTGACTCAGCTGTTGTCAGGGTATAAAATTGATACCAGAATGCATTCATGAGATTTGTTGACATATCCAGAAACAGAATAATCTATATTCAAAACTTTCCTTTTGGGGATAAAAAAAGAGTACTATAATATTCAACCCATTAAAGTAGAGAAAAATTCTGCTTCCATGAGATCAAAGTAAAAACTTTCTTCACATTTAGAATGTAAAAAATGCATTGGTGACAGACCAAACTAGAAGCTCGGGGTAAAGTGAACGTCAGATTTCTGTTCTTTGCAGGCATGCATGCTATTTGCATGGGTCTCCTCAGGAGTGGAAATGAATTAAATATGAATAGAAAATGAGTTATCTGAAAAACAAATGTGGGTCACAGCCACTGAGTTGTCATTATACGGTAAAGTTTACATATTCTTTTTCATCTATCTTAACTAAGGTGCACATGTGTGTTGCTTTATAAAAAGCATTCTATGACATATATCCATATTAGCAAGCTTCACTTTATTGGTTTGAGGGTTGATTTCACCTAACATGGTTTTAAATAATACAGTCTCTGTAATCTGGAGTACATCACAAGAAATTCTATATTTAGACTGGGATGCAGTCCAAAACAACTGCTTGACACAGTTCAATGTAACGCTTTTAAGCATGAAAACTTCAAAACATGTTAGGTGATGATAGAAGAGGAACAAAATGAAAGAAAACAGCATTGAATTAAGAATGCTTACAGCAAATCTAGGCGCACGCCTTCGAACACTGCGGACTGATCCGGGTGCACCACTGTCTGATTTCTCGCCTCTCAGTGTTCTGCCAATCTCTTTATGACTGATCACAGGAGTGGAGGGAAGCGAAGAAGAATAATCACTGCTCTGGCCACCGTTACTTGCCTACAGAGAGGAAAAAGAAAGGGGAGGGAGAAGATGTTGTGATGAGTGGGAGGGAGGAGGAAATAAGTTTGATAAGACGCAAAAATTCGCTCTGTGGCAGAAGCTACATGTTACAACACTCAGCTTACAACTGGCAGCCTGGAAGTTTTACCTGTCCTGGAAAGACTCCGGACACTGGCGTGGAGCCTCCAGAGTGACTGGGAGAGTTTGGAAGAGATTTACAAGAAGCCAGTAAAGCTGCTTGCTTCTTGGCTGCCATGATCTTCTGAGCAGCTGTGGAAACAAAAAAAACAAAGCACGGTCTTAAAGTGACACACAACGTTCAGACTTGTGCATCCTCTGCAGCATTATCCTTCACTTTGTCATCTGTCTTTGGCGGGAACACACACCATCGTTGAAGACTCTGTTCACATTGAGGCCGTAGGTCGCACAGGTCTCATAATAAGTGCAGCGCCGGACATCTGAGCAGAGCTGTCTGGCCTTGGCATCGTCTATTACCCTCGGGTTGGTGCTGCTGATCTTATCTAGAAAACGGATAAACCGATCACCTACAGGAGGAGTTTGTGGAAGTCAGCATTTGAACAAAAGACCATTTTTAGCGTAGGAGTGTTACCCTGGGTGCCAACTACTATGAAAGGTATCTCGGTGACAGGCCGATGCATAGCGAGTTGGTGGTAGTTTTTATAAACTTCCTGGTAGCTGGCCTCATTCTCCAAACTAAAGACCAAGATGACAGCATCTACCCAGTTTGCAAGCTAAGGGAAAGTGAAAAGGATAATAGCAGTCAATTGCACGAGTTTAAGTAAGTGGAGCTGGTTGCAGGTTATGGTCAGTTTCAACTCACCTGAGGGCCCGGAAGTTCTGTCTCTTCTCTGATTATCAGCAGGTGGCTGTGTCCATCCACCTGCACATCCTTAATGTACTGTCGTCCTGTTGAGCAGTTGAAATCACAATGGTTTTTTTCAAACACTTTGGACTCGATGTATCAGGAAACTGAATGGTGATATTAATAAAAGCACTGTCTTGAAGCATAAATGTAGTGCCTGTTGGTCATATGTTTGTATGAAAAGGGAAAACATCTGTACTGATTAGGCCACAAATACAGAAGTGGTAAACAGTGAGGAGATGCCAAACCAACCCTCTGCGTTCTCCAGCGGCAGGTAACTTCCTGTTAAGTGTCTGTGAACCAGAGCCGATTTCCCACTGCACAGGCCTCCCAATACACCCTATAAATCCAAACACACACACTCAACATGTCGTATCAAATTGAATGTAGAGATTTGTAAAGATTTCTGTATAACTTTGACCTTACCAGATGAAGTTCTTGCACAGTTTGACTCATTGGCCACTCTTGACTGCTGCATGGAGCTAAAGAGAAGCATTGACAGCATTATAAATAGATTTTTTTTTTCCAGAAAGTTGACCATTAACCTACACATTAGTTCTGCCCCTTGGGCCATTGTTGGGTCACTACAATTTGTAACTTAATCCTTGATTCTATGTCAATGCTTGTCACACTTTTCAGTAAATATCCTCTCATTTTTCAAAAGGCATTTTGTTGTCAAAAATAACAGGTCAAGAAGCTTGAGAAAATTTGATTGCTCTAATAAAGTGTGCCCTAGTGCTGGCATTCTGTAATGTTAACACTATAAACCAAGGGTCAGTGATGTTTATCTAATTCAATATTATGATTCAAAATGCTTTTTACCCATGAGAAAGATGCCAAAAAAGCACTGAGGTGACTTAGAGGGCTCTCTTTTAGTTTTACAAAATTAGCTGTAAAGTGGGAACCTTCTTATCTAAGAAGAGCTGAACGAGACCAAGAACATTCTGTCAAATGAAGGAAATGAAGCAAAGTTCACGGCAAACTCTCCCAAATGTACAATTGACATTTGTAAAATCTACAGTGCAGAAGTATTGCTGACTGCCTGCCTGCCTGTGGACTCAGCACAACATGAAGTCAGTGTCCAAATGACCCCGTTGGGCTTCAGAGTCTGAGGGACTGCAGCTCCCTGCATCTCAAACCACCAGAAAAGTCAGTTTGCAAGTCTGCATCAGTAAGCGTAAATGTATAATATTAGTTTGCATTAATGGCGTTAAGCCAACAGTTCCCCAGCACCACCATCACCACCATGCACAACCCCCCCTCTCTCATGGTTACTCTGCAAAAATAACTCTTTATGAGGCATTTTTCAATAAGACTGCAATCATAAAAGGTTTTTAGTTCAGCTGGGTTACTATGATATACACTGTGTTTGTGCTCTGTGGTGACAAGAGACCTCACTGACAGAAGATTATATGTAGAGATATGTATGACAAACTATTTTCATAACCGTTTCTGCATTTCTGCCATTTTCTACACGTAAAAAGACATCGCCTTATACCTGTGTTAAGTTTCTCAACCTCAAAGCTAATTCTGTCAAATGATAAAGATACTGAATAACATTTGTTGTCTGAGCCTTGGAGAAAATGCTTTGTTCAGATCCGTTTTGAAAAATTAGTCGAGGGATTTGGTTGAGTTTGAAGTGAAATTTGTGAATAATAAAAAAAAAAAGAGTTGTTGGTTGAATGACTGGCACGGTGTTAATGTATAAAGTGTTAAGATGTTATAAATTATGAAAATAGTGGAACTTGGATAATGGAGCAGAGATTATGGTCGTGTGGGTCTACTTAACGTTTTCAAGTAAAAATCTCTTTTACAGAGAAACACAGCAGAGTTTGCAGTAGTGAGTCATGGACTGAGAAAATAGTTAAAATTGATCATTGTTCTTATTTTTATTACTTTGTCTCTTGGTCTTTAATTCAGTTTTGAGGTCATGGGCATATTTCTTCTCCAAACTCTACAAAAATATAAATCATGACTCACTTACTGCACCACTCAGCAGTAACATTTTCCTCCAAGAAATAAAAAATGCTTGTAAAGTTATTTTAGCCTTATCTTTAGCAGTTTCAAGCTCTGGGAGTAGCGGTACCATTAAAGGGGAAAAATACGGATAAACATACTCCTGTCAAAATAAATAAAATGCTTTTTAAAATGATTTTTTTATTATTTCTGATTAGTCTCTCATTGGATTTTGTCCGCTTTGTCAGCTATCCTTACACAGAGCTAAATGTTTGCACAAAGACATCTTGCTTTCTAGCATGCACGACATCAGTGTGGTAACACTACCATGCTTTACCCATGAGACTATGAAGTCCTGTCCAGAGACCGACCTCGTCATGCAGGAACCTAATCTAAGCTGCACTCTTGTTCAGCAGTCCGTTTTGCATTTTCTTATTTTTTTGTGGCAGTTTTGTTGCAAAACAAACTTAGGAACGTTCTTTTATTTGCTGGTTGCTGTTCTTAGAAAGTGATTTATTCTCACTGGCCGATCAGCCACAGAAACGCCCATGAACCTTTCCATCTTTTTTTCATTGCTAAATTGTGACTGCAGCATGCTGTCAGTGGAAATGCTCGGCTGAATTACAAAGGCTGATGAATTACTATGACCCTATGCTGTTTTATTGCTGCAACAGCTGCATTTGCAGCTGATTGTCTTCCTGTTACCTACTCCATCTTTTGGATGTCCAGTCATCAGAATTTGTAGCTCTGCTGGTGAGTCATTTCCTTGTGGGGCCATAATGCAACAATTGGGAATGTTCATTTGTTCAAGGGTTGCTTTATAAACATGTTCATGGGGCTGGATTTCCAAGAAATTCCAATGTAAACGATTCAATCGAGGTGATTACTGGTTGTCTTTTTACAACGATGCATAACTTTACGTTGAACATGTACTACAAAGTGGTAGAATAGATGTATTGTAAAATAAATTACATGCTAAATATGCCTTTGCAGAAGAGGTGCACTAAACAGGTTTGAACGTTTGAGTATAGTCAGCTTTAGGAAAGACATTTATATGAATGAACATTCAACAAAACGGACATACTTGCCCAAAAAGAGCTGTAACCCACATCATAAACATCTGCAGATGCAAAGCTTCAGATGACAAACACACGTGTGCATCCTGAGCCACGCTGTGAAAGAGCTTGCAGATGTACATTAACGCGGTATCCATTTCAGCAGAGACAATGACACAGATACAGACACACGGCAAAGCTGCCGGGCCGTGTTGTGCTGGGCGGAGCTGCGGTCTCCGTCTGGGGACACGGATTCTAACTTTAAACCCCTGACACCCTCCCTCATCCACATCTCCGGGCAATCCCTGCATCCAGAGCCCCTCCATCAAGAGCATCACACTACAACCGAACTGCATCTCTCATGGCTTGCTGTTGCTATGGCAACTCCATTTTCCAGAAGCCTCCAGCCTGGGTCTCTATACAATAAATGGTCTCTCATGGATACAGCGATTTGTGTGAGCGGCATTCAGACACGATGTCCACCTGTGCACACACGATGCTCTGTCACATTTTATCCTTACTGACCATACATTTCCAAATTAAATCCAATCATTTTTGTTCCACTGTCACCAGCCTGCGAACATTAAATACCGTTATTAAGGACATATTATGGCACGACCTTGACTATGCAGCTCACAACATTTAAACACAACATAGCACTGACAAATGAATAGGCTCCATTTGAATGCTGATTAACTGCGTGCACTATGGAGGAAGTAGCAGGTTCCCGCTCCCTCACCCTGTGATAAACACAGCTCTGTGTATCCCCAACCTTAATTATTCATGTCCCACTTACTCCCGACAAATTATTCAGAGCTCAGATCAAACCTATATGCTCTGTCAAAGATAATCCTTCGTAAAACATTCTGATTTTAGGTTAGAATGAAGTTAATTGCTAACTGCAACATTTCTTTAGTTTCAAATGTTGTCATAAACGTTGCAGTTAATGACAGCCCTCATCGGAGTGTCTGGATTTTGGGTAATTCCTCAAACACGTATCAAAAGGAGAGAATACATTAGTGAAAACTAAAAACCTAAACAAATCTGATTAACTGAGATTTCACATTATGTGTCAGTGAAGAATGATTTTGAAAACTTCAACGTTATGCTCTATCGTTTGACTATTTTCTTTTTCTTTTCTGCAGCAACAGTTAATCATCCCACAAGCACCTGGTGTTCTCATCATTTCTCTACAGAGGAATATCAGACAGACCTAGCAACTGTTTTCATGGAGGCTGCTTCAGTTGAAATTTAGACACTTTTCATGGGAAAATCTAGAGATCAGCACAGGCTATGGCTGAGTTATTTTCATCATCAATATTCTGACTGTTGCTGCCAAGAGAAATTGATTGTTCAGTGAATAAAATGTCTCTGAAATTGGGAAAATAGACCACAGCAGTTTCACAAAGCCCAGAGGTGAAATATTCAAATGGTATTTTTCAACTGAATCATACAAAAGGTAAATAAAATTGCAAATCAGCCACCGGAACTAAAAATGTTCAGAATTTATATAGATAAATGTGATGAGCACAGAGAATTTTTCATTTTTAGACAGCCACTTTTCTGTCATCAGCTAAGCATTTCAGCCCTATATTGTTATTGAATTGTTAATTGAGTAAAAGCCTTAATGAGCCTCACACATTGAATGTTTGAGAGAAAAAGAAAAAAGTACTTAACCTTAAAACCATATACTCCAAACACACACTGTTGTCTTTGGCAAATTTGATTTATCAAACTCTGAATTTCTTCCCTTTTCTTTTTAGCATTTATTCGATCTCAGAGGAGCCTCATTTTATTAGATATGAATGTTTTTGCATCCTCACCAAATGTAGTTGAAGTTCTTAAAAAATGATGACCGTGATGTCCAATCATAATATTAACTTTAATGTGTATCAATATGCTTCTGTCACTGCCAGGTCTGTTTTATACACTTCCATCTACAGGAAATACCCCCAGTTTATTTTAACAGTAAGTCCAAATACAATTAACTTTCATCAATTAATTTATGCTCACTTTATAATTTGATTGTCGCAAATAGATAATTAACCACAACTGCCCAAAACCTGTAAAATAGTACTTCTACTTCAAGAGTTTTTTTCCTTTTAGTTTTAGTTTAGGCCTAAACAACTCCAGGGAGGGCAAAATAAATGATCAATTAACGGTCCTAATCAAGTGCAAAAAAGCACAATAATCCTCTTATTTTCACACATGGGACCACTGGTGGTTGAATCAAATCAACTAATCTAATTGCATTTTCTGCTACCTTTTTCAAGGGGAACATCAGATGGAGTTCATCCTCTATATTTTGTTGGTATATTCTGTGGAGTTGATAACTGTATGATGGGATGTGACAGTGAGGTTTGTGCACCGGCGATGAAGCCTTTACCTTCCTCCTCACTGGAGCCCCTCTCCACAGCTGGGTAGATGGGAGCTGCTGTGTTGACACTGGGAGGTCCAGCGGTACTTTTGGTAAAAATCCCACTAATGAACTTGAGCATTTTGCGATCCCGGGGAGGAGCACGCTGTATCGTTCCCCCCTGACCCTCCTTCGCTTTCTTCAGGTCCTCAGAGAGGGAGTGCAGGTCACTGTTGTCGAGGGTACGACTTGTACCTTTTCTGGGAGGCCTGGGCACGTCGGGGACTGGAGGGGTTGGTAGAGAAACGCAGACTGCCTTATACCTCTCCCCTTGTGGGCTCTCCCGCGCCATTACGCCTGAAAATCCTCCACTCATGGGAGCCCCGGGTCGAATGAGAGTCCCTCTGCCGTCACTGTCGGCCCAGGACGCCCTGTAAGGCCCCATGGTTGTAGCTGCCATTAAGGGGGACTGGTCCCCGACGCGGTTATCTCTGCGCTCCAGAGTCTTAGCAGAGTGATACACAGTTGTGTTGGCCTCTCTGAGCTCCCTCCAGCATGCAGAGTTACCTCCTGCATGTGACCTCATTACCACTTCAGGATGCTGGCTGATTGGTGGCGGGACGGAAAAGGGCAGACTAGAACGTGACCGACTGTTCAAGTCTGCTCCATTTTCCCCCTTGGCGAACAGTGTGGGAGGTTCCCGGTAGAGCTCCGTCTTAGGGCGCATGGCGTCCGAGCGAGGCCCCTCTCTGCGCACGGTGCCTTCAGGGGCAGGCCCTCCATAAACTTTAACCATTTGCTTAACGGGCTGATGTAGAAATGAGGTGTCTTTGCCCTTTCCCAACGTCGCGATGTCTTTTTGGTGTGTGTGCAACTCTCGCTTCTCCGGCTTAGCCCTGCTCTCAGCGGGGCTGCCATACTTGTCACGCACCTGTTCCACCTCCTCTTCCCTGTGCGCGTTTTCTTTTTCCGCCACTTCCACGCTTAAAGGTCTTTCTGCATTCTCGGGAGCAAGGCTCACGTCCATCCCCTCCTCTTCCTTCGCCCTCTTCGGGATCCCTTCCCCCTCTGGAAGAGCCTCTGTCTGGTTCCCCGCAACATCGTCTGGCACAGCCTCAACCTTCACCAGAGTGAGGGAGATGAGGTAGGTGGTGCGTTTCTGCGAGTTGGCTGCTTGGCTCATTGGGACAGCAGACCTCAGGACAGTGGCACCTGCTCTTTGACCTCACCAGGCCTGGACTCCTCAGGCATGGCAACTGGGGCAAGACTGAAGCAGAGAAGACATTAAATCTATGAGATAGATCAAACACTGTCATCTGATCCAACTGACTGTTTGATATCAGCCTTGTGGATTGCATAGGAATTCCATTATCATTTTTAATGCCTTAGAAAAACTTGGAGTCAGTTCTGAAAAATCAAGCGAGACTGGAAAATGCAAATTTACTAAATATATTAAAGGGGGTGACCCAGTGTTTAAACAAGTCTAGACTGCTTTTAAAATGCCTCCATTAATCCTCTTCAGGGCACACCAGCACTACTGGTTTCCACCACAAATTCATTCACAATCCTACCTTCCCTGATTTCCCTTTTAAACTAATATATTCAACAAAAATCTACCAGACCCACTAAGAGGTATAAAAACACATAGTTCCCTCTCAATTGGATAAATATGCCAGATTTCAGCTTGTACGTATGCAACATGCAGCACCCTCAGTTGATCCATTTCTTTAACCAGCATTGGATTGATACAGGTTAAATAATTAAACCTTACTACAGTCCGTGTCTATGCTTTAGCTCATTTCATACCTTCATTTTCCTCCTGAAGAAAATCCACTCTCAGCTCCTTGTGCTTCTGATCCGATGAAGAATTTATCCAGCCATCACACAACCATTCACATCAAAGAACGCCGAGGGAAAAAAATATTGCTCCAGCTGATGAACCCAAGATGAAAACATGTGAAAGGGAGCCGGAATTTTTTTTTTTATCATTCACTTTGGTCACGAAGCGTCTGGCAACTGAAAGCCCTCCGTTCGACAATGTCATGTATAAAAAAAAAATCATCTGCACGTTGCGAGGGTCACTGAGAGATGCTCAGAAACATCTGTTGTTATGTCTGCAGGAAAAAAAAAAAAGAAGATGATGAGATTAAGTGGCCGGATTTACGCAAGCCGAGCGATGCTTTCTTGTGCCTGTATCCCTCCTCTGGCGCGCTGCTCCTCCTGGTCACCGCATCCTCTCCTCCGAGAGCCTCATCCAATTAGCAAGTCAATAAAATGTGTCTGTGAGGCAGTGGAAGCCCACCAGCTCACCGAAGCCAGCCCCTCCTCCTTTTTTTTTTTTTTTAACCCCCCTCCTCCTCCTCCTCCTCTTCTTCTTCTTCTCGCTACCACCGGGGCTTGCGGCTCTCCGCTATCCTGCCGTCAGCCTGCCGCACAGCCGCCTTCACGCCGGACGCAGCCCTCGCCATCGGGGCCGGGAGCAAGAGGCTGGCTGCTGGGAGGCTGCGATGGTGGTCCTTGCCCCCGTTAAAGAGATTTTCATCCGTGCAGACACAAACAAAAGAGACAGGAGGGAGGAGGGAGAAAGGGGGAAAAAAAAAAAAGCCCTCAGCTCCGCTCCTACCGGTGCATCTGTTCCGTCTCCAGCTCTTTCTATTCGCTCTCTTTCTAGCTCTAAAGCCTCTGCTTTCTCTCCCTGCCTGACTAAATGCTTCCACTGAATGAAGCTGTGGTCATCCACCGGACGGACACATCTGCATAGAAGGAGGTGAAAGGCCAAGCAGGTGGCAAACAAAACCAAAAAACAGAAGAAGAAAAAAAGAAATGGCATGCTTTTTCCCTTGAATGATGACACATTGAATAGAGGGACAAATAAGGAAAGTCAGCACATATCTAAACATATTTCTGAATGTAAAAAAAAAGGAGATGACTCCTGTGATTTAGGCTAGGCCAGGCCCTCAATTCTAACTCATAACAAAACAAATAACCATTCAAAACTAAAAAAGAAAATTTGAAGCAAAAAAAAAAAAAAAACAGCATTTGAAGAAGAAAAACTTAAATAAAGCACTGAAATAAAGAAAAAAGAAATTAACAAAAATCATTGATTATATTCATCGTATATATTTGTTCATATATCAACACATATTAAGTCTGACTGATTTAAACTGTTTTTATTCATGGATACAGTGCTGGTTGACTCCAGATACTTTTAGCAATGTAACAAAAATGTTAAACATGAAATTAAGTCCACAAACAATACTTTTACACAGTCAGAAGTTCTAAGGGCAATACCAGTATTTTTGTAATGCGTGTGTTTCTCCTGCTTTTTCCTACAGCTGCTTAAAACTATGGTCTTTTCCTCATGATTTAAATGCAGCTAATCCCGTCTATATATGAATATATAATGGTTTTCCACAGCCTTACGGTGACACTATTTCTTTGATAAATATCAATGCACACTATAAAAATCCCTAGTTTAACCCACTGTGGGGTTTACACCCTACACCGCAACACGAGCAGCAATTCAGATGAGATCAGTTCCTGCTAATGACTGACAGAACTTCAAAAACACTGGTACCGTCCTTTAAAATGTGGCATGATAATGTCATTAATTGGGACATTTACGAGCTCAAAAGCATGCCAATGATGCTGAAGTTCACTCCTCAGTTTTCTCTCAACTTACTCATTTCTTCTTTTTTTTTTGTGAGGATGTAATCATATTCCAAAGGCATAACCTTTACTTATTGAAAGGCAATACAGGAAATTAAATTGTAATCTTGGACAGCAATAACAATGGCTACATTTTTTGTTTCTTTTTGTTTCAGCTATTTGTCTGAATCAATGCCTCCTCCTCCTGGAAATAAGGGTGTTCTAGTGCATTCAGGGCGGATATCCGTTTCAATGGGTCAAAGGTCAGCATTTTCTGTAGAAGAAAAAAACAAAACAGTGTCAGACTTGTGGACCAACTAAAAGGAAGTGTGAAGGCAATTTCTTAAACTGTAATTATAGATTCAATAAACGTGATATTTCATAGACCATAAGTGTAGCCTAAGATTATTAGAGCATATCCTTTCACTTTTAGCTGCTCAAACATCACAACTGATGGTAAAGGGTTATGTTTCCTGGCTAGAATAGCCCAGCTCTACAGAGTCCAGATAAAGGTAACTGCTACCATATATCAAGTACAAAGTCAGAGAGTCATCTGATGTTTTGTTCTACATGGACAAGAGCATGCGGGCTGTGGAGCGGTGCAGCATAAAGCAGACGGCGTCCGTATGGGGGATGTCACTGCCTCTGACACGGGTGACTGACTAATAGAATAGTGTATGGTGCCATCAAGACGCATCCCTTCTCGGAAGGTAAACGGCTATTTCAGCAACATCCAAGACCTGGCTCAGCATTATTTGCAATCATGTGTCTTCCCGAACACAAAATGCCTGCCTGCCAAGCTGCCTGCAGTTCAGACCCGTCTCCTACTGAGAGTGTATGGAGCTCCACCAGGAAGTCGGGTTCTTTTTGCAAAACTCCAAAAACTACAGTTCTCAGCTGTAAGATGATTGAAAAGGTGTTTGTTAAAAGACGAGTTGTGTTGGATTATGGTAAGTGTTGCTGCCAACTTGAGAACTTTTTGTTTCCTTTTAAACATGAAGTCCTAAATGACAAAATGGAGAAACGAGCACTGTAACTATTTTACATCAGCAGTCAGTCGTCGTATTGTAAGCTCCTTGGACTATTCTCACAAGCAGAGCTTCTTTTCCACGGGATGGCTTGTTGCCAAGCAACCAGTGGGAAAAAAATCTACTCTTTTAACCTTTCAAAGAACAATTAAAGGCTATAAAAATTAAATAAAAAATCTGCAATACTTTTAATACCTTAAAGACGAGCTCAGAATACAACATGCTGACTATATATCAGTCACATGATCACAGAGAATCAACATTGAGAGCAAATTTTCTTTGTAAAATCTCTTAATAAACTCACCGAAGCATATAATTAAAGCTTAGCATGTGAAATTGTCTAAATATGAACTATTCAGTCATGAATAGAAATAGTTTCAATTGTATTTTTGTCCTTGCTAAGTTAGTTAATTACATTCCATTTTCTCTTTATCTGTGATGCTGCAAAATGAAGCAGCTGCAATAGTATAAGATACAAGTCAGATATCACAAAAATATCATCATTCACTTTTAGCAGCACACAGTCGGGTATGCCAAAAAATCACCTGAAGTGAGGCCCGGTGTCTTACACACACTGACCCGCCTACAAGAGCAACTTCAGCCACGTGCAAAAGAATTCTTGAGTGTACTGGTACAGGTTATCTGTTACTGTCCTTGTGTCAACTCTGTAGTCATCTGGGAGATGAATCAGGAGTCAGGCTAGGCCGGTACCCACTTTAATTTTTAATTCATGAGTCTTACCAGCAATAGCTGCGCCCCCTGCTCATTTATGTCTGGAACAAAATCTGTGATCGGGCGAGCCGAGAGAGGGGGGAAATTTTTCCTCGACACGGTAACATCAGTGGGCCATTCCTCCTCCGGCGGCAAGCCAATAACTCTGAGGAAAAAAATGTAAATGTTTAAGTGACATGAACGACGCAGGAATCCCAGGACTGACGAGCCTGTGGATGTTCTCGTCAGGCAAATGTGATGAAAAGTGTGCAGTGCTCACTCAAAAATCTTTCCAAGCTGGTCCATTTCTGAATCCCCGCGGAACAAAGGTCTGAGAAAGAAAAAAAAAATCATCAACAGGCTGAAATTCACTCCTGAATTCTTCTGCTATTTTGTTTGTGTTTGAGGGCAAGCAGAAACTATAGGCCCTTCACACACAGATCAGCATCTTGACATTTGAAACTCCAATTCATGTGTGTAAAACTTTAAAGCATTTCTCGTGTGTTTAGCAATAAATATACTTTGATCTATTACCTTAAAAACTGTCTCTCCTTGCGTCACTACATCATTACCGTCATATTTGTATAAACGGTTCATAAAATAAAATAATTCTCAGGGCATTTTCTTCTTCACTCTGGTTGGTCATTTGATGCAGTGTGTCATGTTCACCACCAGGTGGAGCTAATGCGTTCATGGCCGGGTTGTGCTGCACTGTTTGTCTGCTGTTCTGGGAGCCCACACATCACCTCAGGCTGCCTGTTCACAGACCTCCTGCTGTTAGCTGGGAATTAAATACCAAGGAGCACGCCCACAAGTGACACAGACTCTTTACAGACCTGTTTGGGGAAGAGGTATATCTGGAATAAAGATATGAAATATGTGGTGCAATATAATGTGTTTTGGCCCATGTCGGGGCTTTTTTTTTAACTGGTATTATTCATGTATTTGTGGATCCATTTTCACTCAAATCAGACTGTAACTTAGAATCTAAGGACACATGACCGTTTTTGGATAGCAGCACATTAAATTTTTCCCAGAATGATTAGGGTTAGGCCTTATCTCTCACCAAACGGTCTGTCATCTGTGTGTGTTGCTGCTAACAAAGGCCAAACATGTGATATTGGGTGGAGCAGAGGGGCTAATGCCAACTCCAAATGTTAGCATTGGCAGGTTAGAAAAACTTGCTTAGTAAGCCTGTCTGACACAGCAATTTGGCAGATAACACATGGCAAGAGCGTTTTTTTTCCCTTTTTCTTAAAGTGACAGGACAAAATTAATACGAGGCAACCCTCTGAAGATGGAGGATGACTCGATGTCACCCAACATGGAATTGATGAATACGACGCTTCCTCAAAAGTGGCTTCAAATTCAAGCAGACCCCTGAGACCTCCATGTTAATATGCCCCACTTTGAATGGGAAATCTATGTCATAATAGCTTGGTATGGCAAAAAAAATGTTTCTGACCATTTGCTCATTCAAAGCAACTTTGTGTCAAATATAAAAATTGCCATTGTGTTCCTCAGAGGGTGAGCATGGCAGCCCCTATTCAACAGACACAGTCCCGAGGTCAATCATTCCTTGTAAAATCACTTACGACTCTGAACATCCAAGACTGTTAAACAAAATACAACTCAAGCCTGGTAAATCACAGCCCACATACCACTTGGCAATTTCAAGGTGGCCTGCCTTTCATTTTAGTTCAGTCTATGATTTCAGTTTGGGAATAGGCTCCCGCTGGTGACTGCGATCCATAAAACTCTGAGATGAATTCGTCAAGTTGTGACAGAAATGTTTTTTTTCATGAAATACAGCGATACTTTAAAATCAGCAATGCTATTTCTCAAGTTTATAAAGTATTACAGGCACATGGATTTAAAAAAAAAAAAAGGTTGAGCTTCTTAGTGAGATGTTAATGTAACAAATGAATTTACGATAAAAAAGTTACTTAAGATGAAGGGGGTCAAATCACTTATCATTACTTATCATTGAAAAAAAAAAAAAAACTGCTCCAGGGTATTATCCCTGAGAAACACATGTGTTTTCTTATCCTGGTCCTACAGATAATGACATACGGAGGAAACATCAATCCTAAAAATCTCCCGTGTCATATCTTAAAATTGAAAGTTCTAGCAAAGTCTGTAGAATTAGTCGGAGAACATCTGGCTGCTGACTCACTTGCGTCTGAACATCTCAGCAAAGATGCAGCCGGTGCTCCAGATATCCACAGGAGTGGCATAGCTGGACTGCAGCAGAACTTCAGGGGGTCGGTACCACAATGTCACCACCTGCAAGACACAAACACACCCGAGTCTGAGAGCATCACAAAACCTACACACAGCATTTTTAAACAAAACGGACGAAGAGCAATTGAGAAGTTTACAGCTGACTTTGTCAGCTTCCTTGCTTTGGTGTGCCCAGCTTATGTTACTGCAGTGTGAATATCAAGTAAACAACTTTTATTCTTGTTGTAAACCTGGTGAACATTAGCATGTGAACACTGTTCGCATACTGGGGGTAGTATGAGGGTAGAATGGGCATACAGCGTCTGTCAGTTACTGAGAGAAACAAAACATGCTAGCATGAAGAAAAGCTTAATGTGTAGTTGGTTATGTTTGGCCCAACCAGAGCTCATTCAGTAATACAGATAACACCATCATTATCTATGAGAAACCTTAAGCGGAAATGCCATGTCATGGTTTTAGGGGTATTATGTTCTGGAATTGTTCTTGGCAACAGAAAGTCATCGCTACCAGCCAAGAAAGAGAAAAGGTTGAATATAGTGACACCCACACACAACATCCAGAAACAAGTAGAGTTGAAATGGCACACTGTGAGCGGATGCCATCAGAAACAATGCGACATCCAGTCTTACAGGGGTGAAGGCTTTCAAGGTGAGTGACGACACTTCCACTTTCAGACATGTGAGAACAGATAATACGAGGTCCGTGCAGAGCGGGGAGATGAACTCCACGCTCTGAAATATAAACACCTCTGGATACAGTGGATGTTTTACACCCTGAGGTGCCTTCAGGAACACTCTGACATGGGGCCTTTTCGTCCAACTGCACATCCTGTGTTTAGAAAAGTCTCCCAGTGGCTTTTCCATGAGACGCTTTGTGTCACCACGTCGTTCAAACCACACCTCTGGCTGGATCCATGTGGAGAGGCTTTCAAATAATCAAAGCAACCCTGTTTTTATACACATATTCTGACACCAAAATTAGCTTTAGCATTAGCTTTAGTGGCATTTGTTGACATATGGCGATTCACAGAGTTGGGCTAAAGTGCAACAGATATCAATTACATCTTAAAATAAATCTTGAGCAATCTAAATAACTAAATAACTAAATCGATGGAAGGGATGAATCCTCCTCATAACTTGGACCTTGATAGAGGACAGAAGATCCAAACAAGAACTTTGGGAAATCCTTCAAGAACCCCTGAGAAGTATTACTCCAGACTGCTACAATAAATTTAAAAAAGCCCCCATCAGAGGACTGAGGCTGTGTTGGAGAATACAGATGGTCAGTGCAAACACTGATTGTTCATGTCTGTTAGAAGTGCACACACTCTTTCTGAACTATATGAGAAGAAATGATATGTTTAACGGATAAGTATTGAAGATTTTCCAGAACAAAAGCTTAGTAAAGTAATGGTACTTACCACTGGAGTGAGGGCCATGTGGCAGCTGTAGATCCTGGCCAGTCCAAAGTCAGCCAGCTTCACCTGACCCCCGCTGGTTACCAAAATATTTTCTGGCTTCAAGTCTCTGTGCATCACACGGTTAGAGTGAAGGAATGTGATGCCGGACAGCAGCTGCCTCATCAAATCCTGCAAGAACAGAGGTGCGTCTTCACCGAAGCTCCGCATTTCAGCTGGTCTGAAATGTGGTCTCAACCCCTAAACATCCCTTGCCATATATTTTCTGACATGGAACCCAGTGTAGCATTTTTTAATCATTCTCACTTTAACGCGGTCCGGAGATAGCCCGGCTGCCGGAGCTTTGTCTAGGTATGTCTTCAGGTCTTGGTCTACGTGCTCAAACACTAGAGTGACTTTGGTTTCTTGGTCCGATCTCTTGGTGGCACACACGTCCATTAGCCTGGTACGAAAGAGGAAAAACACACCTGTCATGAGAGGTGAGAGCAGTCAACATAATGATTAAGTACAGCCCACGTAACCCTCTTTACCTGACCACGTTGGGGTGGTCAAACTGGTCTAGCCGCTTCAACAGGGCCACCTCTCTGACGGTGGACACCGGGAGGCCATCTTGGTCTGTCGGGACCCGCACGTTCTTCAGAGCCACAAACTTGCCGCTCTCTGTGTCCCGGGCCTTGTAGACGGTGCCGTAGGCACCGCCACCGATCTCTGCCACCGGTTCGTACTGCATGCTGGTGCAGTGGGCCATGGCGCCGTCCAACCCGACTAAAAACACAAAGATTGCCACTCAAAAAGACATTTGTAACTCTCGGGCTGGAAATTCCTCAACTCCACATGGGGAGAGCAGCCAGCTCATTCTTCATTCATCCCCTCTGGAAGGCGTTTGATGGCAGCTCTGTGGACACCGATAACCGTTCCCACTTCACCGTTTCCTTGGACTACTTTTTTGTCTTTCATGTATGCGGTCCACGCTTATCTCAGCACGCCTTAAAAACCTCTGCTCAAGCCTCGTACTGATAGTTTACTTTCTAATTTGTTCATGTTGACAACCATTTTCAAGAATAAGGCAACATTAAAAAGAGCCGTGGATGATTCGCCTTGGAGAAGTTTCGCTTTGTGAGCCACTTCAGGGGAGGTCTGCTGCTGTACTGCGAGTATCTAACCACCAAAAGGTCCTGCGAGGCCCAGTAAAAGCATAAAAAAAATAAAAAAAACAAGATACTCCACAAGATTAATGGGCCTACACTTACATAATACAAAGTCTGGATAGTGCTGAGGCTCACATTTCTAGCTCAAAGGGTTTTGAGAAGATGATTATGTTTAATATTTCACTCCATTTTTATCTGCATCTTAATATTTGCTCGATTTTCTGTTATTTCATCCATGTCCTCATAGGGATTTGAGTCAATGCGATTGTAGTTCTGATCTATTCGCACACATCAATGACTGAAGTAGCACGCTCCTTTTTCAAGAGACTTAGAAATAAACCCATTGTTCATCTGTTTTAAGCCAGTTGAGTACAAGTTCAAAGTTCCTTCGGGTTATATATTTATTTATTTTTTGGGAGCAGGAAGCTGCTTCTATTCTTCCTATAGAATTCACTGCAGGACTCTGTGCTCCCTGCCATCACTTTCCATCCCTCTCTCTGCTTCCTGTCTGTCTTTCTACTTTCAACAGTCAAAGTCCCCATCAAAGACCTTACATACAAAAAGAAACAGAAATATAGCCCAGAAGCTGCAGGAGCCAGAACCTGCTGTCCTAAAACCACTCAAAAGGATTAATTGAATCTGACACCTTTTTTAAAATTCTATACATATATATATATTTTTTTTTTTGTTGTAGTTTTTGCCTCTGTGGCAGCAATGCATCCCAGTGTGCACATTCAACAGTTGTTGCCCCCATAAGTCAGCTGGGAGGGAGCAGGCAAACAACCAGAAAGAACCTCATCCCACTCCTTCCTTCTCTTTGTTCAAGTCTCAGCACTCACTTCTGTCAAACTCTTCCTCTATCCAGCCAAGCCCCTAACCTACTTTTGTACAGTCATGCCCCCTCTACCTACATAGTACTAGCAGAAGAACCCTTAACAACAAGAGCAATAACAGAATACATACCCAGAGGAGCCGGCAGCTGAAGGTGTCCTGTTGCCTTTATACCTGGCATGCAAGAGACGGCTGCTTTTGTCTGTGCATATCCTGTCCTCCCTCTTTTTTTTTTTTTGCTCACCTAATCACTAGAAGCAGTTCTGCTGAGTAAAAGTTAAACAGATAAATGCAGATCCACCCTTCCTCTCCATTAACAGAAACCACTGAGCTTTTGTCGGAGTTCTTATTTCAAGAAACTGCAGAGCTCTTTAGACCAAAACCAGTGGGCTGCTGGGAGAAATAATGGAATAATCTTTCCATCGCCAGCTTCAAATATCTAACAGAACTCTTCTTTAAATAATTCAGCTATAAAGTCAAAAAATGTCACTGATCTCTCATGAGAGCAACGAGGGACTGCATTACAACCGGTCCACTCACTAATGTCTGGTGTGAGCAAATGCTTTTTTAAAGCTTTACTGCACCACTGATTTGTACTCTAAAGTATTTCATTTAATCTACTGCACTGATACATAGCTAGAATGCAGGATGGCATACAAATGATACCCATCAAAGTATGCTGCTGCCAAAACTGAAGTGGTCAATACCAACTGCGGCTTTTAGAGGAGATGTTCCATTAAGACACCGCATTTCTTCCTCTTATGCAAAGACAGTTGAGCCATAATGTCTGCGTACAAGAATCTGAAATACAAACTCCAGTCGAAACGATTTCAAAATACTTAATATAAAAAATTAAAAAAGAAAAGATGGAAGGACTATCATCAAAACACAAGTGAGTCAGAGCATGTCAGTAAAGGAGTGCTGACAGGGTTCTGGGGAGCACTTCATCTCAGAGTCCCATGAAAAAAGCGCTCCTGTTTAAGTGTCTGTCGAGTACACAGGTCGATCGCTGACTTGCAAAACATCTGGTGATGAAGACAACACTGAACAGCTAAATTCACTGTGTTGTAGCAGTGTTTCAGGGCTGTTCCTGTCAGGGGTGACAGTAGAATTCACCACTCAGGAGAGAAGCAGCCAGATCTGAATCTCCTCCATGATGTTGGTGACTACGATTTTTTTTTTCCCCTTTTGGGTGAAAGAACCCACGAAAATAGTAAAGAATGCTGAAAAACACCATTTGGACACATGGTGATAGAACCCGTTTTATGCTGACACACTGGTTCACCATACATAGTCGGGCTTCTCCACAGACCCATTGGTTTCAGAAGCCCCTTGTCATCTTTCATCAAACAATCTGCCTCTCATGTCTCTACAAAGTCTCCCTCCAACACTAGAGGGAGTGCTCCTGTCAGATGATTGGTCAAAAATGGAAGAGCTCAAGGCACTTTTTTCTACTTGGCAGGCTTGTTTTGACTTAATGCAGTGCTGACTTGACAAAAATGTAAAGATTGTGAAAAATTCAGGAAAGGAACATCCATAAATTCAAATCTGCCAACGGTGTGAATAAAATGCATGGTCCCCACACACGTCTGAGCGGAGTGTCTCACTCCCCACAGGGCCATACAAACACAGGGTTGATAGGTAGCTGGTGTGCTTTCAGAAACACTCGAGTGCAGAGGAAATGTCTTTTATTCCCGCGTTTTCTTTTTAGCTAGACCTACAGCCGTGTGATACAACATCACAGCTACCAAAGTCTGTCTCAGGCACGGCCACAAGTAAAGTGCTGTCATGCTGAGGATGGTACTGAGGTACCAAATAAACCTAACAAAATCATCTAATGACAGCAAGATAAAACTGTGGTGGTGGTGTGTACAATTATTAAAAAGTAATAGAGACAAGTTTAACTTTTTGCCCACCAAAGCTGAGTAGTAGTAGATAGTAGACACCAAGACATGTTTCTACTGCTTGGGCAACTTTAGGGAAATGATCCCGTTTGTCTGTATGACAGAGTTCTATTTTCATTCAAACTGTTCAGCTGACTTCCTTTTGTCTACTTTCATAAAAATCTGGTGTTTAACAAAGAAATATCACAAATATTTCTGTCACAAGCAACCCTGGGAGCACATCAGGACACACAAGCAATTGATGTTAGAATAAACATGACAACTCATGGCACCAGTCATCTAATTAGTCTCTTCTTTTTCTGGGTTTTCACAGTAGACATGCAGCATGGGAGGAGAAGCGAGTCGCTGACCAAATCACATCAGATACGATGACTGTCATCTGGGAAAGAAAATGAGGCTCTGATGCTTCTTAGTCTCTGTGAGGATTATCTCAAAAGCCAGTATATCTAAGTTAACGGCATAGACGCCATTTAGTTACTCAAACCGGGATTTCTTTTTCAGATGACGCTGTTATTAACACCCAAATTCTATGCAGAGCAGAGAGACCAGCTGGAACCGTTTAAAGCAGGGGTGCCTGCTTTAAACTGACCTCTTCCAAAGACTGTTCCGCTCTGCACAGGACTGCTGGCGTCGTGTTGATGTGAATCAGGTGTGTTGAAGCAGGGAAACCTCTAAAACCTGCAGGTCAGCGGCCCCCAAGGCCCCAAAGAGCAGTTTAATCGGGAGTTATACTGTAACATTTGAACAAATATTTCATTTTGGAGCGTGTTCAGCACCCAGGTTATTGACTAACATACACACAAAGATTTACATTTACCCCAAACTGCAGCATCGGTGTGTGTTTGTTCAGCTTAGAGAATCTTGATTTCTGGTGGTTTTGCTCAGACAAGCATGTTTACATGAACAAGTCCTGCTTTGGGCGGCCTGACACCAAAGGGCTCACTGACCGTCAGATGGAGCCAGCCGGAGTCACACTTTGTTTGAGGCCATGCCAAAAAAGAAAAAAAAACAGGTTGGCACGCATCTAGCCAATGTTTCACATACTGGCATTTAGTAACAGAGGGAAAGCCTACGCTTGACATGACTCGTTTCAAGCAGTTATGGAACAAAATCTCATGGGGGGGAGGGTCAATACCGGTTTGGTAACTTTCCAGAAATTTTAATATGAGATTAAAAGCTAAATCAAAGAAATGCAAAGCCTGAAAAGCACCTTTAATCTTCTAAGCAGAGCATGAAATTTAATTTCTGTAACACTCTTACTAGACGAGTAGACAACTATTTTTATAAGGAGATGTTTTTGTTTCCACTTCATTCATTGTGTGCTGTCCTCCAGGGGTTGTTCGTGACTCCTCACCCTAAAAACATCCTCCGATTTCCTGTAACTAACTCGGTATCTTACACCACCACAAGGCGGATTTGAGCAGATCTGTAAGTTTGGCTCAGCTTACTAACGGCGGCAGCTTTCAGATCATGAACTAGCCCTGAACCAATTCACCGAGCAGACCGATGGATCATGGATGACCCACTCTGATCTCCCACGTTTCATTCATTTGGGGCTCCAGAAAGTGAAACGCAGGCCGGTGACCCCCGGTGGGCGGAGGCAGAGAGCGATCAGCAGGCCAGCGCGGGCAGACACGTGGTGCTCCTCCATGGCGCTCCTTTGTTAATTAAAACTGCCAAGAAAGTGCACCAACAACAGGCCACACGGACTACCCCCCCCTCCCCATACCCCTCCGCCACATGGGCCCTGACGTGGCGGAGGAACACCCGAGAACTACGGTCGGTGTGAGGCCACGGCTCCCCGACGGCAACCCCCCCCCTCCTCCACCTCCGTTTCACATCCGTGCCACATTACATACGTGTCCACTCCGACCCCGCGGCACTCTTTGAGTGGAAACGGCAGTCGCGACAGAACTTACCTCGCCTGTTTTTTCTCCTCTTCGGCGGCAGGTGAACTTACTTTAGCTCCCACGAGCCAGACATTGCTCACCGAGCTGCCACGTAGAAAGTCGCGCGGAGCCCGCTCGCGAGGGCACAGAGCAGCAGGCGCGTGCTGAAGTTTGCAGCCCGCCGGCGGCTCAGATAAGGAGCAGGCCAATCAACCGATGTGATTTGGGCCTCTTCTGTTTTTTCCCCTTCCAGCCTGCACTCTTTTTTTTTTTTTTTTTCGATTGTCTTCCTGTTGCTTCCAGCAAGTCTGCGAGGAGGCGGAGCCACTGGAGTCGGCAGCAAACGATGCACAGAAACTTTCAAGTGATCAACTTGCTTTATATTTGGAAGGTAGTTTCTTCCACTTAGATTACTTAAACAGAAAATAAAATTAAAAAAAGAAAGGGAGAAAGAAAAGACAAGAAAAACAACATGACAATGATGACAAAGACCTAGAGAAGGCTAAGCAGCATTAGACACAGAGGGAAGCTTTTGTGTTCCTTATGTCTATGCCTGGAATTAACATTTTATAGTTTTGACACTGAGTCAGAAATTTGGGCTACTACATCAAAAAAGGGGGAGAAATTAGGTTGCAAATTAGTTCCTGTCGTGTAGTGGTCTTCTGAATACAGAGCATCTCCACTGGCACAAGAAGAAGACTGAATACTGTCCTCCCTGCTCCCTCATTCAGGAGCTGCCACAGAATTCAAGAATATCTGATGATTTTCATCTGTGCTCTACGTTCTACAGTGTATAAGATTAAATTAGTCTTCTTCCCCTGCCCCTTTTACCTCCTTATGATGAATTTGGTGCTTGATAGAGGTAAGACATGCAACTTGGATATGGAGTGGCTCATCTGAATTGTATTTTCCCGTTCCTGACCTTGGACTTAACAGGATAGGTAATAATCCTACTGGCCTTTAATGGAATAACCAACACACACCACTCAAAAATATTTCTTCCTAATAGTTTATACATTGCACATGATCAACATAAAGTCAAGCTTTAACATCAGAAATATAGCAGTTTTTTAACCAACCGCCTGTCTATTTGAATGTCTTAGGCAGATTGTATCAAACCATTACCAAACCTAACCCATCAAACAAAATGGTTTAGGTAAAGATTTGTTGTAGTGTGCTTTCCAAAATTTTGCACATTTCTGTGTGTGTATATGTATATATCAATTACTATTTAAAGTTAACTATCACTCTTTAAAATATCTTGATTGGTTGGAGATTAAATGTGATCACAGGACAACATGAATAGGGGACTCGTGGTATTCTGCAAATAAAATTGGTGAGAAATATTTAGTTGTTTGTGCCACGCACAACAAATCCATTTACTGTCCTTTTTTAAAATAGTTTGTGAGATTCTGTTGGATGCTGGAGGGGAGGGTGGTGGACACTGAGAAAGAATTGGGTTTGGCAGCATATAAAAATAAATAAAATGGCACAATTCTCTCAGTGCCTGTGACCAGAATAAAACAAGGCATTGCCTCTGTAAAAATGGTCCCCTCAGGCTTTTTTTGTATCACCAGGAGGAGTGTAGATTAAAAACTCACAGACTCAGTTTTAGTGATTTGTGACTGAGAGCCTCACAGGGCAAAGCAGCTGTTAATAGCTCTGTCTATAACTCTTCATTATACGACCCCCAAAAGGCCTAGCAGTATTCTAACAATTTGTAATATGCATACTTCTAAAATAACGTCAAATGTAAGAGTCGCTGCTGTTTGTCTGTGACGGATATTGCCTACACATTTCAGCCAGCATCATTGTCGAAACAACTAAAACTCGTCTACTTGGCAGGGGGACAGAGACAGTCCATTTGACCTGAAAACACAAAGAACATTCATTCAGTAGACTTCATGATTGTTACCGAAAATTGAGAGGTAGAAGCCATCAAACACTATGAACTAGCTCTCCTGAGGCCTGCCCCAGGAAAACCTCTGCTGCACAGTAGAGGATCTTTAGATTACCAACATCACAAATCAATGATTAATAAAGTTTCAAGCATTCCAAAGACTTTTATTATAGGAATTCTGCTAAGAAAGTAAAGCTGAGAGAGAACCAAGAATAAGCAAGCACCTTTAGCCAAGAAACAGAGAGAGTGGATTCATGTTGGAGATTCATGTTTTGGTCTAATTATTTTGAGTTGAGAATATTTTTATTCCCACTGCTGAGTCTTTGTCAGCTGAAACAAGCAGCTGATACATTCACACAAACGACATGAGCAGAGTCCACTGTTGACTTAGCCAGAAGGAGATGTGATGGTGTGTGGACCACGATACTGTTGCTCATTCATTCAGAAGTGAAAGTGCATCTGACCAATATTCACAGCTGTGGCCGGAGGTCAGCTCTGGGTTTTGTCAATGCAGTCTGCCTCAGACGACCCGAGCCGGCCGATCACTTCACTTTAGAGGAATTTAAAGCCATAACAAAGAAAGGAAAATAGGCATGTGTGAACTCCTTAACAGTTTAAAATGCTTCAGGTGACGACCTCATCAGACTGACTGAGAGGACACAGAATTTGATACACTGTAATCAAGACACACTACTGGTTGTGCAAAGAAATCCAACTTTATGTTTATGTTTATGCATATATCAGACATAAACATAAACGTTCTTATGTTCAATGTTAATGCCCTGTTTTTTGTTTTTTACTGACTACTTTAAGTTAAACCTAAGTGTCCAAATGTTACACTTATGATTTAATTTGAAGAGTGTAGTTCTACTGAACTTTCTGTCATCTTAAAGGACCACATACCATCTGTTTGGGCAATGACAAAAATCAAACAACTCATTCTATTTCAGCTTTACCCGCCTCTTCTCAGCCAATCTCTGTCCTTTAGTCCTCGGCTGGACTTATTCTGCGCTCATAATAAAATATCAAGAACTATCATTAAATGTTAAGATCACCTTAAGATCCCGTCTGATTTAAATTAATTAAGCTGATTGAAAGGATTTTGTGTTGTAACAAATGACACCAGAAGGTTACATGAAATGAATCCTTTCCAATCAACTTATGTCATGATTAAATGATTCTACGCAGTGTAATATAATGTGATCGCACTTTAATGAAATAAATTATATTAAATGCTTCAGTCTAAATTGATTTACGAGTGAGGAACATATTAGGGGGATTCAGTGTGCTGCCATAGAATAATTTAAGATGTAGATTGACTAAATTGGGGATTGAACCATTAAGCTTCCTTTTGAAGAGTGAGCAGTCTCTAGAGACTACAGCAGTCTCATATATCTTTACTATCATATATTGTCTGGACCCAGATAATTATCTCTTTACTGAAAAGTTTTAACATTTTTAGTTCCATTTGCATGAGTTAAACATTAACATTTTACAAAATAGGTTCTTCTGGAATACAAACCAGTGTATAGAAGTACTTTACTCTGATCACATTGATTGATCGGAGTAAACCTGATAGGGCCTAAACTCTTTCATTCAATAGTTAAAATATACATACTCCAACTTAATGAAATGGTTAGCTGCAGCATAAAGGTCAAACCAACCTCAGCACATCACCTGGACCCTTTCACTGAAAACAATTAAATTTCTTTATGTTTCAATAAAGCTGAACGACTTTATGCAACTTGTCGCCCCGATTTTTTCAAAATGTAAGTTGACCAAGCTATAGTTATCTACAACACACCAGAATGAATCGTCTAGCTAACTGAAACGGATATGTTTGAACCATTTGACTTTATTTCGAATAGTTTTTTTCAGCACATAATGCTTCCTCTATGTGATGATGGACTATTTGGGTCAAATGTGGATGTGGAGAGCTTTGATCTGTTTTTTGAGAGTGACACATGGACAACATACAAACAACCTGGCTCTCCTCATAAGGACATTAGCAGCCCTTCCTGTGTCCCTCTTGCCCTTTAACCACCCCCTCCAGATGGCTTCCTTCCTCTGACCAGAATGCAACCTCAAAAAGCTGAGCAGCTATTTAAAGGCTTTCCCAAAAATGTCCTCAGCTCCCGACTGTCCAAAAAAAACAAGGATTTGTCGTCACGGAGATAGTTGTAGAAGAAAACACGCTCCCCACAAACACTCATCATCGGTCTATCGCGGCGATTGTTTTCCCGATCGGCAGATGAACGACCACGTGGTGTGTGGTACGTCACGTCAGCACCTTGGACAGCAGCCTGAGCAGCCTCCAGCGGACGGAGCGGGGCTGGCTTCACGATCAGACCCCGGGCTGCGCAGAGATGGAGCCCCGCGCTCCATCGCCAGCGAGCCCTTCTCCAAACCGTACTGTCAGCCCTCCGAAGAAAAATGACGAGGAAAGGCCAGTCGAGCTAGGCGCGTTACCGGGAGAATGCCATGTGAAGAGAGGCACTTTGCTGTCCCGCTGATCACCGGAGGCCTTGAGAGGATGTGGGGATGTGATGCGCGGCCGTTGTGAGGAGCAGGAGGAGGCAGCTGCAGTTTGTTGGCGGTTTAATTTGCCTTTGTAGGAACACATACCTGGTATCTATCCTCTCTCTATTGATATGTGGCGCAGAAATGGCTGGGGAAAGAAGTATCATTACAAGTTGATGTTAAATAGATTTCTTCTTTTTTTTTTCTTTTTTTTTTTAGCTAGTGAATTTGATTTAGTTTCAGCATAATTCATGTCTTAAAACACCACCGGATTGGGAAACTTTGAAATCCGGCTATCGGACCTGCTTAGGAGGAGAAAAGGTGTGGGACAAAGCCTGCTCCATCTATACCAGCCCCCCCAAAAAAAGAAAAAGAAAAAAAACAGGCTACAGCGGAGAAGGAAAGAGGAAATAGCCGCGAACTGATGGACGCCACCGAGAGACAACAAAGGGTACGTGTTTACCAGCCCGTTAGATTTCACCTCGTGGTGAAACTCGTATCATAAAGCACTTGGTTGTTGATCAGATTTAATACCAGACAGCATATTGCTTCTCCACTTAAAGAGGAAAACAGTGTGTGGCAAAGCTTGGACAGCTCCTGCTCAATATTTAAAACAAACAAGAGGACCGATCTGGACCCTCAAATACCCGCAAACAGCTGGGCTGAAAGCACCTAGGAAAAGATGTTGGTGTATCACAATGACTTTAATTCCGTTGGTTTACACCTCACAGCTCTCAGCCTCCATTGAGTCCTCACAGAAAAAAAAACGCCTCTGCCCATGAAAAATAATCTTTCCCTATTGGCC